AACCCTTTAAAGCCCGATCCAAGAAAAAAACAAAGTAGAAAATTACTTTTTTTTGGTTTGAAGTCCTTATTTGCCCTTTTAACAAAAGGTACAAAGAAAAAACAGAAATACAGTTTTGATATTAATAATTTATTACTATGCAATAAGTCAAGATTATTTTTTGTGTAGTCCTCTACTGGCTGTTATCAGGTATATCTGATTGTGTACAATAGGATTTTGAGCAAAGTTTTTAGCATTAAATTATGCAAAAGGTGTCAGACGCAAAACATTTCAGAAACCGTATGTATCAAATATGATACATTTGGCATTATAGGGTTAAATTGAGTAATTTTATTTGAATGTGCTTTACTGGAGGCATCCATGTTTGTCAAAGAACACTACTGCCACCTACTGGTTTGTGACGTCACGGTGCGGTATCGGCTGTTGATCAAGTCCCAGTGCTGTATCTGGTGTTTGTCACAACGCGCTATTATCCAAGTCATCTTGAAAACATTCTTCTTCCAAATGTTGGCTACATATTACGGGTTTTTTCTCTGGCCAGAAGTTGGATGGAAAATCCTTCCTCTTCAAGTTGGCGATCCAACGACCAACCCGTCCGTGGAGGATCAGGAATCAGAAAGGGGAAATAACTCTTTTTTTTCACTTTTACCCGATGTATTCCAACATCCAGCTGCCATGCACGTGGGCATTGTCAGTTTCACTATAGCTCTGGTGAGTTTCGATGGTGAAGTCCTCTTGTTGATTGCAGATGTGTCTAGTAGTTCCCATTGATTTTGCTTGTAAAGCGGGGAGAATGGCGCTAGGCTTACCGCACCGTGACGTCACTGCTGGAAGATGGCAGGAGGGAGGGGCTACTATATTTGGACAAAAATGGCCGCTCCCAGACTCAGTGATCGTAACGAAAATTATTGTTTCATTTTATCTACTGATTAACGCTAAATCCATTAAATCCCTGCGGACGTATTAGTTTTAAGTATAATAAATTATCTATTGATCATTCCTTACTGACCGGACTTTTCCTTTAAACCAAGCAGGCCATAGGTCACTAACATTACCCTGAAACCATGACTCGTTCCTACTCGATCCTAAGAAAAAGAAAAACATATTCGACATGATGTGAGCTCTAAGATGCCCACCTCTACCTTAACTGTGTCACGGCTGGATGGAGTTTTTTGAGGACCCAAAGGCAGAGATCAGGAGGCAGAGTTGAGTCTTGCAGATTTAATAGGTAACTGAGGCAGAAATCCAAAAATACTGAGAACCAAAATACAGATACCCCAAAATGTCAGGAGAACTCAAGTGGGGAACCTGAGATGAGGAAGCAACAAACCAGCACTGAGTGACTGCAGAGCAGGTGTAAATATGGGAGGATGAGCTAAGACAGGCTAATAAGCAGATTGGTAGCAGGTGTGGGCAGGACTAATTAGTGGGAAGCCCAGTGGAATGGAAAACCAGCCCAAGGGGGCAACAGAGGATAACTTAAGAACTCAGCGCTGGTAGAAATAACTACAAAGACACAGAACACAAATAAACTTAAAAAATAAACTCAAGCAGAGGGCAGAACCCTGACAAACTGTATTTGCTGTGCATTTCACAGGTGTTTTCAGCCCTAGACTTTTTTCACATTTGGTCAAACGTGTTTGTATGTTAGGATCCAAAATACCTGAATGTGTTTAATTTGGGATTTTATGTGACAGACCAAGAAGTGAAAATGTTTGATGTAGGGCTGGGCGATATGACCTCAAATCATTATGACAATAAATTGGGCAGTTTTACCTCGATAACGATAAATGCCAGATCAATGCTCTGTCTCCTCTATCAGAAATAAAGGCATGTGGAGGAAATGCAACTGATCTGTTTAAATTTTATTTATTGAATAAATCACATTACATATTACTTTCAATTAAGTATTAAATTCTTGTTCCGATTCAGATTTAAACATTCAACAATGTCTCATTGAACAGGAGGAAAATGTTTCCTCTCTTGCAAACAGTTTGCTCAAAGGTAATGGAGCCTTTTGCACATCTTTGAACTCAGTAGCGTATAAGCTGTATGTGGAGGTTGGATGTGTCGGTAGTGCCGACAGTTTTCAGGCAAACTTTGCATTTCGTGTTCTTTTGCTCAACATCTATGGCATAATGTTTGTACCACCGAACTGAGCGTGCAGTGAGAACAGTGATCATCATTTAAACTCACACATCCTCGCTCAAAACCATGCGCTTAACTCTGACAACGTGCTCTAAACTTCTTCTCTGCAAGCTCAGCTTCATCTTTGCTCTCACTCAACAGGATTAATTGATGTAATTTTGTTTAAAGCTGTGTTGGACACTTCTTCACTGGGCTCATGCGCCATTCTCTTTGTCTGTGCTTCTGACTAGATTGGTGGTGTCACCTAATTACCTTTATGCTGCAGTGTCTAAAAGGGAAAGGAAATACCAGCCACCAGCACACAAAGGAAAAACAGCAGAAAGAAGTTTATTTCTTTTACCGACATGGGAAAATTGTTGCCGGTTATCATAGCGAATGGCAGTAAGGTAAAAATCGGGTTTATTGCCCCGCCCTGGTGCAATGTATGATAAAATAATGTATTATTTTTACTAACAAGAGCCTGTATTTTGTCTTCACTCCCCCCAAAAGCATTACTTAGTAAAACCACTTTTGCTGCCTTGTCGCTGCCAACTTTCCACATTTAGAGAGTGAAATGTTTGGCCCGTGCTTAGACAAACAGCACAGGTCCATTCGGATGGAAAACATCAGTGAACATCAGATTTCAAGTCTTGCCACTGAGGCCTTATCAGGATGTCTGGGAAAAATTTTATATTTATGTGGCTATGCCTACAAATAAAGGGTGTTGCATGCCCCTTAAAGCCAATCCTAAAAATAGTCTGCGAGGAATATTTCTTTGTTGCGTGACACACGTTGGATCATTTCTTATACATTTGGCCATATGGTGGAGTTGTCAGGAATTTACTGATTTTTTTCTTGGCTTCAGACACTTTTTGTATTTTTTGATCCAAGATTCCTTCTTAATAGAAGGTTGTGGCTGTTTTAAAGGATTCTGATTGGCTACCATTTTTAAATGTGGTACAATAAAAATATAACAACAAAATAAACTCAATGGCATTTTTCTCTGGGTTGGTGTGGATGAAAACTTTAAGAAAATCCTCCTGTGTTTATGGTATTATTTTTCTAAAACGGCATAGGAGAGATTTGGTTTTATTTTTTATTGCTGCATGTTTACTTGGCCTGAGTGTTGTAACTTAAGCTTGGTTGGGTGATATTTCTGCATATCTATGCTTTAAACTAAATTCCTTCATAGCTCTGGTCAAACATCACGAACCACAATCTAGCTGAAAATTGAAGCTTCACCTCATCCTCATTTTTTGCGAGGACTGTGTTTCATTATGTATTATTATTTAGCTCAATACATTTTGCAGTTAAATCTGAACCACATAACCTGAAAAAAGTGTCCCCCACAGCATGATTCTGCCTTCACCGTGTTTCACATTGGGTGTGGTGTGTTTAGGTGGATGTGAAGAACTAGATATCCATCATAAATATCTTTCTGTATGAAGTTGGATTGTTTGCTTTCTTCTGCTTGGTGGCAGCTGTCTTTCACAATAGTTTCCTTCTTGTCCCTTTTTGATAAAGGTATGTTTGGCTGATAGCTTTACTGTAAACAGGATGACCCAGCTGAGCTGCAACTCCTTCATTTGCACCGAGATTTATCGAGAAATACGTGCACCTTCCTAGCTTAATTTGATTTAGTGATATCAGAGAAAAGGGAATGAATACTATCCATGCCAGATGTCTGAGTTTTATATCCTTGTACTGTTTTTCTTCCACCACACCTTATCTGCACCTTTTTCAATTCAATTCAATTCAATTCAGTTTATTTATATAGCGCCAAATTCACAACACATGTCATCTCAAGGCACTTTACAGTTCAACCAGATCATACAGTCAAATTGATACAAAGTTTTCTATCTAAGGAAAACCAGTTGATTGCATTGACTCATTGACTCAAATACAATCCCCCACACTAAGCATGCTTGTAGCGACAGTGGAGAGGAAAAACTCCCTTTTAACAGGAAGAAACCTCCAGCAGAACCAGGCTCAGTGTGAGCGGCCATCTGCCGAGGCCGACTGGGGTTCAATTTTGGGGGTAAATCATGGACAATCACAGTAGAACAAGTGTAAGATTATAAAAGGTGAAAACATTTAACAAGAATGAATTATTTAGGACTCTATTCTGCTTTAGACCCATCATCCCTGACTGAAAAAGGTTTCTACATTAAAACGACCTGTTTTGGTTTACCTCTGTCGTTTGAAGAGAGAATAGAAGAGAGGAGGAGATCTGCTGATAATACTGTGCTGATTATCATCTACGAATCAATGAGTTGGTAAGACATAACTCACAGATGGTACCCGACTGAAAGTGAAATCATTCCTTTCATGTATGAAATTACTTGTTACTCCAGTGAGCTAAATGAACCCCAGTCTCCTGATTGTCTTTCTTTATTTTCTAGAGAGACTCAGACTCCTTGCTTTTTTTCAGGCTGTAATCTTTAGCTTTTGTTCATTGGAAAAGCTCGATCTGATTAAATATTGTTGAACACTAGTGCTTTGTATGTCGATGGAGGAAGTTAATAATCCAAACTTTAAAAAAAAAATAGTAAAGGGCTGCAAATTTCTAATTATAAGAACTCCTTTAAATCTAATTTATTTCTTTGTTATCAGTATTTCACCCAACAGCCGGTGGTTATGAACCAAGTCTTGAGAATGCAATGGATGCAATGTTGTTTTGGGTTTGGATCCAAATGATGTCTTTTCTAGCACGGAGGTACAACAGTGTTGATTGTAGCTCTACAGGGTTTAACTCACATAAGGTAGAGACGGCTGTATAGTAAATCTTCCTCACCCCCACCCAGATTGTTCACTATCGGGCCTTTGACTCTCTTAGAAAATAATACCAGCATTTTGTGTTTCTTATCTTACAGGAGAGAGAACTCTGCACCATAAAAGCGATGTCTTAGAGACTGTGGTACTTGTGAACCCGTCAGAAGATACCGTCGTTTCCGAGGTAAGTTGGATGCTTTCTAGAGCAGACGGAACAGAAAAGTCCAGAGGATGAATGAGAAAAGCGTGCTCATGATTTTCTTACATTCTGTTAAATCCTGTTACTGTTGACAGTATCCTTTAAATGTCCTCTTTGTCACTTTCTCACCACATCTTTCTCTTTTTCCCAGATCCAGTCTCTCGTGACAGATTCTGCAGGACACAAGCTTCTGGTCTTGAGTGGCCAAAACTCGGATCACGGTGGCCTTCTTCTTCAGACCGGAGTTTTCACCCATCAGACCTTTTCACAGATCTTCGCTGATCCTGCAGTGAGTCTCTATTTTAGCTTTCAACATCTTTCCTACTGAAGCCAGATACACCAGTCTTTTTTAAGGAGTTTTAATGAGACAGATCTTATGGACTAATGGACAAACTTAGAAAGTGGAAGTAAAGTCCAGGGTTACTCTGGAGGCGCAACAGTGATTCACCCCTCAGGTGGGAGAATACACTAAAATAGTCCTGCTCTCTACTAACCTGGTCTTTATGGGAGAATGTCACAAAATAGTTGTTAAAAGAATCCCTTTAGAAGTTCTATTTGCAGGTGCAGCAGACATTTAGATGGAAGGGCTCTGTTGAAATTTAAAGGTGCTGTGGGAGATCTTGGAAAAACGTTTCCAGCAAGCTATATTTTTGAACATACACAACCATGCCTCTCCCTAAGACCACCCCCCGAAACCACGCCTTCAAAACACGCATGCTGTCTGCAGTGCGTCTAGAGCAGCGGAGGAGCCGTGCATCGCTGATCTCAGAGCTGGCAGGGAGACAAGCGGCATTGATGATGCAGAGCGCTATCATCACTCCTCTGGAACAGTTTATTAACGCCTAAATTAACTTAAAATGCTGAAATCTGCCAGGAAAACATGTTCGCTTTTATTATCCTGGTGCCTGCGGTTTGGATTATGTACATGAAAACCGCCTTCCAGCCGCCGCAGCGAACCACGAGGAGGCAACAGGGCCATAGGCTCATGGTGTTGAATGGGATTCGTAGTAACAGCACACCGCCAGTGTACGGGCGTCTGAGCGTCAGAAGCAATGTTTGAAGGCAGGATAGTAATCTGGATGAACTGACTGCATTGACCATGTTTTCAGGTGGACTTTCTTACTTCAAAATGGATTCAAACTCCTTTTTCCCCACTGATCACAGCAAATATAGCTGCCATTGTTACAGGCAAATAAAGGATAGGGTAGCTCCGCCCAACACGCATCAGACCCACGGGTTCCACCACGCAGCTAGAGCAGCTAGCTTAGCTGTGCATCAGAACTAAACTTGTACAAGCATCAAAAATGAAGCAGCACGCGCATTTTTGCTCCTCTTTCTGCTTTGGGTGTGATTTGGGTGACCAGACATCCTCTTTTTCCCAGACATGTCCTACTTTTCATACCTAAAAAAATGTCCTGGGAGAATTTCTAAAATCGTGCGGGATTTTGGTTGACTACAGTGCAGTAGTTCCGAGTTGTGAGCTCCAGGGCTGGTCGGGGCTGGGGACCAAGTGACTGAAACCAACCGGGTGATGGTAGCCTAGACAAGAAAACATAACAGAACCAAGAATGAAACAGTAACTAGGAAAAAACCAAAGAACACAATAAACTAAGAATTAAACCATAAAAACTAAAAAAACAAGGAGCAAAAGCAAAAAACGGATACTTAAAAGGAAAACATCAAAGAAAACAGAAACCTAACAGCTTTTTCTCTCTTAACATAAATTGCTTCCTTCATACCCCTCTCAAACCTTCTTTATCCAAAATGTGAACATTCTGGTCCTCCAAAGAATGTCCTTTGTCCACAAAGTGTAGATGTACTGCACAGTCTTGTCCAGAGGAGGGCGCTCTTCTGTGTTGGGCCATGCGTCTGTGGAGAGGTTGTTTGGTTTCTCCAATATAAAGATCAGAGCATTTCTCGCTGCACTAAACACATTTTTTTGAATTGAGAAAGCTTCCTGGATGGGGAGCGAAACGTCTTCAAACAGTAGAAACAATTCCAGTCATTGTCTTTTAAACTTTTTCAGAATGTCTATTACCTAGATGTTTTACAAACTATCACATCTTGACTTTAAATGCCTGTTGAAGTTCGTGGGTGATCTGAACCACTTTTTCGAAGCGTTCATGTGGTATGGGTGCAGCAAGGCTTCGAATGTAAGCGATTTGGGCCCCTCTCCTAAATAAAGAAAGCCTTGATACGCGATACAACAGAATGAATAACCAAGGAAAAGCGAGGAAAGCAACTGCATGACTAACTAGCAGCACTAAGAAATACATAAGAAAATAATTTACAACAACACCTGGCAAAGTGAGTTTAGAGAGCTAACAAGGGAATCCCCCATAGTCAAAAATAGCAGATGGTAAGACATATAGAGCATAAACATTGTAACGATGTGGCTGAAAGACAAGGACAAAATCAAAACCATGATCTACCACCTACAGATCATGACAAGAAAGTCCAAAAAATCAATACAGACATGAACACTGTTATTTGCAGTTGCTTTCCATCCGGAAAAACCGGTCATCAATATGTATGTACAAGAATATTAAAGGTATAAATACAATTTCCAGGTGATCTCACTCAAAGCACCTTTTTGACTATTTATTAAAAACACCATCCCTAATTTTTATTTACAATGTCCATAATTTTCCATGTTTATGTATACCAACACTAAAAACATGTTTGGTGTCTTTTTCCTGCAGGTCAGTGAATTGCTGGGAACAGCAGCCCCCAAGCAGCAGGCAACACTTACTGTGTCCTGCCGCGGGGAGGTGGGCTGGAGCTCGGTGGGACGGCAGCAGACCCTGCGAGAGTTCCTGGAATACAAACTTAACCTGGAGCCCCTTCTCCCTAAAATGGAGGGTGTCACTGAGTTCACAGAGTACGTCTCTGAAACAGTAGATGTCCCCTCACCTTTCGACCTGCTGGAGCCCCCCACCTCCGGAGGCTTCCTGAAGCTATCTAAGCCATGTTGCTACATATTCCCTGGAGGACGTGGAGACTCAGCCCTCTTTGCTGTAAATGGCTTCAACATCCTAGTGGACGGAGGCTCTGAAAGGAAATCCTGCTTTTGGAAACTTGTCCGTCACTTGGACCGCATTGATTCAATTCTACTCACACACATCGGAGCTGACAACCTCCCTGGCATCAATGGGCTGCTTCAGAGGAAGATTGCAGAACAGGAGGAGGAGCAGTCTCAAGGATCCACAAACTACAGTGACTGGATGAAAAACTTGATTTCTCCCGAGCTTGGTGTCGTCTTCTTTAACGTGCCAGAGAAGCTCCGTTTGCCAGAATCTAATCTCAAAGTAAAGCGCAGCATTGAAGAGGCCTCGCTTACTCTGCAGTACCTTAGTAAACTAGGAATCAAACCAGAGCCCCTGTATCGAGTGGTCAGCAACACCATTGAGCCCATTACACTTTTTCATAAGATGGGAGTTGGGAGGTTAGATATGTACATTCTCAACCCTGTCAAAGATAGCAAAGAGATGCAGTTTTTAATGCAGAAGTGGGCTGGCAATAGCAAGGCCAAAACTGGCATTGTGCTGCCCAGTGGGAAGGAAGGAGAAATATCAGTACCCTACCTGACATCAGTTACAGCCTTAGTAGTGTGGTTACCTGCCAGCCCTACAGAAAAGATCATCAGAGTGCTGTTCCCCGGGAATGCACCGCAGAACAAGATCTTTGAAGGGCTGGAAAAACTAAAACACCTTGATTATTTGAGGTACCCTGTAGCCACACAAAAAGATATTGCCTCAGGAGCTCCTCCATCTGCCATTAAGCAAACCAAGTTAAAACAAAGAACAGATAGCAAAGAAAGTCTTAAATCCTCCCCTAAGACCACTGCAAAGGCCCCAAAGAAAGAAGCTGATGGACAGGATGATGTGTCCAATGCCACAGAGGCAAAGAGTGACTCTGTGAAGGAAAATATCTCTGAGAAGAAAGAGGAAAAGAAGCCTGCCAAAATGATAAAAGCTAAAACTGAAGTGCCAGAAAAGAAAAAATTAAAAGAAAAAACTTTGAAAAAGCATTCCAAGGAACGGGCGTCAAAAATGGATGAGAAAAAAGACAAGGAGAAAAAAGAGATAAAGAAATTAAAGAAAGATGATTCTGCTAAAAAAGATGACAAGAAAGACACCAAGTCCAAAGAGGACAAGAAGAAGGATGCATCTAAACCTGAGCTGAGAAAAATCACCAAGCCTGACCTGAAACCACTGACACCTGAAGTAAGGAAGACCTTGCATAAAGCAAAAGCATCAGGCAAAACCAAAACTGTAAAAAGCAAAGTGGCAAAGGCTGAACCTACTGAGCCCAAAGCAGACATAGCAAAGCCTGACTTTGTCCAACCTGAGCCCAGCGAGGGCGTACTGCTGAGTGGTACAATGGTCGTCTCCATCCCTGAGGACCCGAACAAGCAGTTAGAAGAACTGGAAACAGATAAAGGTAAAGCTGTGCCAGCAGAGCTACCTGTGAATGATAAGATTTCATCTGAGGAAACAGCAGAAAGCTTGATCCAAAAGAAGCCTGAAGCACCTGATACAGCTTCAGAAATCCCTCAGAAACCAACATCACCTGAAAAGGAACAAACAGCCCCTTATGAAGCAGCAAAAACTGAAGTTAAGGCGAAGGAGTCAGCTCAAGAGAAAGAACTGGAAGAAGCTCAGACATTTGAAGATGAGGGAGCTGCATCTCAGGATGAGGAAGAGGTGGAGGAAGAGCCCCCTGCTGCAGAAAAGAAACCACTAGAAAGAGAGGAAGAAGAGGAGGAAGAGGACATGGGTATAGGTGTGGATGAAGATGAATCAAAATGGATGGAAGCAAAGGATGATGGACTTGACAGGAAACATGAAATAGAGGAAATGGAGAAATCAGAATATCTTTCCGCTAAAGCGTTGACTACACAGGAGTTACAAGTGACTCCATCCAAAGAGGAGAGAGAAAACAAAACTGTGGTAGAGGAGGAGGAGGAGAGGTTGGAGAAACCTGAACTGGAAGAGGTAGAGGACTTGGATGTTATAGCAGATGAGGAGATCAAAGTCAAGACTGAAGATACAGTTGATGCCAAAACAGGTGAAATGCTGACGACCACAGCTGTGGAAGGAACCATCGCAGCTGAGCCTGTCTTCTACATCCAGGATGAGATGATTCCTGGCTACTCTGAGACAGAGCAAACTATTTCTGATGAGGAGATTCATGAGGAGGCAGAGGAAAGAATTCCACACCTCCAGTATGATGTGGGTGTTTACGACATCTCTGTGCCAGATCAGACAGGGTCCTTTGTAGACATTCATGGCATGAGAGAGATGCAGGCAGCTGCCATGGCTGACAAAGGTTTTATTCCAGGTGTCCAGGAACAAGTATCTGTTTTCACCAACATCATCACTGCTCCTCTGGCAGAGGAAGAGCATGTGTCCTCTGCAACCTCCATCACAGAGTATGATAAAATGTCCTCTCTTCCTACATCTATTGCTGATGATCAGTCAGTGGCATCTGTGGCTGCTCCAGCTGAGGAACCACTTAAACCCCCAGCTTCTTCTTCAACTGCAGCAGGCGCTGGCCAAGTCAAAGAGCATTCACGCTCAGCCGGAAGCCTATCGCCACCTTCTTTGGAGGAGGACAAGCTTTCTAAATCTCCCTCTAATGATTTACAGCTCCCTATAGCAGAGGAGAGAAAGGTAACTGAAGTTCCTCACAAAATAGAACAAGAGGAGGACGAAGAAGAAGAAGAGGAAGATGAAGAAGACCAAACCCCTAATGTAGATATGTCTCTTGAAAAACTTCAAGAGGGTTATGCTGCATCCCATATCTTGCAGAGCAAAGACACAGTCACTGAAAAGGATTCTGATTTTAGATCTCCTGAAAAGATTCACCATGACATCAGACCAGTTCATTTACCCGTGGAGGAGGAGAATAGTGATGCAGTAGCTCCAAAAGACATTTCATCTGTCGTGCCTACAAGACCTTTTGGATCTGACTCTGTAACTTCAGAGAGCGAGGAGCGTTGCTTTAGTCCAGATGACATCACTGTAAAAATGGCTTCTCCTCCACAGTCTGGACCCTCAAGTGCTGCTCATTCTCCGATTCGTCAGTCTCCAGTAGATTCCAAAACAAAGGTTTCCCTTGACTCTGACCTGCTAAAAGAGGAAGTACTTCCAAATGAAGTCGTCACAGAGGACAGCCACACCAAAATGAAAGATGACCAGCAAAATGAGAAACAGGAAGAAGTTGACAAACAGAAAGTGGGTCACTCTGAAGAAGCCTCTGGGAGATCTGAGGACACATCGTTTGAAAGAGACATTAAAGAGGTTCTGGTAATGGAAGAAGAAGAAAGTGCGTCAGTGCAAAAGGATGAAGGAAAGCAGGCAGAAATTACACAGCCTGTTGCATCATCTTTAACAGAAACTAAACTACCTGTTGGGGCCTTGGAGGATTCCCCCCCCTCAATAGATATAGAAGACCCTCACAGAGAGCAGGAAGCTAAAGTGCCTGGATCCAGTAAATTCCCACTGGAGAAGAGTAGCTCCTTGGATCATGATAAAAAGGATGATGATGACGATACATTTATTAGTAAAGCCTCCAGACTAGAGTATGAACAACATAAGGATGAGGTGTCAAGCCTTAAAGGAGTCAAGGAGGAAGAAAAACAGAAATCTGTCATCCAGGAAGCTATCTCAACAGTGGCATCGGTCGAGTTTGAGAAGGAAGAGAAACTGTCCATAATGGAGGATATTTGTGACCATAGACCAACTGTAGAAGAAGGAGAAAAGGATGTTGTAATTGTTGAGGACACTATTAAAGATGAACATCAAGAGACAGAAAAAGATGATAAGACAAAAACAAACGAACAAGTACAGAAAGTAGTGGTGCCTTCTGAAGTCAGACAGGTCAAAGATGATCAGACAAAGAAAGAGGATATACAAGAGGAAGAATCTGACCTCAAAACGGAAAGTGACGTAAGACAAACAGAGGAGACAGAGCATGATATTAATGAGAAGAAGATTTTAAAAGATGGTGAGAAGAAAGAGATGGAAAAGGTGGATACCTTTGACATCAAGCCCCATTTAAAAGATGTTGATAAGGTCCAAACATCAGAAGTCAGGGATGATAAAGATGAGTGCCAGAGTGAGGAAAAGAAACATGATTTGCCCATTTCCAAGTCTTCTGAAGATGAGAAGAAAAAGGAGAAAGCATCATCGGATATCGAACTGCAAGAGATTGAAGAAGTGGAAAAAACAGATGTGTTGGCCAATAAGCCCTTCACAGACCATGAAGAGGAAGCGATAAAAATAGATAAAGAAATTAGTGAAACACACAAAGCTCCTTTCACCACAAAGGAAGATGATGAGCAAGAAGCAATCTCAACATTCAGCCAAACAAAAATAGAGAAGGATCCAAGTGTAAGTAAAGAAGAGATCACTGCAGACAGGACGACAACTGAAAAGACAGAGAACATTTCAGAGAAGGAAGATATTCCCTGCAGTGAGCCGTACCAGGAAGAAAATAAATATATAACAACAAGCAAGGATCAAGCATCCTCATTTAAACCTGCCGTTGAAGAATACATGAAAGAAGATACCGCAGCTATTCAGGCTGGTACGTCTGTGGAAAAGGAAAAGGTGAGTAAGGAGGAACCTTCCAGTAAACCAATAAATGAAGAAAAAATAGAGCATGAAGAAACTAAAACCACTGATAGTGCATTTAAAGTTTCCAAAATGGACCAAGAATTTGCTTCCACCCTTACAACAACAGCTAGCAAAGAAGCATCAGAAACAGCTGAAAAAACGACAACAGCAGGAGAAGAGGAGCACAAGAAAGCCCATGAAGATGTCATATCTGCTGTCAAAGCAGTTCCGATGCTGCAAGAAGATGCAATACTATCTGAGCCTGTACAGACTGTCGAAACAGTCCAAGATGAAGCAACCCCAAAGGATGCCATTAATGAGGCTACAGCCACGAAGCGAGATGAACAACACAAAGAAATCAGTAAAGATATCTGTGTTGTTGAAACAGAGAAAACAGCAGAGGAGGAGAAAAAACAAACTCCCAAACTGTTCAAGGAGGAACAACTGACAGTTCAGGATCATGGTGTAGATATCCTGCACTTCAGAAATGAGAAAGAAAAAACTAAAGACACAATTTCTGATGTAAAACCCAGCAAAGAGCAGGAAACCAAAGAAATGACTGGTGATTCTTCAGTTCCAGAGGAGCAAAATAAAGTTGAGAGCAAGGATGATACATCTGATTTGAACCTTGACAAAGAGGAGACTAACAAAACAATCACTGAAGAACCCAGTGCAAAGAAAGAGGATGAAAAAATCAATGTTGTTGTATCTGTTAAGGAGGAGAGGGAAATGACCGCTGATACTTCAGCTGAAACTTCTCAGGATGGAAAGGACATCAGCGATATTACTCTGAAACAATCTCATGAGAACAACAGTAGCGACCAAAAAACAATGACAGAGCAAATTAGATATATAGACTGCACTGATGCAACACAAGAAAAAGACATAGATAGCACTGAACATTCCTCTGACACAAAAGAAAAGGAGTTGTCTAAGGTTGAAAGATTCAAGGAGAAAAAGGATGAAGTGAAGCAGGAGAGTTGGGCAGTAAATGAGACAGTAATTCCACAAACTAGCGCCACAGAAGAGAAAGAGGATAAAGATATTCATCCCACTGAGTCTCAGTCTAAGGTAACTGATAAAGGTACACATGCGGAGGGTTCTGATAAACTTCCTGAAGTCCAACCAGGAAAGGAAAGCTTTTTACAAGGAATACAACAGAAATCTGAGTTGAAAGATGACATTGGTATGTCTCCTCAAGACATCAAAGGGGGGCCACAAAAAGAAGATAGTGAATCTAAGGTTATTCATCAGGAAGAGAGAATGGAGAGAGAAAAGGACGACACACATGTTGCTGAACTAAGCAAAGAACAGAAAATGGAGAAAGAACAGGAAAAGGACTATACTTATGAGACTGAGGACATCAGGGATGAAAATAGAAATCCACCCGATGATGTAAAGATGATTCTGGAAAAGGATGCTGCATGTATAAAAGTGGATCATGTCAAAGAGAAAGCCAAACCTGACTACACTGAAGCAGATCAATCTAAAGTGGAAAAATGGGAGAAAGAGGAACTTCAGGAGAAAGAACTGGACAAAGGTGTCAAACAACTAACTCAGGAGATATCAGGAGACGCAGTGTTAGCCCCCAAATCAGATTATAAACCTGAATTTGTGGTCCAGTCATCAGATGAGGACAGAGAAGATGAAGAAGAGGAGGACATATGTATGGGAGGAGCAGGTTCTCGGCCTTTGTCAGTGGAGTCAAGAAAATCTGACCATGATATTTCTTCTGTGTCCACATCTCAAACTCTGCAAAAAAGTGACCAGAGTGAACCCCCTTCTTCTCAAATTCCCACAGTTATCATACCTACCCTGACGATGCAAGAGCCATCCCTGGATGAGGACATCAAAGACCCTGAAAAAGAAGACACCAGACTCTCACCCGAGGCTGACAGAGATGTTATGAAAACAGAAACCACAGCGGCACCACTTGCTAAGCCAGAGTCGACTTATGATATTGTGAAAGCCAAGGAGGAGGAAAGAGTTTGCAGTAGTGCCACTGTTAAAGCTGAACCAGTGTCAGAAATGGCCGAGACAAAGCCTGTGTTATCAGCAATGTCTAGCACTGACAGCCAACCAAGGTGTGTCAAACTTTCTAGCACAGAAAGCCAATCCAGTGTGGAGGAAACACTCGATCAAGAGAAACACATGCTGCCTGAGGTGAGCTCAGGTGTTTGTGGTAAAGAAATAACCAAGCTTGATGAGAAACAACCAAAAGAAGCAGAAAGGGAGATGGAAGGAGAGAGAGAGGTGGCATCTCCAGGTCTTTCACAACCGTGTTCATATTTCATGATTGATAAAGAATCTGAGGGTGCAAGAGAAAGTGCTTCCAGTGGAAAAACTCGTGAAACAATTAGTTTAAAGACAGAGATCAGAAGTGAAAGCCTTAGAGATGACATAGAAAACTTTGGTGCATCTAAGTATGATCCAGATGAAAAGCCCATCCCGACGTACCAAGAACTAGAGAGGGGAGAAGATACAGAGGTTTCTCTAGGTTATGATCCTGCTTCAGATATATGCATTGATGATAACCGCAGAGCAAGCCAGACAGAGGCTGGAGGAGCCATGTTTCTCTTAGATGATCATTACAAAGAGGAACCCCTGTCCTTCAGCAGAGTTGACTACAGCCCAGTCTCCCTCACAGAGAGTGAAAAAAGCAACTACCACAGCCGAAGTGCCTCACCAAGAGCTGAGGACAGAGAGAAAGGCCAAGAGGAGGAGAGTCAGAGAGAGGATAGAGTAGCTTCACCTTGCATTGACAAGAGCTATTTCTCCACAAACATGCAAGACAACAAAACATCCCAAGCAGCTGAGTCATATCCATTTAGCCCCAAAGAGGACAAACCTGAAAAATCAGAGAGAGAGAAAGAAGAAATGAAGGAAGGACACGTTCCAACTTCTCAGATACAATCAACAGAAGAGACTGAAAGAATTTCTACTGTTGCTGCTATTCAACCTCCATCCTTCTCATTAGCACAGGAAACAATCTCTGCATCAAGGGGCTACTCAGACCTAGGTGCTACCAGTAAAACTTATGGAGAAATCACAGAGAAGGAGAAGACTGAAAAACTGAGTGAAAAGTCTGCTGAGTCATTCAGAGACAAAGAGGCAAGTTCCGATGGTCCAAAGGAAAAGGAAGGCTCTCCATGTGGTCGGCGTTCGCCAGCTGAAAAAGATATTTTACCTCCAAATACCTCAGCTTCAGTGACTCAAGGTACAGCAACGGATTCCAGGAGCTCTGCTGCAGCCACCTGTGTAGGTCATGATATAGATGATAATGTTCTGGCATCTGATTACAGTAAAACTAGCAGCTCTGTTCCTTTTAAATCATCAAATCTCTCTGAGGCAAAAGAGACTCTGATGGACAAAAGGCTATTGGTAGAGGGAGAGGACTTTAGTGTTGATGATGATGAGGAAGATGAAGATGAAGAGGAGGAGGAAGAGGACATGTCGAGTGATGTAGATATAGAAAAGGGGGCAAGGGAGCAGTCCGAAAAAGAAATGTGCCGCCGTGGTTCTGATGACAGTGCTAAGCTGGAGGATACGGAGGACTCAAATAAAACATCTCAGTCTGAATTGCGTTTTCTTGAAGAGCAGTCTGCCTGTAACTTAACTACTGATGATGGCTCAACTTTACAAGACAAAGATGCAAGCATATTAGGTGGAGGCGACAAAGAGGAAAAAGCAATTGGAGATACAATGGCTTTAAATCCTCTTAAGAGAAAGAGTCCAGATGAAAAAGACTCTCAAGCACAAGACACACAAAAATATTCTGATGAAACAAAAGTAGAACACAAAGACAAAGATTATTTAACTGAACTTTCAACATCAGTGCTGCCAGTAATTGGTCAGATTTCTTCATCTGAAGTGCTAAAGGAAGATGGGGCCAACATTTCAGATACATTGGACTCTCTCTTTGTAAAGAAGGAGACAGTAGAGTCAACATCTAAGAGCACTTCGTCAACCAGTCCTTTGACATCTGAGGATTCTCAGCTAATGTCTAAGCCTACATTCAGTCCTTCTCTGTCTGAGAGTGAGGCTAGTATTCAGCTGAGCAGATCTGGAGATTCTTCTGAGCATCTGCCTAGTGAGAACAGTCAGGTTGGTTCGCATTTAGAAAAGCAAGAACCATCTGGACCCTCAGATGCTTCCAGGCAGTCTGAGCCAAGTGATAGATACTTCAGTCAAAGCCTAAAGATCCGCCAGACCACAGACACCTCATCTGGTTGCTCCTACACCACCCTATCATACTCTTCATCAGCACAATCCTCTACATCATACAGTTATGCATCTTCTGCCTCAGCCTCTGCTCTTTTAAAGCAAGACTTGGGAAAGCAGATTGCAGCTTTCACAATGCCAACTACTGAGGTACCTTTAGCCAAAGAGGAAGTTCAAGGATCTGCAAGCTCTTGCTTCGGAGGTTTTCAGAGAGATGAATACCTGGAGGTGATGACGAAGCCTGAAGGAGATGTATCACAACTACCATCCCTGGGCTCATCTGCCACTCCAAAGCAGCCTGGGGATCAAGGGGAAAAGCTAAGCACTGGGATACCAGCCTCAACCCCTGCAAGTTCTGTTCCAGATAGTCCATCTGCATCAGAGCCTTGCTTTCACGTCTCTCCTCTCCAAAGGGCTGACTCCTCTAAGCAGGCGTCCAAGGACATGGAGCCTAAAACACTTGAAATGGAAGAGAGCACCCTACCATGTCGCATTGAATGTCAAAAAATCCAAGTTTCTGACTCCAGTAAGGCTTTCTCCTCAATTACTGAATCGTATTCAGAAGAGAGTACTGTTCAGTTAACAGAGAAACAAACATTCCCCTCTACCAGTACTGAGTTTAAATCTAGTGAGATGATAGAAACAACTCAATATGCAGCCTCAATAACTCCACCCAATGGAGCCACTCCAACCTCATGTGCCACACAAGACTTAAAAGATAAAAAGGCAGAGGAAGATTATTCACCTATGAAGGAAGAAAAAGAAAAAAGTGGAAATTATGAAAAGACAGAGACAATAAGGGACATAGGAACCAAACAAAAGACAGAAGAGAAGAAACTGGATGAAAAGCCAACTGAAGAAAGAATTACAGAAGAGAATAAAGAAACAGTTGACCATAAGGTCAGTGGAAAACTAGAGACTGGGGAAAAGGGAGAGGCAAAAAGGGTGGAGGACAAAAGCTTACTTGAGATGCCATCAGAAAGATTGGTAGTGAGGAGAAAGAGCAGTTTATCTGACTGGGAGCTCCTGCAGAGGCCCGAAGACTACCCAGGTACCCCTCCACCAGACTATGATGATGGAGAAGAAGATGAGGATAAGGAAACAATGAATTGGGGGGCCACTTCTCACATGTCAGTGTCCACCTCAGCAGACCCTTACCATACGGCAGTGGCGATTAAAGGAGATATAAAGACTGCTCGTCCCTCTGACCTGAATACTGGGGCAACCTCTTCTCCCTGCCCTGAAAGCTACTCCTCCTGCGAATATAAACACAGCAAAGGAGAAATCTCCCCCTCTTTCATCAATCCAAGTCCTCATCACCTCTCCAGTGATGATGGTGAACAAGAGGGACACAGTGACCACTCCCAGGAAGGAGACGAGGATGATCATGAACAACACTCAGTTAAAAGGAGATCACACAAGCACAGGCGCCATCACCATAGTGAAACTGGGCAGGGGACACATCAGCTGCCTGGGGCAATGTCGTCTGGCTTGGCTGTCACATTAGCTGGGGAAGAAACACCTCCAACATCAGTGAGTGAGTCGTTGCCTTCACAGTCAGACTCCGATGTCCCTCCAGAAACCGAGGAGTGTCCCTCCATAACCGCAGAGGGAAATCTTGACTCTGATGAAGATGCAGAGCATCTGCCAGTAGACAAATCTGCCTCTGGAGTAGGGAGTAGCCACTACGGATCTTCACCACGCTCGTCTCAGAAACCCCATGACCCCCTCCCAACCCCTATAAAAGACCCCTTGCCCCACCCTCCCCATCCAGACGTCTGCATGGTCGACCCAGAGGCTCTTCTCAACGACCACGGTGGCACGGAAAAGCTTTTAAAGAAAAAAGGCCTCAGAAAGGGCAAACCAAAGTCTGCATCTCCGGCGCGTAAAGGAGAAGCCAGGAAAAGGTCCTCTACTCCTGTGAAGTCCAAAGACTCGGCCTCACCCCGATCCTCCTCGCTCAGGAGAAAGGACACAGAGAGAAGCTCAAGACTGGTCAAAATGTCTGAAATGCAAGGCTCAAGGAGTGAGCTGCTCAACCATGGGAAAGGGTTGGTCAACGGCGTGAAGAGCGGTCCAGGTCTGTTATTAACCTCACTGCCTTTAACACATCACCTGTAAAGTATTCATTTCCCCAACTATTTTACCTGCATTTGTGGGATGCCATTTGTAAAGTCAAGCAGTCAAAAAATTCTGAGCAGTATTTATGGTTACTTAGTTCATTTTAAGATAAAAATAAGGGTATTTTTTCCAAGTCATTTTTTTCACCTTCATTCACTCATTTATTAAAATCAAAGTTCTAAACTAAATTATCAGTTCAATTGTCAGTTGAGACATTTGTCAGCAAGCTAAATATTTATTTTCCAAACTAGATATTTATTATTTTAACTAAATATGTATTTAGTTATATACATCTGGGTCGCCTTCGATTTAAATTTCCTAAAAAGACCTAAATGATGTTTTTCCCTCCCCAAAAATAGTAAGAGTAGTAAAATATAATGTGTTAAAAGTTAATAATGTATTTCCTAAGAAAATAAATGCCTTAGAATCCTGTCTATTTTATCACTCGTTTCTACCCGATCTGTACTGGAAATGGGATCCTACGCTACTTTCGGGAGCTAACTTCTTCGGCTTTGGATTTAAACATAAATCTAGTCTTGTGGGGTTTTATGTTTTCCTTTGGTGTTAAAATTATGGTATTTAGAAAAAAGGGAAACACAAATATGATGGCGACAGTAATATAGGTAACAATCCAGAATCCCCTCATCCCATTGGTCGAGCCAAGTGTTTCTCACAGAAAAGATAACAGGAGACAACAGAGCAGCATCACTCAAAGACAAACAGTCTCACTGCTGCAAGAGCTCAGAGGAAATACCAGTGGAAAAAAATAGACTATCGCTACATAATGTGGCATTGAGCTAATCATTTTTGTTTCTGTTTTGCAACTGTAGCCAACAGTCATTGCATTTAAGGCACAAATATGTTTATAAGTTTGCTTTTGCACCAAAAATATGCACTATTTCTTTATTTTTTATATTCATTTTTACAGTTTGAAGTTAAGCAGGACAGGCTTAAGTTTAGAATAGTTATTCAGCAAAGTTTGTTATTTTGTTAAGTGAATTGCTTGATAATAATTTGTTTTCCACGTGTTCATGCCACTCACAAATATGCATCTAATCATTGCAGATTTGAGTCAAATAATTAAAAAAAGCACTTCATACACAAAGGGGGGCTAAAAAAAAAATCACCACACCAGGAGGGGTAAAGGCCATTGGGTCACCTCATGTGCGTGACATGAGGTGTCCCTTTTTTTCAGGGAGCTGGCAGACCTATTTTTGACATGAAATTGAAAAAGAACTTTTATTTCTTTTTTGAATGTACATTTCTTTCAATATTTTTAGGGATTCCCAGTGTTATTTCCTGTTTCAAAGAAGCTATTTTGTTCAGATATATTTTTTAAAATTTTAATCTGCTGAAGGTTTTAAATTGTATTGTTGGCTGCAATAAAACAGAAATCTCAGTTGGATGGGTGACAATAAGCTTATGTAGTTGTATTTTGTTCATGAGAAATAATTAGTTCAGTTCATAAATGAGACGCTCGCCTTCATTCTACCAAAATGCATCTTTCCTCATATTCAGCAAACAGCTCCCAGAAAAGCAGTACAGCTGTTCCGCAAGGACCACCTGTGTATGTAGACCTGGCTTATGTGCCCAACCACTGCAGCGCTAAGAACGTGGACCAGGAGTTCTTCAAAAGGGTGCGGGCTGCATACTATGTGGTGAGCGGGAACGAGCCAGGGAGCGTCGAGCCTAGCCGTGGAGTCCTGGATGCTCTGCTGGAGGGCAAAGCTCAGTGGGGCTCCAATTTACAGGTACATACAACCAAAACACAAAAACTTAGTCAGGATAAAGACAAACACTACTATGTATTTCGCTGGGACTTTTTAATGTGATGAACCAACATAGAGTATTGTATATTTCAAACTTAAAAGTGAAAGAATACATGAGTTTGCAGTGTCTTTTTTCCAGTAGAACCTGAAAAGTTTGACACATATTTCTGTTAAGCCCCTTTTACTCTGATACTACTAAATATGATTATCCTCATAAGTTGATTGATCGATCCTAAGTTAGGGGACCATTGAAAGATGCTTTTTACAAAGCAATGTTCATCAGTCACATTTATAAAATGGATTTTTTTATCAATTATTTTTCTTAGTCAGGAAGCCTTAACTGTGAAATAACTTAACAGAAAAAAAAGTAAAATTATACAGAATAGATTTTATGTTCTCAGAATAATATTGATTATTTGCACAACTCCACTACTTCCTGAACTTAAAACAGCTCTTCTGTCTGCATTTCTGTATCAACTGATAATCCATGTGTCTGTGGCCAATGCATTCATGATCATTGAGGTCAGGTCAGGCACCCCTGGATTAATCAGTTCATCCGCAGAGAAAGAAAGAAAACGAGGGGCGGCTTTAAGTTTAGGAAGTACTAGAGTTGGGCATATAGCCCATTTAGCTATTTTAATTCAGAAGAGGTATGTTTATACTGGAACTAGTCTTATTTTCCCCATCTGGTGACAAGTTGAAGTTCCACCAGTGTACTGTAGTGCACATACATGGGAGAAGCGAGAATAATCTGCTTCATTAATCTTACTGTTATTTTTTTACTCTTGTGTGGAGCCTGTGATTGGGGTGTGCTTTATGGCTGTTCTTTTGTGACGAGGGTGCGTAGATTTTTGTTTTAGAATACCAAATATTGAAATGAGAACTAAAAGTGTTTCTCTTTAAATGTCAGGAAGGGATGACCAAAATTTTGAGAACAGATTGAGTTTTGTTTTCAATTCTGATTGACAAAATGTCATTACTTACTTACAGTACTTACAAACAGAAATAAAATAGTCATTTTTTATTTTCTGAGAGGAGACACTTATTTTACTAGATCATCAAAATGAACATTCTGCCAGTAGAACAGATAAAAATGAGAGAGGAAGATGTTTGCAAGAAAAGTAAGATTTCCTTATATCCTGGCTCAAGATGTTGGTATTTCTCCTGCAATTGGAAGGTTGCTGGTTCAAGCCGCTCCTCCAACCATCTTGGTTGTGTTTTTGGGCAAGATACTTCCTCGCCTTTCTTACTGTTTTTGTTTCTTTTTTAAAGTAATTTCATTTATTGTGAATCGTCATGGAAGACAAAACTCAAACAAAAAGACATCTAAATCTTAATATTTTTTCCGTTTTGTTGGGAAGCCACAGCACGGTTAGAACCTGTGAAATCTTGCTGTTTTTTTACGGTTCAATGTTCGAAATGATCCTTATAAATGAATATATACTTTTATATATCCCTTTATATTATGTTAAATTACACAACATAATACTCCTAACATTTTTCGTGTTTATAAACAGTTGAAGACAGCCAATGTGACAACATTAGATATATTTGGCTACTTGTTTATGAGCTGCCACCCTAACATAAAAAAAAAAGAAAATTAAAAACAACGGGAATTTGTTTCCAAGTTTGAAGATGTTTCGCTTCCCATCTTGGAAGCTTTTCAATTCAAAATGTCAGGAATAGCGTTGAGTTCCAGGCTTTATACAGCAGCCCAATAAAGCCTTGTTTTTGTTTTGAAAACATGCAAATTGGAACAGGCAAAAGGGTCCACCCCTTAGGAATGGGGGTCGTTTGGCTCCTTTTGTGAGACTGCAATACCTCCATACCCATCTAAGTGTCTGAAAGGGGGGTCATTAAAGGGGATTGTTGGTTGGCTACAACCTGGATGACTGAGAACCTTCACCAGTGTATGCCACTATAACATTTATTGACAAAAATTCAACCTGCAGATACTCAGACACACAAGAAAAGTGGAAATGAGTTCCTTTGCACTCCGACCACAGCAGAAGACATGGAAGCTACGAATGGAGATGAGCTTGGATGATCATTGTTAGATCAGGATTGGATATGTATTAGAGATGCTTCATATGGAGGTCGGAGCCTGCATCACGGCAAACGTGCAGATCGCACAGCAGGTGCCTGCAGACCAGCTACTCAGTGTGCTCTTTAGTTATTGCCCTTGGTGACTTTAACAAAGGAAACCTCACTCATAAAACTATTGTTACCTCAGAGCCCAAAGATAGTTTACAAAAAATTCTTAATATGCTTGTTTCTTCTTATTTAAAGTAGTTGGAAATTGTTGAATTTAAAAAAGGAATATCCTCCATCTTCTTTATTATTCTTTCAAACAAAATAAAAAAAAACGCAAAAGCAACCAAAAAAAAATAAATCCTGTTTCTCATATTTCAGTTTCTGGTTTTATTGTTGAAAGCATTGAAAAACCAATGAATAAATGATGGGGGTGCGGCTGCATGCAAATATATGTTTCTGATTTTATTCATCAAAACAAATCTGCTGTTTTTTATTAACAGTTGTTTACTCCTCTGTGCTGGTCCACATTAATGCTGAATCATATCTTCATAAGCGGACATTTTGCTTTGCTGTGATTGAACTATTCAACTGTTCTGTGACAGGTCACAGTGATACCGACTCACGACACAGAGGTCACCCGGGACTGGTACCAGCAGACCCACGAGAGACAGCAGGACCTGAACATCATGGTGCTGGCTTCCAGCAGCACCGTCGTCATGCAGGACGAGTCGTTTCCAGCTTGTAAGATCGAGTTCTAAGCCTCGCCCCCGTCGTCACCACTGCCTCTCATTCCGCCGTCCCTCCATCATCCAGAAATAGAACCAGAGCAAACAGAGCTCCATGCTCCATCCCTGTAGAAAACAGTCGCTACAGCAGTTGATAAGTGAAACTCTAGGCCTGTGATATGTGATAGTGGGGTTTAGAACGCAAATAATGCTAAACTTGTCACTTTCTTCACTGACCCAGTCCCATTAAAGTGAATCTAACGTGTGACTAGCACTGATTAAAAACCTTCTCCCAGTAAAAACATCTTTAATAATCGGACTTAAATCAGAATTAATCCGCTAAAACTGATTAGACTGTTTATAGGAAGCACTCTCTATATTTAAAGCTCTGTTCTCCAGCACTTCACACAAAACATTTCTGAGCTCAGTAGCATTTATTTGATCTCAATAACGACACAAGTAAATGTTTTTGAATGAAATTACTTCTACGCTTCTTTAGTGGTGATTTTCCAGGATGTTCCCCCTCGCCAGCTCCTTTTATCTTGGCTTTCACAGCTTAGCTGCTGCATGATGCTTGTAGCTCAGATTGGTCTCAGTTTGTTGAACGCAGCATAGTGTTAATAGATTACTGCAATCTTTGGCTGTCTACACTCAAGTGAAATCTGTAGGCGCTGGACAAAGGAATGCTTCTATTGCTTTAAACTTACACAAGGTTCCATAGCTGTTTTTTTTCCATCACACATTTAGAGTTATTAGTGTTTATCAGCACCAATGGTCTTTCTGTTAAATTCCTGGGTTAATACAGCAAACAAATAGATGTTTCTCATGCTTAGAGAAGAAGGCAAAAAATAAGCCATTAAGCCGTCTTTGTCAACACAACAACAAAACCATTGAGAAAAAGCATGAAGTGACCTGTGACAAATGTAGCAAAGCTCTTCTGAGTGGCCCCTTCTCAGGCAAAAACATATTTGCAGGATTGGATTTATTTTGCAGGACAGAAATGTGTGAGGCGTCTGCAGGTGGGCTGCTCTTACTCTACGTGCCTTTAGGTGGGGATATTTTGAAGACTTGTCAGCCATTTTGAAAGGTGGGTCAAGATGATGGAAGGTTCATAAGACGGACTGAACAAATCACATCCGAGCCACAGCTGAAAAATACTGTATCACATGAAGTTTATGGTAATTGCACACAAAAACAGAACCATTAGAGCTGCATTTGTCCCACTTTAGATTCAGACTTGAACCCTGAATATCAGGTTTAAACCAAATATGGATGCACTTTTCTGAAAGAAATTGGGGAGGAGAATTTAAAGGTTGAGTTTTGTTGGTGTTTGAGGTACGAATCGTCGGTGTCACGGAAGAGAATTCAGACGTGGAAGTTAAGATATGCAAGAATGAGACGTTCCTCCGTAACTGTATTTCTGTGCTTGTTAAACACCACATATTTTAAGATAGCATCATTTTAACTGATATGCAAGTTTTACTGTAGTTGAGTGGCACTTTATTTTTTTCTGTTAAAATAAGAATCAAATTTCAGCCAATATTTTGCCTTCCATTATTTAGATTAATAAAGTTTGATCTCCAGGAGGCGGTGGTGTTTCTTTTACACATGCAAATCTGAATCAGCTCAGTGAAAGGAGTTCCTTCTTTATTTCATCACCTATCAAATAAATTAGGAACTTTTTATCTATAACAGTCTAAAGCTTCACAAGAACTTTTTGACTCACCTGACCGTGTATCCCGCTTTCTATGGAGTAAATTTTGTTCCATTCTTGCTAAAAGCAAAGAGCCTTTGAAAAAAGAAAAATTCTTAATCAAAAAAAGGTTTTGAGAGTAACTTTTTCATATTTTATGGTTCAAACCATTTTTGAAAAAAAATCAAATCTTAGAAAACAACAAAGTTACTCTTGATACCTTTTTTATGAAGTAGTTTTTTAAAGTTTGATTTTTGGATTGAATTTTTTTTTTTTCAAATTTCGGTTTAAAAAGTTTTCTTTTCTTACAACAATAATGGAACAAAGATCACTTCAGACTTTTCACAATAATCTCAATCAAAGGGAACTCTGCTGCTAAAAAAGGAATTGAAGGGAAATTTGTTAACCGGTGGAACAAGGTTTTAATGGATAAATTTGTACTAATAGAAAGTTTTGACCAGTCTTAGTATTTTGGATCTTTAAATATGATTACATGCAGTCTTTAAAAACTGTGTAATGCTAACTTGTAAGCTACAAAGCAGTTTCCAGTTTTGGCTTCTCACTGGCATTGCATACATATTTCAGAACACCAGGGGGCGACGATCTATTGACCAGATAAACAAATAAGCACAAGAAAATTGGATTTTGTGATGCAACAGGCAAATCTCTCTTCTTTGAGAACCCTTGGAGGAGAGCCACATCGCCTCGATAGAAAAAAAAAAAAAAACACGACCGCCATCGCGGACTGTTGTTTAAGCAAAGATTAACCTTATTTCTAGCGATTTGTTTCATCTTAAAAGAGGAATCTTGCTGGCTGGCACAGCCACACAGAGGAACTTTAAAACAAAAGACAACACATTATTGCTGCCAATTCCAGCCAGTCAGATAGCAGTGCCAATTTCTTTTGCCGATTAATAACACAGCTGTATACCTCATCTCTAAACTGTGCTTTCTGCTGTCCTAGTTTTAAATAGGCTCTTTCTAACCTATTATTGACAAATTAGTCATTTTGAAGAAATGAAATATAAACAAGAAACAAACAGCTGAGAACGCACAAATGAACGGTCTTGGTCAGCAAAAAGCTGACTCACTGAAGGGCATAACGAAGGGTTAAAGGGATATCTGAATGTCTCACAAATGATCACTTTCATTTTTTCTTTATTAATGCGAGTAGTTTGATACAGAAAGCTGCTATATATTTATTTTTAATGTGTGCATTAGGTTTGTTGGATGCTTTGATTCGTTCCAATGGTTTGTTTTGATCATTTTGTATTTGAAGTAGGCAAATTCCAAATACTGGGCCTTGGGGTTCCCCAGGCTGGAAGAGAAGGCTGTGAATCGCTCAGTAATGAACTGTGTACCCTCACAGGAGCTAAATGCACTGTACAGGTGATCTATTTTTCTGAATGTAGAGTTGGTATGACCACATGAATGCTGATGGGTTAAAAATATAATAATGTGCAAAAAAGAAGAAAAACATATTTATACCAAGATAAAATAGAAGACGGACAGCGTTGCTTGTGGTTCAGCAACAAGGAAACACAAAGACATTTCTATCTCATGATTCCAGGACAATTTCACTCTACTGCAAACACGTGAACAACAGAAGATGAATAAAACTCACTGCAGCTGCATTTTTTTTCCTGAATATGACTTGAAACACGTGCAGACTCAAAACCAACAGAGGTGAAACGCAAACATTTACTATAACCTACCGATCTTTACATATCGCTCTGAAACAACAAACCTGACAGATAACAAACTATAGTGACAAGCTTATCCAAACTGCTTAAACAACACAATAAACCATCAAGCTACAGAAAGGAAAAAAACAAAGCGCATCTTTCAGTTCAGTATCCATGTCCATAGCTGCGTTAGAACTAAAGACTAAAGTCATTCAGAATCAGCATCTGGTGTCATCCGTCCATCTAATCTCTGCATGTGATTTATTTAGTTATAATCCTGAATGTAACTGTTTAACAAGAAGAAAATAAAAAAGATACAATGCTATTTTAAAGAGGTATATTTGAAAAATGCTTATTGTCTTAACCTGTACTGACATGAACTACAGTAATATAATCTTGGGCTGTGCTTTTATTGTTTGCCCTATACAATGTTGTTAAGAAGACACCGTATTGGTAGTTCTGTTTGATTTTCTCTCTTTCTCTTTAGTTTCTGCATTGTATTAATCTTATTTCTGTTTTTTCTTTCTCTGTGCAATATGAAATATCTCTCTGTCTCTTTAAATCTGACTGGTAAAACTAGAACTACTGCAGCTCCATTGTAAAAGGGAAACAGCCTGTTGATCATCAATTAAACTACATTGAAATCTACGTGTCTCCATCTGTTTTGTGTTAAAGGTCATTTTAAACTTTTAAGGAGGGACTCATGAATACCTGATCACAAGTAAATGACTTTTGAAAGTTATTTGGATTTAGAATGAGAGCCCAGTGGTCTTCTGGAGCTCCAGGTTGAACATTTTTATCAGACCTGCCCTCTTCCCACCAGAGTAAAGCCTCTCCATAAGCTCAGAGGCTGCACTGATCATTGAACTGATCTACCAGACAGGCTTCTTCACAGCTGCTCTGGCCTATAACCATAGGAGGGCTCTGCACCATCAGTTTCAGCCTTGTTTAGAAGTAAATACATAAATACTTTCACTAGATTATCATCAACAATAAATAAAGCAGAATGGATCATGTGCGAATTATTGACTTGAATCTACTGCAGAGTTCTGTGAATGTAAATTAATACCTTGAATGAGGTTATGGTTTTCTTAGGATAATATTCATGTGTGCATATTTATTTAACGACAATGTGAAGAATCTTCTTGAAAACAACTAAAAGTATTTCCTTATCCAAAACTCAATGGTTATAGATAAAAAAAAAACAGCTGGAAAAGACCACTAAGGCCATTTCTGGACAGTCTTTTTTTTTAAATTTCAACTTAACCTAACCCTGTCTTATATAAGCCGTCTTTTGCAGGTCCAATATCTTCAAGAGAGATTTGTTTGTTCAATTCATTACAGTTTATTTATATTTAGATGAACTCCGAGTCATCTCTCATTTCAGAGGACGAAAGAGAGCACATCCATTTAGTCACAGTAAGAGAAACAGGACTACACTGAAAAACAGATCAAGCAACAACATCTATAAACAAAGGTGTTGATGGCAGCAGTACAAACAGGAACAGACCAGGGGTCAGTAACACAAAGCAGGTTTACTGAAAACTAAGTTGTCTGAAACTAAAAACGTTTTCCGTTTCTTGAAGAGAGTTTATTCAACGTCTGTTTCAGTCGCCATAGTAACATTCTCCCAGAGATAATCTGGTCAGTAGAAGGTTTTCTTCAGTAAAAAAAAAAAAAAATATATATATATATATATATATATATATATATATATATATATATATATACATACACGATGCATTGCTGCAAATATACACTTAGTATTTACTGTGTAAAAAAAGACTGAATTAACATGAGGGACTCATGAGATGATGAACTAGTTCTCTTTATTAGAACAACTTTTTTATTCTTCATCTTCACCTGCAGCCAGAACATTTCATCTAAATGGACACATCTATCTACTACCATTCAAGAAATAATCCCTGAATATTTTTCATGGTAACAGTAACTATGGCAAGCAGTGTTATATGTATTTGTTTTACTGAATGCCTATTTCTGATATCTGAAAAAATAAAAATAAATCTTTGTCTAAATGACCATTTCAAACAAAATGACATTCTCTACATCTAGAATAAACATTCTGGATGTCTATAAATTAATTTCAGATCTCCATATTCCTAATTATTACTGGTCAGCATTTGTATTATTTTAACTATGAAACATATGAAAACTTAATTCTTACTAGTATAATTTAGTTTTTTTTTTACTTTCTAAAATTCAGTTTCTGCTACAAAAATATATTTTAGAAAATATATAATTACATATAGGTCTAGGAGTGATTTTGATCAGGAAGAATCTTATTTTAGTGATCTACAAATGGAACAACAAAGAGGAGTTCTTTTAATAAATGTAAAAACAGCCTGCCATAGACCACCTCATATAACCTTACCCATTAACTGGGGAAACAATGTTCTCCTTTGCCATCTTCCTTTCCTTTGTGGCTGTAGCAATGTTTCTCTGTCTTTTAAACACATTCACCTTTTCTTTGCATTTCTACATTAAAATCTCTAGTTCCATTGGGGTCTAATAGACACACTGCAAAAAATAGAAACCTCAATAAGTTATTTTTTCTTAAAATAAGTGAATTTTTCCTTGAATTGAGGACGTAAGTAAGACACTTTGCCAATGGAACAAGACAATTTCCTTTTAAAATAAGAAAAAACTATTTTATCGTCTTATTTCAAGTAAATATTATCTAACTATCTTATTTTAAGAGTAAAAATACTCATTCCATTGGCAGATCATCTTATTTACCTGCTCAAATTAAGGGTAAATATACTTAATTTAAGAATTTTTTTACTTATTTCTGGATTGTTTTTGCAGTGCACTTCCTGTTGCTGTTGTCATGGTGACTCGTCAAATTGGCACCCCACTGATAATGGCTTTTCTTACTTACTGAGCATGTGCTTAACTCTGAGTAGACCTAGTTAAAATTGACTGAACTAATTGATAGCAGCCGTGGTAAAATCGAACACTCAGAGTTCCCGACTTTAGGCTAGCTTGTGAAACGGACCCCAGATGAAACCAATATGAGAAAAAGCAGAGAGAGCATAAAGTTAGAGGTTGAACTAACAAATAATGCAGAATGTGAGAAGAGATAGAACAAAGCAGAGGAAAAGCGGTCCCTATGTCCTCCAGCAGTCTAAGCCTAAAGCAGCATAACTATAGAGATAGCTCAGGATAACCTGAGCCACAACAAAACAAAAACATTCAAAAACAAAACAAAAAATAAAAAACATTTAACTCAAATTCATTTAAAAAGTGAGATGAAAAAAGCAGCAATAGGAACAAGATAATTTTTGCCTTAAAAGAAATGTAAATTGTCCCATATTAATTGATGAGGAAACATTCAGATTCATCTTTAGAGTATTCCATGTCAATGGAGAAGAGTATGAAAATACTTTTTATCCAAGTATGATTGTACAGATGGCATCATATAGCAAAGAAAGTCCTGAGATTGTAGTTCAGAGCTGATTGTTTGAGTGACAGGTATGAGGTTAGGTAATTTGCAAGTAGTCCAAGATAAGCTTTGTACCTAAAAGCATCCTGAGAATATAAATTACATTGGTAAGAGATCCATATCAAGGGATCATCGTGCTCCATGATACACAGCTTCCAACATATGCAGAGAGGTGGCAGATGCATTCATATAAACATTCAAATAGAGGATGGAATGCCTCCAATAGAGGCAGGAAAGGCCTTTAAACAAGATGCTTCTCCACTGAAGGAGAAATCTGATCCATTGCCAAAGAAAAAACTGCTATATAACATTTTCTACATGTGGTTTTGAGTAAAGCTCTGGTGATTTTATTATGCAAAGGTGGACACAACTGGACTAAATTGTTCTTATATCTTCTTTTTAGTGAAAGGAAAACCCACAATGTTCACATGAATAACTTGAACCTGGCAGAAGTAACTCAGACTGTGGAGACTCACCCAGAGGAAAGTAGCAATTAGAAAGATTTTATTGACATTGATGAAACTAGTTGTTTGGGGCTCAGAAAAGACTTTGATGCTGAGAATTGACATGATTCCGATAAAAAGTTCAGGAAAAAGGATTAGTCTTCCTCCTCTGGAGGCCCAGACACTGGTGGTGGAATCAGCTGGAGGAGGAATAAGACTGAGAATAGGCTGAGAGTGAGGGAGGAGATGAGGTGGAGATGGGTGAATGTTCAGCTGGAAACGCTGGAGGAGGAGCTTATGCTAGTTTGTTAAGTTAAAATCAAATGCTGAATGCACTTGAGGGGTGACTAAAATTTATTCTTTTTTCCTTTTCATTAAAATGGAAAAATATTTACAATTTTCTTGGATTTTTACCAGCTCAACAATAAACTAAGGAATATGTTAAGTGGACTTGAACTAGGCCATTCTAACATGTCAATATGCTTAAACCCTCGTTAGAAGCCATTGGTAGGTTTTCTTCCAGGGTTGCTCCAATCAGCCAAATATAACTTTGCAATTTTAAAAAGGGATCAGTACCCCCTTTCAAAACATCTGAATAAAACTCACAACTATAAAATGAACGAAAATGTAAAAATTGATTTGCAGGACAGTAAAAATTAAAAAGGCTGCTCAAAAAGAATGTTCCCATAGCATTATGCTGCCACCACCTTGCTTTAAAGTGATAATAGTGAGGAAAAGAACCTTAATACCTCAAGCATGAGAAATTACTTGGAAATGAATCACATTTTAGTAAGCCACTTTTTTTTCTCTCAGACACCTGTCCTGCAGTGGTTGTTAAATCTGATCAGCTTTTCATAAGCCTCTTAAAATGAGTTCTGCGTTAACAAAGTGCTCTCCACTCCGGTGAGAAAGGAGGGCTCCTCGATTAGGCTTTTCAAATCTACCTGCTGGAAAACAGCAGCCATCTTCTCAAGGGAATTAAAGAGCCGCTGAGCTGAACTCAGAGAGGCTGAATGAACAAACTCATCTCTGTCCTCGTGTTTGTGGAGGAGATAAAGTCTCCCAGACAGAGTGACATCAGGTTTTTGGCTTCCTGTGGGTCGTCTCTCCTTTCAGTCACCGTCCCTCAGGAGGAGTTGGTTAGATGTGGGGGTGTCACCATGGCAACTCATAGGAGCAACAGGGGAAGGCATGAGTCATCACTGTTGTTGAAGGAGATTTTGAAAGGAGGAGGAAGGTGGAGGGGCAGGGAGGAGGTGAACATGGTGAGGGAAGATTTTTGGAAGCTCACTCTGAATAGAGAGAGGAAACAAAACTAAAGGCTGAAATGAAATGAAAAAAGTTTACACAATCAGAAAGAAAAGAAGGAGAAAGAAAACCATAGGAAATGATGTGCAACAAGTAGAGAAACACTAATGGTTGAAAAAGAGATAACAAAAAAGAGAAAATGATGATTTACAGGCACAAACGGATTCATATTTGGTTTAGGGTTCTAACCTGCATTAAAATTTAAGTCTGGCCCACATATAACGGTATCTAACTACTGCTACAGCCCACTGTTATTAATAAATTATTTTGATTCTGAACGGCAAAGATGCTATTGGGTCAGAATTAATAAAAGAATGTGGATTAAATTCATATCAAAGTTAGTAGTCTATACGTTTAGTGGTGGTGAGGGTTAAATGATGTTGCAAAAAGGTTCATTTGTTAAAGCTTCATAAACTCACTGAAGGCCATCTAGTGGTGAAATACACAAAAACTAAAAGTAAAGCAGTTTTAATATCCATTGTAGTTGTTTTGGTCTGATTCTGCATTGCTCACTGGGTTTTAACGCCTGATCCTGGAGCTCCTCTGGGCCACAATGGAGCGGAGAGGAGACAGGAGGCCTGGAGTCTTTATGATGACATACTTTACAATGATAAATTTGATAGTGTGTGGATCGGGACACAAATATAACTACAATAAAAAATAAAAAAAAACGCCTATGCTTGCCATCACATCTGACATGTAATAAAAATGTATCCAATTCAGAGTCGTTGTTTAAAATGTTTAAATTTCTCTCTTTAGATTGTCTTTTGTTATCAATTCCACCCATCTTGGCCATAATACATTTCTCAAAGCTTCACAGAAGCTTCAAACCACTGATCTCTATTTATCACTGGATTGCTGATAGCCTGTTGGTAGAACAATGTGAAGCCATCGGCCGCCATATTGGTACTCCCTAGTTAGACAGGTCGCAATGTAAACAATACGTGCTCTACAGCATCAAACAACAATGATTTTCTCATTTTGAGGGGGGCTTAAGACTTAAAGATGAAGTCATCACTTTGACACAGATTTGCTGTTTGATAGCATCTGTAGATTACTGTGGTTAGGTAAAAAAACTTCACATTGTATGTTCATTATGAAGTCTATGAATAAATCATGTAACATAACATATTGGTAACAAATCCATCATATCAAAATGAATGTGTTAATGGAGCATAATGATACAGATGTACCAAAATTACATATAATCTCAATATTCAACATCAGACTGAATTAAAAGGACATGACTGTTAATGACAATAAATATATATATATAAATATAAATAAAAGACTGCTCAGTGGCACAGTTGGTAGAACTGCTGCCTTGCAGCAAGAAGGTGCATGTTCTCCCTGAGCATGCGTGGGTTCTCTCCGGGTGCTCCGGCTTCCTGGTCCCAGTCCAAAAAAAAAAAAAAACATGACTGTTAGGCTAATTGGCTTAATTCTCCTTAGGTGTGAGTGTAATTGGTTGTTTGTCCTGTTTGTCTCTGTGTTGCCCTGAGATGGACTGGAGACCTGTCCAGGGTGGAACCCACCTCTCACCATAGACAGCTGGAGATAGGCACCAGCACTAACTCAGTCCATGTCCTAATGTTACGCTAAATCCTATACTATAGGATACATTGTCAAATATATGGAGTTTCTTGGTTAGTGCATCCATTGACTGTAAAAATACCTGTGAAATGTCTTCCCACTGCCAGAAAACTGCTTGTTGTTCCAGCCAAATGCTGCACATGTAGGCATGTTTATGGCACGTCTCTGTGAGAGTGGGGAGTACCAAGATGGTCGCAGGTGACTTTGCTTTTTTTGGGCTATCAGCAATCCAGTGATTAACTAGAGATCAGTGCCTTAAACCCTCACTGAGGCCATCTAGTGTTGAATCAATATAGGCTGAACCCCAAACCGCCCTCTAAGCAATAACCCTTCACTATAAAGTGTCACTCCCTATCAAGTCTAAACCAGAATGGGATGGCTTCTTTATTCCAATGGAAAGCAGTGTTTCTATGGCAACCAAGTGATGCCCTGTGCTGGAGCTGTAGCTCTGTGGCGCAGGGAGACATAAAATTAAACATTTGCCCCTTTCTTAAAGCTACAGTGTGTAATTTTTAGCGACATCTAACGTCCAGACTGCAGACCGCACCAACATGAACGTCTCCCCCCCACCGCTTCTCCCCCCCAACAGTACGGCGAGCGTTACGGGACAAAATGTCTTCCACAACGTCCGCATCACCTACCTTCTCAAGTGATGAGGTTTGTTTACATAGATAATTTTACAGATAGTATTCTCAGGCATAATACTGCCATCTATTGTTCAGTACCGTCTCAGTTCATCTCTCAACTTGCCGTAGTTACTTTTAAGCGTAATGGGCGATCTCGCAATCGGCTCTGCGCTGCCGTAGCGCAAAGATGTCTGCCTCCATGGGCGCGAGACCCGCTCCTATGTAATTATAAATAACGAATTCTAAGGCAATGCAAATATTAAGGTTAAGAGGCTGAGCTCGTAGATGATGATAAATAACATAGTTATGTATAATATATTACATTTCTGACTGTATTTCCCTGTAATTATTACACACTGTAGCTTTAAACAAATGCATACGGTCAAATAAAACTGCTTCAAAGGGGACCTTCCACTTAAATTTTCTTTATACTGTACCTAACCTGTGATTTCCTGTCAGTGTGATGCAGAAGCAGCAAACACGTGGAACTTAGATTTGTAGGAACATGTTCCCTCTGCCATTAGGTCATTATTACACCTGCTGCCGAATTCCAGCGAGTCTGCACTGTTGAAGACTCGCTAATTAAGAGCTGAATGGTCCACTCGCCCAACCCACTACGTGGTTTGGGATGGCACTTAACGTGGCGGACCTTCTGCAGGAATGCGTAAACGAAGGGTTGGTGCTCAGGGTTAGTGTTAAGGGGCTGGTTTGGGATTGGGCCATGATGATCAAAGCGAGTAAGAGGAGATATAAAGGCAAAGAATTGAACCAAAATTAGAGATGGACGATTCAGAGTGGAATGAAATGGAAAACAATAACTCAGGTGAAGTAAAACAAGCAGGAGAACAGGGTTAGAGTAAAGCAAAATCAAGAAAAAGTATTCAAACGGAAGAAAATATGGGGAAAAAAGGAGACGTTTGTGTCTGAGCTTTTTTTAATAAAGCAATAACAGGCCGATGTGTCTGGACCATTGATCGCTGTTAAAAGCCCAGAACAGAACATAACAGGGCTGTTAACATTTGGTCTGCTGCAATATGGACCATACAAACAGCAGGTTAACTGTTTATTTGATATACAGCTCTTTATTATCAGCACTTTATCTTCCAAACATCACAACCTGACCTGAACATCAACAGTTTCAGACAGTTTTAGAGATTTATACAGCTTCACTCTGCTTCTCTGAAGCAAATCACATCTCAGGACACAGAAACATCTTTGGCTGACATATTATTGTTTGAACAATTCAGAAATGCAAAACAGACAAAAATGAACAGAAATCTAAAACAAAAAGGTTCCTCTACAGCAGATTGTTTTCCAGGTTCTGGGGGTTCAGTTTAGACAACAGGGACTAACTGACGAGGTCTACACTGCAGCCAAGCTCAGTTAGAAACCAGAGAGTAAAGCTAATGGGTTCAAGGAGCAGACGACAACAGATAGACTGCTGAAGAAATTCAAAGTTTAAACCAAATCAACAAAAAGTTTTGGCTAATTCTCCACCCTGTTTGCACAGGTCAGACCTCTTTTACAGTTTTTCCAACCAAGCAGAGTGTCTTCAACCGCTATCTGCTATTAAAGGGCGAAACAACACGGAATAAGCCAGATCCGACCAGTTCATCGGACTAACGGCATTAACATAAAACAGGCAGCGCCTCGCTACTGCAGCGCAGCACAGACTGCTGTCAGTCCTCTTTAGATTTGCTTCTCAAAGAAATGAACTATTGTTACTTTTTGGTCTAAGAGTGAATCCACAACAAGCAACAAACAGAGGGCGACATTAACCTGCAGCTCTACAGAAAGACCTACTGAAAAGATCAGATGAATCATAAAGCAAAACAATCCAAAGAGGTCATATAAGAAATAAAGCCATGACTGAATGTTTACCAGCATAAAGTAAAGGAAACTAACCCGACCCCCAGTTCAGCAAAATGCTGAGAAAACCTGTTTGGTTCCTTCTTTACCTGAGCATGTTTAGAAAGCAGCTATGCAGATAATTTAAAGGCAAAGACATTGGTTTGATTTGGCAGGACAGCAGATAAAGGCAGCATACAGATGAACTAGTCCTCATTTCTTCCTTCAGATTAAGCACTGCTTCCTTCTGTGGCAGAAGTTTTTTCATGGAAGTAGTTAAAGGCACATGGACACACTGACTGATCCGCCTGCTGTGAGAATTAGAGACGAAACCATAAGCTGCAGTTAAATCAAGATCTACAACTTTTTGGTCGATATGAAGAAACTACTTACAGCTACAGGCCTAAAGAAAATGAAAAATACCATCGGCCTTTCAAATGGGGGCAGAAGGCTGCTTCATAAAAACCTCTATTAATTCACACCATTAAAATAAATCGAATAAAAATGGAGGAAGAATCTGCCATAAATCCACAATAAAATGACTAATTCTTGTTCTGAAAGCAGCTGTTAAAAAACGCCTAGAAACCAACAAACAGGTGAAGTTTAGCATAAACTAACTGAATGTGTAAAATATCGGTCCGGTCTGTGTGTTTCTAAACAGCAGGAGGTTCCTTCAGCCTCTGGGGAAAACTGATGAGTGAAAAAACGTAGGAAAGGCACAGTGTCTGAAAGTAGCTCTGCTGGGTCCAAAAAAATTATCTTTAGAGCAGTTTTCCCTCCACAATCCAAGGAGGAGGATGGCATCATCTCCTGCGAGCGGCGGGGCTACTCGCTGAAGCTGAAGTTCAGGCCGATCCCGGAGCTGTCTGTGGTTGGTGACGAAGGGCCCGCGCTGGAAACGGCGCTGGAAGGGATGCTGCCATCTTCTCCGAAAAGACAAAGCAAAAACAAAGAGGTTTTTTTTTTTATCAACAGAGATGTACTCTTAAAAATAAAAAACACAGATGGCTAATGAGGAAGGATGACGGTAAAAGTAAGCCCCTATCAATCCTCACAACACTCTAAAATAGTTTAAGGATCAAATGTATGAAAAAATGTCTGTAAACGAGCTGCTTCCATGGAACTGATTTTACCTGTTTCAACAAACCCAGACGCTCACAGGCGTTGTACAGTAGCAGCCATTCAAAATGACCCTTCCCTGTCCAACGGCAGCCGAATGGCAGCCAACTCACAGCCACTGGAGTCACCCCCTGCTCTTCCTGGGCATGCATGGTTTTTTTACTCTGACTCCACCCTTTCACTGTATTACAGGGTCTGACCAGGAGAAGATGCTTCTCTTTAGAGCTTAACGTCCACAAATCATGACAGAAAGAATGTTTTAGTACAAAGATTCATGTTCAAAAGAAGAAATCTTAGGGGACCAGCCAAAAACCCATCAAGGAAAGACCCGCCCTCTCCACTTAAAAAAATAAAGTACATGCACAACCCTGTACCCGCTTCCAGGAGGGAACGCCTATTAAACATGTGCGAGGGCGTGGAGCCCATTTCTCCTCATGCACGAGCCCATTTCTCCTCAACCACGCTCTGTTTAAAAGTTGCTGTTTGCATCACTCATACAAGCTTACTTTCCAAAATAAGATTAGAATTTTTTCCACCATTACTTTTTCCACCTTACTAGAAGACTCACTTCTAGTAAGTGAAAATGTGGACGAGCACATTGGACGGCCTTACATAAACATATCACCAGAACGATTGACAATTAGGAGGACCACTTATTTAGATGATCCACCCGGTAAAGAACATCCTGGACTATACCTTTAATAGCCTCCTGCTTTTGTGAGGTGACATCAGTGAAAATGACTGGGATAAAAGTGTGATAGCCTAACATGTTTTTTTTTTTTTATGCCAAATTAGATCCAAATGCTCCTGAACAGGCAGAAACTTCCTGATCTAGATTCATATCTCCATTGTTATTTCACAGCATTCAGAAATTTAGCATGTTTTTCCAGGCATGTCATTATGCAACGACTGAATGTTGATTCATACACACACAGGCAAATATCCCCCACCTAAAAACATTTAATGGCCTAAGGGTAAAAAAAAAAAAGAAATTAGCTCCATCATTCAAGTCCATCACTAAGGAACATGTTTCAACCACTGTACTCTCAAAAGAAGAAACCAAATTAAACAGGTTTTTATTTTTTCCAGAATGATGGAAATGTTTGAGCGAGACATTGGCCGTGTCGCCCAGCCCCACATGAAGGCTGGAGGGCAGCTGGGTGAGGACAGCTACCACAATCGCATCTCATTATCAACACGCTCAGACCCAAAACTGATGGAGATACAGAGGAGGAACCACGTCATTATAGAAACTAAAACACCTCCTCCTCCATCCAGCCATCTTTGTTCTACTGTTTTAATGTCTGCTTTGCTTTTTCTACATGCATCATTTCTACTTTTTAATGTGGTGAAAATCACATCCGTGTTGTATTTGTTCATGATACCTAAAGTGAACATTTTATGCTTTACATCGGGGGTCTTCAACGTTTTCCAGGACAAGGACCCTAAAACTGATGAAGCGGGGACCCCCTCATTTGAAATATATATTATGAAATAGTGTTCTATCAAACTGGTCCTATTGTCACTCTATTACAGATGGAGTAATGTAACTAAAGTAATTTCTCCCTAGGATTATTCAAGTATTTCTGATTCCTGGTTGATGGGACAGGTGTTGTGAATGAAACGGTGCCCAGCTTGAAAGAGCTCCTGTGTGTCGCATTTATGACTGAAAGACATCTTCTGCTCCATTTATCTGTTTATTACAGTCTGTTGGATTGATGTTAATGTGGATTTAAAGACATTTCAATTAGTGGAAAAAACTGCAGGGGGGGGGGAATATAAAAAAAAGTCTAATCAACCAAAACTTTCGTGACCCCCATGCAGTACCTCTGTGGAACCCCTACGGGTCGCTGACCCCCTGTTGAAGACTTTAGCTTTACATCATTCCCTGTTACTAAAACACACTATACCATGACTTACACTGGTCCTTTAATGCAACATTAACCGTGACAGGAACTCCAGTCATATTCCTTTATAACTGCTCGATTAGATGCACAGAAATGAAAGCAGAGTAAAAACCTTTCTCAGAGATTGAAAGATGAACATGTCCCTTAAACTAAGCAGGAGGAAAAAGTGAGTCAGACGTAAAAGGGATGGACTCCTTGAATCTTTTTGTTTCTGATGAAACTGAGCTCAGATTGTTGGGCTGCAGACTGAGCGCTCCAGCAGCAGAGTTTGGTTTTCTTTTCTTACATAAAAGAATCAAAGTTTCCATAAACGGGATCTAACTGCAGTAAATGTAAATCTAAATAAGTCATTTTTTTCTTTAAATACGTTTATTTTTTTCTTGAATTAAGCAGGTAAGTGAAACTATTTGATTAAGAATAAGACAATATACATTTGAAATAAGAAAAACAACTGCTTTGCTCTTAAGTCCATAATATCTAATAATTTTAATGTGTGAAAATACTCATTCCATTGATCGTCTTATTTTCCTACTAAAATTAAAGGTGAATACACCTATTTAACTTATGTTTAGATTGTTTTTGCAGAGGGCATTTCTGAAACTGTAGGTCTGGGCTTTGACTAGGCCGTTCTGAAGCCTCCTGTTAGCTCACAACCTGTTAGCTTTGAAGACTTCTGCAGCTTCTAATAGCCTTGCTTCTCTCTTCTCAGCTCCATCCATCCGTCCCTCATATTAACAAATCTGAGCCGCTTTGCCGTCTAATCTGAACCACAGGGTCCCCACAGGATGATGCAGCCACCACCGTGTTTCAAAGGGAAGGTTCAGAAAGGATGAAGGGTTTTCTATGAGGCCAAGAGGGTTCTCCAAAGGGCTTTAAACTTGCTTCTTAAAGCTTTTATCCAACAGTGGTTTTGTTCTTCAAATGTCCCATAAGGTGGAGCAAAAAAACAGAACCTTTCCGTCGAAAGATTCTCCCACGTTTATCAGTTCAGACGACCAAATCTTTGCAGAGGCAGCAAAACTCCTTCAATCTCCAGAAGGACTAAAGTCTTTGAGTTGCTTGGCGCTTAGGAGAAGCTTTAATAACCAACCCTGCTTGCTGTCCTCCATTGATTGTTTATAATGAATAATTAAAGGTCTTAACAGAACCTCTCAGTTTATGCAGAAGGAGCCATTAGGACGCAGCTTCCAGCAGTGGATTTTATTTGGAAGCATCAGAGTTAATGTGGCCAAATACATTTTTAGACTTAATTTGTGAAGAAAAAGTTAAAAACATAACCACTCTGTTACTGCCTCATACTCTGCATTTATTCCACATAGAAGCTTCTCTAACCTCCTAAACACTCTGCTGTTTGGATATCTATTGAACTTCTGGTGCAATATTAAAAAAATGATGATATTTCTAAGACTTACGCCACAGAGGCTGGCCGGGGGGCTGGAGAGAGGCCTCTGATCCAGAGGAGGACAGAGGCGGCTGAGGGCTGCAGAGACACGTCTGACTCTGAGAGTCGAACAAACCAGAAAGTGCTGGAGAGGAAACAGAAAATCAGGCTGAAGTTGCTTTTTATGTTTCTGGATCTTGTGTTTAGGCCATTTGGTTTCACCTGTTGAGAACAACTGCAGATACATTTAAAGAGTGACTAAATGCCAAATCAACTTTGTCTTTTCTTTTGAGATAAACTATAGAATTTATGTATGATCAGGCAGGAATGTAGGGAATTTGGTTTTATAATCTTTGCAATCAAAGAACCTGCTTTGTGAAAGGAAATTAGAAACACATGCAATCCAGAAGTTAAGGGTTTTAATAAAAATGTGTTTTTCCTCCTCACTCCAGAGGAAAACCCGCCCCCAGAAGTGAGGAGAATCTGATCTGGAAGATCTTTTTAATTTCTGGGATATATTTTTTCAATTATTATTTACAAAATATGTTCTTTGCTTGCAGCAATAAAGGAAGACTGAGTTGATTTTAACATCATGATGTTAACTTGTTTAATTCAACATTATTTGACCAGAAGCCATCTTAGTGCTGTTCTCTGTGAGGTAAAACATGGCCGCTGACTTTTCCTGTTGGCTAAACAAAAGATGCGTAACAGCATGTAAACGCAGCATGGAAACATGCGTGCTACACATAGGGTCACATTACTGCTGCCGCGATTACTCGACGTCTGCATGTTTTTTCTAACTGTTAGTTAAATAAGGAATAGGGGCCTATTGATGCGTATATATTTTTATATTAACACGATTATATGAGAATTTATTAGTTTTACAGTACTTTTACGTAAATGGTTTTGTATTATTTTTGTAAAATGAACGACATTCTCAAATGTTATTGCACTTTAACCTTTTCTTTTATTGTTATTTTCTCTAGATGTGAATGCAGGCCGTATACAATGGCCATATTATGAGCGACAAGTTTCGCCCAGTTCATACTAAGGTTCTAATTTCAGATGCATATAAGCTTCTGCTTGGCAAGGCGTGCAGGTGGCGCAGCGGTTGGCGCGCACGACCCATGTACGGAGGCCTTAGTTTATTCCTCTCTCATACCTACTTTCCTGTCAGGCTACTGTCGAAAAAAACGAGCCACTAGTGCCGCAAAAATTCAACAAAAAAAGCTTCTGCTTGGTAAGGAAGAAATTGGAAAACAACATCCATCTCAAAGTTCCCAAATAGCTGGCAGAGGGGAGGCCTCTAAACAAAACCATAAGTTATTTATTTCTGTATGAGATTTGGTCAAGACACTGACTTTTAGGCGATGAAAACATGGGAGATATGCCTGGTAATTTCATAGCTAATGAGAAAGACCAGATGTCCTAATTTGTGCGTCCCTCATTTCTTCTTTTCAGTCCCGTCGTCCCACAAACCAGTTTCCTGCATCTGACCGGGTCAAGCAGGTTTCTACAGCATAAGGTAAGTTAAATTCAAGACTTTTTAATGCCTTGTGAAATAAAAAGTAAAGACCAACTTCACAATAAACAAGAAAAACTGTGTTGCGACATATTTACCCGAATGTTTATTTTAACTTTAGCCATTACTTTCTGGCCCAGTAGAAACGTTTGATATTTAATTTATTTATTTATTTATTTTTTTTAATTTTATTTATTTATCTACTTATTTATTTATTTATTTTTTTTATTATTATTATTTTTTTGGATGGACAGGACGGGGGGGGGGGGTGGTGGAGTCGGCTCCGTGCCCGGCTGGCTGGTGGGTCCTGCTGCCGGTCCCGTGCCCCCGGGCTATGGTGGTGAAACTGGTGGGGCCCCCTTCTCTGGGGGGGCTCTCGGGGAACGGGGGTGCCTATTGGAGTCAGCGGGGGAGCTGGCTCCCTGGGAGTGCAGCAGGCACCCCAGTCCTTTGCTCCCCATCCCCGAAATCCTCCCTCTGCCTGCTCCATCACTCGGCCACACATGTAGGTTTTTGGGGAGGGGGTCGTTACTGGAGGGCCACACCTTCTGATGACGTCCCCCACCCCAATTTTATTTTGCATTTTAGACACTTCCATCTACATCATTTTCACAACACACATCTATGTAGGGCATTTTCGGGGGGTGGGGGTCAGGGCCACCGGGGGGGGGGCTTATTTTATGGGCCTCACCACGGTCGGCCTCCTCCATCCCCTCTCGCATCTAGACATTGAGGGTTGAGGGTTGTCGAAGGGGGAGGGTGTGCTGGCACCGTCTATCTCCTGGAGGGGGGGTGGAGTGTGCCGGACACCCCCTCTTGGTACTCCCAGTTTTAATTGCATCTGAGAGCAACACGCAACAACACCACATTCGAGCGGGCGCAGTGAGGATCGGGGTCTTCTCACACCCCTGTTCTCCGGCTGCCGCCTGGAGTCTGGGGCCTGGAGGAAGAGCGGGCCACCTGGTCCGTGGTTTTGGCTGGGGCTGGCTGCGGGGCCTAGGTGGCCTGCTGGTGGCGGGGCTGTCACCTCTGCTCTCCCCAAAGAAGGTTGGATGGAGGGGCATGAAGTGCCTGGTTGAAGGTTTTTTTTTTTTTTTTTTTTTTTTTTTTCTTTTCGGGGGGGGGGGGGGGCGGTTCTGGTTGGGTGGCCGGCGCGGGATGGGTGGGCCCCGGTCCCGGGGGGGGCTCTTGCGGGGGGTGGTCCGGTCCGTGTGCGGGGTGGGGGGCCGGGCTTGAAGCAGGAAAGAGATGGGTTGGTGTGGCGGTGTCGCCGCTCCCCTCCCCTCACATCCGGATTTTAGGTTCACTTATGGGGTCATCCGATAGTCCCGGGACCGACCACCGGTGTCACCGGGTTTTTGGTCCTGGTATTATTGGATGTGAGTGTTATGTGTGAATGTGTGTCTGCGTTGTTATTTTCTTTATTTATTATTATTATTATTTTATTCAATTTTTTTTTTTTTTTTTTTTTTTTTTTTTTTTTCCTGTGGTACGAGTGGGGGCACTAGGGAGGGAAGGCATGATTGAGATGGTGTGTTTTTTTTTTTTTTTTTTTTTTTTCTTTCCCAGGTTGGGGTCTCAACCGCACCCTCTCCCAAATACATCTCAAGTCTCCGCTAAGTGCGGAGCCCATTCCCCCCGTCCTGCTCTCCCTCCGCTGGCTGGCGTCGGGGCTCACCGGTGCACTGGTGGAGCTGGGGGTGGATGCCCGGGGGACTGCTGGCTCATTCCTGGCGGCCTCTCCGCTGGCCCCGGCCGGCCGGGGCTTTGCTGGGGCTCCTGTCTGGGGGTGGGGTGCCCTTGGGGCCTCGGATCCCTGGGGCCTGGGACTGGATCCGCTTCGGGGTGGGGCTGGGTGTTGTTCGGGGATTTTCGGGGTCGGTGCCGGTGCCTTCGCTACGATGCCGGTTCCTGGGCGGTGTTTCTTTCCTGTGCCGGTTCTGTGGTATCGGTTCGGGGAGGGGGGGAGCTGCGCGGCATGGTGGGGTGCGGGTCTTGGGTCCTGTTTTGGGCTCCGGTTTTTCCGCTCGCACTTCTCCTCTTGCCTATTTATTTTAATTGTAATTATTAATTAATTTATTTATTTACCTATTTATTTGTTATTTTTTATTTTATTTTTATTTATTTTATTTTTTTCTCTTCCTCGGTGGGGGGGAGCGTTTGCGGGCGGGTCGGTGTCTGGTGTCCGCTGTCGCATTGTGGGGGCCCCTTTTTTTTTTTTTTTTTTTTTTCTCTTTTTTTCTTTGGGGGGTTTGGCATGTCTGTTTTCTCGGGGGGCAGGCGGGCCTGCTGGGTGGGGGTCCTGCTGGCGGCGCGCCGCTGGTGTGTGGGGGTCCGGGCGGCTCCGGCGGGGGTAGTGTTGGGGGGCCGGTCTGGGCGGGCTGGCTGCGCTGGCTGGGTATTCGGGTGGGTTTTCCCTCCTGGAGGCATGGCGGGGCTGCTCTGTTCCCACTGATCGCGGCGGGTGGGGCTGCGGGGCGGGTGTGGGCCTGGGGTGGCTATGACCGGCGCGTGGTGGGGGGCCGGGGCGGCGGAGCTGCTCTGGCCGCGTGTCGGGGCCTGGTGCGGGCTGCGGGGGGGGGTGGCGGACGTGGCTGGGCTGCTTTGGCATCGTCCGGTGGGGGGGCGGCGCGGTTCGCTCCGCTCTGGCTTTGTGCTGCCCCTCGGGCTGCTGGGGGGGGGGTGGTTGCGCCGGCTCTGCTCCTCTTGCGGTTTTGCGCCGGGCGGCTTTTCTGCTCTCGGGCTGATTCTGTGCGCGATGTGTTTCGTTGCGCGCTGTTGGCATCGGTCTTGGTGGGGTGGGGCTGCGCTTTTGGCCGGGGGGGCGTTTTGGGGGGGGTCCCGCGGCGCTCGTGGCCGGTTCGCGGCGGATGCGCATGGGCCCCGGCCGGGGGCGGGGCCGTCTTAGTGTTTTCCTGGGTGGTGCGGTCGCGGTGGGTGTTGCGGCCGGTCGCCGGGGCTTGGTGCGGGGGGGCGGGGCGTGTTTCGGTGCTCTGTGGGGCTGGGGCGTTTCAGTCGGCGCCGTGGGGGGGCTGGTGTTCGGCGCCCGGCCCTACTTCGGGGTGGCCGGCTGCCGGCGGGGCCCGCGGACTCGTCCCCGCGGCTCCCCGGGGCGCCGGCATGGCGGTGGCTGGGGGGCTTCCTCGTGGCTGTCTCTCCTCCTGCCTTGGTGGGGTCTGATTTCCGGGGCTGGCCCCGCCTTGGTGCCTTCGCTTCTTGGGTCCCCTTGGGCGCTTAGGGCTTTGGGTCTCCCGGCGCTGGACTCAGTGCTCTGGGGGGTGTGCCTCTCCGGCTCTCCACAACCACTATTGAGCATTTTTTTCTATGGTTAAAACTTTACATGCACAAGTTCACCCTCACAAACAACTACAGGTGCTAGGCTTCAGGTACTTAGAGATTCACTTCCAAACAGAAACCCCACATTCATATCTTCAGGTAACACAGAGTACATGTCAGACTTAATAATATTACTTTAGTGATAGTTTCAAGGTGTTTGCTTTATTGTATATCTCGTACCATGTTTTTTGGTTGTGCTGTTCTTTTTTCTTTTTTTTTTTTTTTTTCTCCATCTCATTACAGGTGTTGAAGCAGACTGAAAATGTTTTGTCATTGTCTCCTTCCTATCTCCTCTTTCTTTCATCTTTTGTCCTGTTTTTTTCTTTTTCTTTTTCCTTCTTCTTCTGTTTTTCTGCTCTACTTACATTGCAGTGTCCATATGAACTGTAAAACTCCCTGCATAATTATAATAAAGCAATTTATATACATGAAACAAGTGGAGCGGTATGGCAATTGCGATACCGCTACACTTGTGAAAGTAAAATCTGTTGGGCTCCTTTTGGCATCAAGACAATTATTCTTATTGCCACCTTGCCAGACAGGACACTGTAAAAAAAAAAAAAAAAGTTTGATATCTTTAAAAACATTCCATATAGGAAGAAAGCTAAAAACACCATAACAGATTTATTTTTTTAACAACTAGTGAACTAGTCCAGAAGCAAAGGTGGAACAGATTGAGGAAACACCTGCTGCTTCTCTGTAACCTGATTTTGACGCTTCGCATGTGTGACTCCACTGCCTTCATTGCCATCATGTCTCAAACTTTCCCTGGTTCTGTTTTTAGCCATGCAGAAAACTGTTGGCCAGATAGACTGTTTTCATTGAGTTTCCATTCTCCCATGTACAAAACAGACATCGCTCTGCAACCACAGCAAGGCAGACAGTGCTACAACCGTAGTTTCCTCAAAACGAGTCTTGTATCGCGCTGGGAGAATTACATTGGAGCCTATGGGGAGCTCACTGCTCCAAAAATGCACAGGAAGAGCGAGCTCTGCAAGTTGCAAAATAATCAGAGAGAAATATTTAAAAGCGTCACCAAGGAGAGGTCGATTATTATCACATGTATTGGATTTGAAAATAATACTTTCCTGAGGAATTTCCAAAAGCCTAAACGACAAATGGCACCTCTATTTTATGATTAGAATACTTATAAAATGAGCAATGATTACACTATAGATCATTGTACTGCCTCCAAACTTGTAGGGTACACAGATAATCTCATCTGGATCATACTACAACTCTTACTTTGGGGAAATGTGCTAAACTCAATTTTTTTTTTTTTTTTTTTTTTTTTTAGATTTTTCATTGTTATTATAAGCACATAAAAGCCAATAATTACTTATGACTTAGACAGATTTATTTTGTCATTTTGTATACACAAGTGTAAACAAAAAGAAATTTCGTTTAGAACAGCTCTAGACAATTTCATATTTTAAAGTTCAGCCTTGAAAACAGTAATAAATACATAAAAAAAATAGTTATATAAACATATGACTGTATATTTACAGTTCTTACATTCTTTTTTTTTCTTACTTTGGGAAGATATGCCAAACTGTATTTTTGGAGATTTATTCATTGTTATTATAGGCATATAATAGCCAATAATTACACTATAGATCATTGTAGTGCCACAAAACTTGTAGCACACATAGATAACCTCATCTAGTTCATACTGCAACTCTTACTTTCGGAATATGTGCTAAACTCTTTTTTTGTTGTTGATTTTTTTAATTGTTATTATAAGCAGGCCAGATGTGCAATCTCTGCAACAGGAACCACAGCACTGAGCGTTGTGAGAAATCTTCAATAATTGTTGTTGATAGCAGATGTGTCTAGTAGTTCCCATTGATTTTGCTTGTAAAGCGGGGAGAATGGCGCTAGGCTTACCGCACCGTGATGTCACTGCTGGAAGATGGCAGGGGTTACTATATTTGGGCAAAAATGGCCGCTCACAGACTCAAGAGATCGCAACTAAAATTATTGTTTTTATTTTATTACTGATTAACACTAAATTTATTAAATCACTGCAAATGTATTTGTTTTAGGTATCCATTGATTATTCCTTGCTGAACGGATTTTTGGCTGATGCTCATTTTTGTGAGTCTAACCGATCCTTTAAATGCGCAGAAGATATTTTTGGGATGATTCGAAACATCTTCTCACAGCAATGAGAGAAGAGGTTTCTTCCCATGACTGCTATGCACCTTGCTAATGCAAAGTCTTGGCAGTGTAGCGGAATGTCAGACTGATCGCTGATTCTCTGGGATTGAATGACAGGTGGCGTCACGTTGGCTGTGAGCATAGTGAGTATAATCAACAGTTTTTATTACCCTTTAGTCAGCTTGGCTTTCTTAGTCATACATTCATCTTTACTTTGCCTCATCCTGAGCACACCTCAGCTTAACCCCAGTCAGTTATCCCTACTTTTAGACCCGTCCTTTGTGTGTCCTGCCCACTTTTATCGATTTAGTTCCACTTCACAAGCAACTCTTTTAGGGCAAACAGATTTGTATCATAGAGGAAACAGAAACTCATCTGAAAAGCATCAGATTCTGAGTTTAACAGACAGCAAGATATAGACCCATCAATTCAAGGTCAGTCATCAAATTGATCCAGAGACCAGCGGGCCTCGCTAAACTGTTCTCACCTTAATACCTCCATTGTGCACACCTACCTTTCATTGTTTTGGCCTGGGCCTCTGCACTGCTCTCACACACCTTGCTGAGAAACTCCTCCACCTGCTTCAGGGAGAGAGAGTTGTGCAGAGTCTCCAGTGGGTAGATAGAGGGCACCATTGAGCAGCCTTCAAATCCTGCAGGTCAGACAAGAGAGAAAAAAAGAAAACTTTCACTGTACCGGTTCACTGGCTGTTGGTGGGGACAACGGCCTTCATGGTGGAAGTTGGTTCCATGCAAAACCACAACAGAAGAGTTAAAAGAACTACGGCAAGAAAAGGCAGCCTTTTAGGTTTGTTAAACACACACGGTTACAGGTTAACGATTGGTGGCGGTTAATTAGAGCCACTCTCTCATTGGTTAAAAGGTAAACAACACCATCAAGGGCGGATTTCTCTTTATGTATGTAGGAAAGTGTAAAAAACAAACGATTATAGTACATAGTGGTAACTGAAGGAATGTTAAAGGTCCCAAAATATTCAGAAAAGGAAGGCAGTCCACTGTCAGTGTCAAAGCCTTGAACCTGTGCTCTGGTTTCCAAACAGCAAACCTTTCTAGTTTGCCAAAAAGGAAAATAAATAGACAAGACTTTGAAAAAATTTGATTCATTCAAGATCTAAAAGAAGAGTGCACAAAAAGTAATCACGCAGAGTAAAATATTTTTAGTTTCAGTCATGTACCTCTCCTGTTTGACTGAGTTACAGAAAAAATAAAGCCATACTTGGAGTAGATTACATTAGTGCTGTATTGAACACTGAACTCTGGATGTGATTTAGTACCAGACAGCAGGAACCGTCTGTTTACAGCCATCTTTCAATCAGCACAAACTAGAGCAAAATGCCAATAAGTCTGACAGAGCTGCAACACGACGTCCGGATGCCCGGGCAATCCCTTCACACCTTCAATGCTTGGCACCAACCTTTACAGCGACAGGAAAAGGGTTCGAATACCTTTTATTCAGCAAAGTGAAACTAATCAAATCAAAAGCTTTCCCCAACAGGTTTTTATGTACAACTAAGAGCAATTAAAAAGAAAAAAAAAATATTTCAAATGTTTATTCATATCACCAGAATGAAGTGGCATTAGCTCTGCCTTAATCTACCTGGTAAAAAACAAATCAGCCCCCAAAATAATGAAGTTAATCCATCCTGATTCACTCATTGTATATCTAATTATTTCCATAAATTACACAGATAAAATGTAAGTAAAAAAAAAAAAATTTAATTTCAAATTTAGACTTTTTTTTTATTTTTAAGGCTTATCTGGGCGAGCTCACCTAGATGTAATCAAATCCTTGATCAAAACCCCAATATATTGGAAAATATAACTGGGGGGGGTAGCAGGGGTTAGGGCTGAAACAATTAATCGGACTATTAGATTACTGAAAAATTCTTCAACTAATTTAATAATCCATTAATGCTTAACTTGAGTATGGAGACTGTAAAACATGCCTTTAACTGACAGAGCAAACCAGTTGGAGCAGTAATTATATCAAAATACTAAAATAAACATTTTGTATTAAGTTTTTAAAAAACTTTTCTTCTGTTAATATTCTCTATCCAGAACTCCTCAAGAGGAAAAGTTTTAATTTCACCTGGTTTAAAAATCTTCATTATCTATCCCATAATTAATTGATTAATCAAAGAAAAAGAATCAACAAATTAATTGATTGGAAAAATAATGCTTAGTTGCAGCCCTATATTAGATGTGCAGCCATAAAGCATTTATATGAGTAGAGTAGGCTATGGGTGAGCTTTAAATAAAACTGCTCATTTGTGTATTTATTATACATGTTAACTGTTGGTAGAATTCTGGTTTCATCATCCATGCACCGTCTAAATGTAGCTCTGGAGCTCAGCAGAAACTATTTCCTCTGCAAAGAAAGTGAGTGATGTAGAACAGGTTCACTGAAGCAGCAAAGGGAGCCCATGAAAGAAAAGATCCCCATGTTTACCACCCTGACAGCTGGCCAGCAAATCCAGGTGGACCTGAGGGTGGTGGCCTCAGTCTTACAGGCCTAACTGGTACCGTTATGCTGAAAGATCTCAGTGCCAACATACAAACAAGCCTGAAACTAAAGAAGCTGGAAGTAAGTCAAGGAAGGGGTGGATTCTCAAACAGCGGGTGCATGAAGGTAGTATTAGTCCTCCGTTTATGGATCCACTTCATCTCTTATGTTAGGCAGTCAAATTTACTTTAGAGATTAAAACAGCAGCAGAGGCCCAATAAAGAACAAGATTAAAGAGCTTAAAGACAATGAAATGACATTTATTTCCTTCTCCATCATTACCCACATGTAGAGAAAAAACACTTAGTGGAAAAGGTGAAGACCCTTCTTTGTGGATAGCATTTAAATTTGTATGTTTGAGTTTAGCTGAAGGAAAATTTATTCGACTGAAGCTCTTTTTTAAAAATTGAATTCCTGTCTTTCTTGCGATGGTTTATCTATGACAACCATCAAATTTCAATTCATACCTCCAAGATAACATATGTGGAGATTGTCAATACTGTCCGCTGATTGTTTATTAGAGTACAGACATTCAGGTCTGTCTAATTTAACTAAAACTGAACAAAACCCCATAATTCAGCTGTTTGTTGGTGCTTATTTTCCAAACCACACCACAATTTAGAACTACTGTTGGGATGCTATGATCAGCATATCTTGTTATTTGATTAGCAGATGATTATTGCATACTATAAAATTAATACTGTCTCACATCTGCTGTTGTTTGGGATTAATAAATGCCCTTTTTGTTTTAAATAAAAATAAGTGCCCTTGACTACTATTGGATGTTTGTAATTACCATTGATACAGATAGACGATACAGAATGATAAAAAAAAAAAAAAAGACAGGAAACCAAGCCATGAAAATGAAAGTAGGAAACTACAGCTGATGCAAAGCTTGGAGTGCATGGACAGCAAATATCCTGCTCCTGTACCAGTTCAAAGGCACAAGACGTGGAAAACGTGCGCAGAGGCTACAGGGGCTAACCGTGGAGGCACTCTGAGAGCTCCTGACCACACAACAGTTGGGTCCTGAGGAGGCGGAGGTGGTGGGGGCAGTGGTGCAGGTGATAGGAGAAGGACCTATCCAGGGCAACAGGGTCAAACCCTTGTAGCGCCAACTCAGCGAGTTCATCTGAGGGAGGAGAGGCAGAGGACAGAGAGGAGGAAGATGACAGCACAGTGGAGCTGGAGGAGGAAGAGGAGGAGTGATAGGAGCTGGAACACAAACAACTGAAAGCACTGAAATGTTATAAAGAAACCAAGATAAACATGAAAAACCATTTAGCTGCAGTCTTTGAGTTTGTTCTATAACATGTCTTTAATATGTTGACTTGCACAAACGCAGGATTCAGGGAATGTTGATGTAGACTGCAGTACATAAGGATTCTGTTTTGTTTTAATGTCACATTTTAATATTTACATATATATAATGTGTGTGTGTTGTGAATATAGAAATCAGTTAGTAAATCTAAACATTGTGGTCTTCATTATTCCATAAAACCAAGTCACATGTAAACCTTTTAAGATCCGGTATACACAGACTAGGAACCAACTTTCTGGGGAAGTATTAGATAGTTCCAACTACTAAAATTAAGGGGAAAAAAGCCATTGGTCAATGAAGAAAAAAAGAGAAAATGTCATATTATAAAAATTAAGGAGAAAGAGTCAACATGGCCTGGGGGGTGATAAAATTATGATGAAAGCATATAGGTCACAGATAGAACGGAAAGCTGTCTCTAATGTACAGGATTTTGCAGAACTTGAAAACGGACAACACAGTATATGCAAAAGAAAAATGGGAGAGGGAGGCGAACATAGTGATGACAGGGGAGGATTGGGAGGCAATCGATAAATATTAGTGAAAATGTTGGAGGGAATATTGATGGAAGATTACACTAAGGTATTTAGCGAGCCCTGTACAGAGAAAGCATGGAGATAATAAAAGTTGGAAATCTTGTGGGTAAACGAAAGTGAATCACTTCCACGTTTCCTGAATGCTCCCGTATAACCCAGTACTGGGCAGAATTAAAAATGATAATTGATAGAAACTAAAATACCAACCAGTTTTGAAATTATGTATCTCGGGAGAATTGAGACTCTCAATTTAATAAGAAGAGACAATTATGAATAACTTTAAATTATGTTGTTGGCTAGTAAGAAAGGAATAACCAGAAGATGTCAAAATTATTTGGTGCTAAAAGTGGATGGATGGATTGATGTAATGCTAGCCATTTAAGACATGGAAAAGATATAATAAACGGCATCTATTAGACAGGAAATTGATAAATTCAACAATATCTGGAAAAAATGGTTTGAGTATATAAAGCAAAATAAAACTGATTTTGTTTAGGGGCTTGTTGTGAAGGCTGAATGTTTATTTAATGTAGAAGGCACAAGAATGAGGAAAGGACATTTACAATATAAGGAATGTCGCTAAGAGTTATACCACATCCCCGTTACAATTTTACTTAAATTATTTTATATTCTGTTTGTTGCAATTTTTTAAAGTTCAAAACTAATATCTTATTAGTAGCAACCTAGTGGTTAGGGCACAGAACCTGGAAACCTGAGGTTGTGAGTTTGAGCGCCGCTACCACAGACTGCCACTCTGGGTTTTTGAGCAAAGACCCTTAACCCCACACTGCTCCTCGGGTGCCCCACAATGGCAGCCCACTGCTCCCCAAGGGGATGGGTTAAATGCAGAGGGGCAGTAAAGGAGAACCTGTTGTGACAATCATAAAGTATTGGCTTTGCATTACCTCGTTACTCTGTAAAATTTGTGAAATACACAATAAAATAGAAAAAAAAAAAAAAGAAATGATAGTTTGACATTGTCCAACAGGCACTACTTTACTAAATTATTTATAAATTAAATCTGAAATCAACACATATAGAATATAAGGTTCTGGAAGCAGAACACAAATCAAAGCGTATGCAGACGATAGTTCCATGTTATGTAAGGACTTTATGTGCTGAACTAGAAGTCAAATGAAAATGACCTGGAGAGGAATCAAAACTCCTTGAAATTACAGCTTTATTATAGCTTCTCATATTTAATATATTTCATTGGGATTTATTGTGATGGACTAACAGAAAGTTAATGTTTAACTTAAGTTTATGTTAAATATTAGCTTTTTAAAAGCTGCTTAAATAAAAATTTGTTAAAGTGTGGCGACACATTTACTAAGGTATTTACCTATAATATCTTTCACTGAAATCCGGAGGGGTTCATTGAAAGTTTATAACATAACTGACAACATACGAATACTTAGCAAACTGACTGATGAGACTAAAAAACAGAGAAACAGCAATGAGGCCTGTAGTAACACTGGAGGAGCTGCAGAGATTTGTTTTGACTTTCACATAAAGAGGGAATAGTGATAAACTGTCCTCTCCTGTACTGTCCCTCATTGTTTTCTGAGGGTCAAAGCGTATAATAAAAGATAACTCCCCCAAACTCACCAAAATGACTGAAATTTGATAACGATAATGAATAAAATTGTACAAAAATGGACAAATGAAAGTCAGACTTTACTTTTTAACCAAGCTTCAACAGAATGATTGAAATAATTAACTCATTAAACAGCCCTGGACAAATATCATGGTCCCCCTAGAATAGTCTAAAAATGTGTCGACTTACTAACATCACAAGTTTATGTAATCTTGAAATCAGTCTGGGGGCCTACATAAAGGGCTACAGGTAGTCACTGAGCTGTTTGGTGACATGGCGTGTACCACACTCAACATGGACCAGAAGACGTGAAGGAAAGAGTTGTCTCAGGAGATTGTAAAAACAATTATAGACCAGCATGTTGAAGGTTAAGACTATCAGACCATCTCCAAGCAGCATGATGTTAGTGTGACTACAGCTGCACATATTCAGAAATTTAAGATCCATGGGGCTGTATGATGATGTGACTATTGAGCTTTTTTGAAAGAAGCTGAAACAGGAAAACTTAGCCTCTAAACCTAAGACTACTGGGGCAGTTTGCTAATGATGAGTGAACCAGAATACCTGCTTAGAAGAGCAGAGGTCTGATTGACAGTTAGAGGAATTGATTGGTTGCTGCTTCAAGAGGTTGTGCAATAAAATATTAAGTTAAGGGAACCATTATTTTAGCCCAGGCCGATTTCATTAGTTTATTTTCTAAAAAATTCTGTTGAAGCCTGGTGGAAAAGCAATGTTGGAGTTTTATTTGTTGTTTTATTCTAAATTAATTTTTTATTTTGTTGTCCGAATTAAGTTATTTAATGTCTATTGTGGTTAGTAATGCATTGGTCAGGATTTTTGGAGCCTATCAATGATCACAGCATCAAATCTATGAATTCTTCAACTGCTGTCTCGTGTTCATTAACATTGTATATTAAGATATCCAAATTATAGGAGATGAAAAAGTATCATGATTTGAGACAAAATTCAATCAAAATGGAAAAAAGAGGAAATATTGTTAAAGGATGAAGAGGGAATGCAAAAGAGGTTTTTAGGTGGCTTTAAAAAAAAGCCATTTAAATTTAGCCCTAGAGGGACTGTTTTGTGATCCTACCTCCACACCAACAAGCAGTTGCCTTCTCTCCCAGCTCTGCCACACTGTCTTCCCCTGTCATTCTTCCACCCCCAGCAATTATCCTCTATAGGAAGCATTGTTTAGCCATAGCCTCTCCTGGCTAATTCTCCCTCGCGGGCTTCTCAAAAGTACTGCTGTCCTACCCCCCCTGGACCCCTCATCTCAGTTATGGTGCACTCTCTCCCGGTGTTCTCACACCGATTCCCAACTGTTTCTGTCTGAGCTCAGAATGCTGCCTCTCCTCCCTTCTTTTTTGGGATGATTCATCCCCCTGTTTTGGGCACTCTGACAAAAACAAACATGGAAAAAGCGTAGGACAAAGATGCGTGTAGATTAGAAAAAAATTCATTAACAACACAACAAACTACTCTTAAAATCGGTGGCCGGTCACCAGTGGTGGTTGATCACATGGAAATTTGACAATTACCGAGCTGGGGCGATTGACCGGTGCAAGTCTAGCTGTGGGTTTTTTTCTATTAAAGGAGGGGTAATCACAATTTGTCCATGTGTTTATGACTCATTCGAATCCAAGAATCCAGGGTAAATTCAAGTCAAAAAACCAATACCTTTAAACCATTCAGATCCATTTTTAACACAATAAATACCCACTAACACCAATCCAATGCTGCAAAAGGCACACAACACCTTAAATGAGAAGAGAATGGGAAGTACATGTTACTAAACAGAAACCAGTGTAACAAGTGGCAGGATAATTCACCAGAGAAAGGGCCCAGTCAATCAGCAGTTAGGGTACATCATTTTCCAACAACTAATTAAATGAGCTTTTATTTTAATTAAACTTCTTCAAGAGAAAAGCCAAAGCCTTTTAGATAATGGCAGAATAAAACCGAGTGAGTCAAACAAGCCTGCTGGGTAGGGAGTGGCGTGAAAATAGGATTCCCGAATAATCTGCGATTTAAAGTGATTAAAATCGAAGGTACAGTATACAGCTACAATATGCCAAAGCTTTACTCACCTCTACATGTAGAATGGTAGAAAAGCAGAATTCTGATTAATGTGAATGATAATTGAATGTCCAGTAGTATTAAAATCTAATGTTTATAATATGCCCATTAATCTTAAAATCTGTCAAATAAAAAATAATAAAATAAAAAACACAAGACAGATATATCGGGGTAAAAGTAAGCAATCATGTCCTGTTCCAGCAGAATACACATGCTTGATCCCAATAGACATGCCCTATTCAGAACTCAAATGAAAAGCATGCTAGATTTTCCCAAAAATCTCATCTACTTCTATACAACACAAATGTTTTGTACACATAGATGAATATGAAACACCAGCTTTTCAATGGTACAAACCAAATTTAAACATCAAAGTTTAAGTCAGTACAAGTTATGATGTGCACACTGATTATCTACATATGGAAATATATCCAAGGAAGGAGATATATTCTAGAAAAAAAAAAAAAAAAATTGTGAGGAAACGGCAGAATCAGGGAGGTAAATTAACCTTTCACAGGCAGAGCAGGTGGTGTTAGCGATGCAGGCTGAAAACAACACAAGACTCATCAAACACCGAGGCTGTGCGGTGAAAGAGAAACTCGGATGGAAATTCTTTCATTTGATGTCATTAACGCAGTCAAATCTCCACATCCCAAAAAGGTGTTTTCTTCCCCACAAAAGGGTCATGCAAGATGAACTAGAGGATTTTCGAAAAGTATACTTGAATAAAAGCGGACATACCATTGGTCGGATGCCTGGCAAACGACACAGAAAATCTCTTTACTGCCGGCATAGAGAGCAGTTCTGAGGAGATAAGAAAGGTAACTGGGATTACTGGAGCTCTGGGTATCTGCCTGTCTGCTTTTGTGGATTTTAAAGAAATCAAAATTGAAAAGAGAGGGGGAGAGGAACACAGTTTTCAACTTACACACATTTCCAACCACTGAGTAAAATGTGGCTAACCACTGAAAGGATGAAGAGATGAATAAACCAGATCTTTTAATAGATTTTGATGTCTTTTCTTTGGATGAGCTAACACAGTCATCAAACTTTGTGGCAGTACCATCATCGCAGATATCAGATTTATAGTCCCCATACTGCAGATATATTAGAATCTGAGCTTAAATGTCACTCAAACCCGTTTGCACCGGGACAAATTACACCTTTCAAAAGACCAAATATTACCCGTCACATATCGGACTCAATAACGATTTAAAAGAACTATTTTCATTCATTTTTAAAAGAACTATTCACATAATTCTATTACATTAAATTGCATTTACAACATTCACCACTGTTCAGCGCCATTTCCCTTTTTCTTCTCAGCACGGAGCAGCCGGCTTACTTGGACTCGCAATGAATCATGGGATACCCAATGCTACGTAGGATACAGCGGACCTGTCCTTCAAAACGGGGGAAAAATTGACTGCGGTCTGCACGGCCTACCACGCTACAACGTAATCGGCTGATGAATCTGGCCTTCAGAGCGTGCAGCCGCTGAATTTGACCTCAAGCAATAGTGTGGGTTTAGTTTGTTGGTTTCAGAGAATGGTTGGTTTACATTCTCTTAAGAGGTGTTCTGTGGGGTTATTGTCAGTACTAGTTCCTTTACCAGTAGCAGAAGGAGATCAAATCAGCATGAGCTAAATCTGTTACTAGAGAAGTGGGAGGCTAATGGCTAATTAGCATCAGCTAACTTTAGCTATCAAAGTCAATACAAAATGAGAAGTTCCCTCTGATGTTATTTACCAGGGTGTCTGAGTCCTATTACTTTAATATGCATGGTTGAATGGTTGCTGTGACTAGAACAGCGCTTTATAAAGTCAGTCTACTTATATTTAACTATGCAAAATTAGTGAATATCACTAATTATCATTTCACTGGAGACAATTTCTACATTTCATGCAGTTTTTTCAAATAGGGCAACATCCTTCATCTTAAATGGATTCATTATTAGGTGTAGCAATTAGGCTATTAGAACAAATTGTATTTTCAATGTAAACACACACTGTAAGCTGTTTAGGGGCAAGTTTAAACGCTGTGCACTGGGTCTGACTGCGGGCTCAGGTCGCTGGCAAAAAATGCCATAGAAATCAAAAAAGTCTCCATCAGGATTCTGAATATGAGAAGAATGCAACAGGGAAAAGGAAACGGACACAGAACACGCCCACTGCGTCTGTGGAGGACACGTTTGAATACATTAGAACATTTCCCAGTCATTCTGCAAAGGTAAAAGGCATCAGAAAAAAATGTCAGAGGTAAATATTTTTATTTTTAAATATTTTTTATACTTTTATGATTGCATAGTGTGAGTTTCAAAAACAGAGTTTTTGAATAGGGTCAGTTCACATTGCAGCCATAAAAAATAGGATTATTTTAATATTTGACAAAATAACTTATTTTTGTTTTCAACCTTTATTAACTTTTCGGATTTGGTTTCATCCATGAATTTTTATTTCATTGCATCCCTAGTATGGATTAAAGATGGGAGACTTAACAGCAAACGAAAGTTACTACCGTAACTACGGTTCTATGAATCCCAGATGACCGCCAGAGGCGGTGCTTGAAGCACCGCCTCTGGCGGTCAGTAGGGATGAAATAGAACAAGCAATATTTTGACAACAAAAGAAAGAGATTATGTTAGACAGGCCTCACTGTCACACATAAGGTTTGTCCCGACTGCTGCAGCTCCTTTAAAAAAAAGCATGAAATCATCCCGTCTCCTTAAGGGGCGACGTCTTTCAGACCATTCCATCTTCTTCGTTTAATATAACCTGCACTGAGTCGGTCCACATACTCACCCGTCTCTCAGCCAACAGCATCTTATTCTGACTGGCAGTGCCGAGAAGTTTTGCTAAAAGAGCGACACCTAGTGGACATAATGAGCAGTTCAGTTTTGTTGTGTTTAGTTCCCTGCATTTGGACAAGAAGCCTGCTCTGCTGCAGAGCCCTCCTCTGTGTTTACAAACCAACCCAAGGTCGTTGGGTCTTTTATAAAACCTTATGTCATATCTATATATACATACTGTATATAAAACTTACCATATAATAGTTAACCTGTGAGGGGTTAAAATTAGGTGATTAATAAATCTTGGTGAGTCAGAGCCTTTACCAGTGGCAGTATAGGGGAAGAGGGAAAAAATCATGCTGGATTATTTCTCAGTTAAATTATCGTCTCTTCTAGTATGGATTACTATGAAATGTGCAGCAAAGCAGCAAATAATGAAAACACCACCCAGAGTTTGAGCTTTCAGCTTTCAGTAGGGATTATCAAATTCCACCAAAAGGAAGGCAGCATGCACACATAGAGAAACATTTGGATGGCAAGCAGACAGAGGCGTGATCATAATGATTAAGGTAAAGTTTCAACATTTACCACACAGCTGATCATTCTGCTGTTGCACCAGTGCCACCATTCTGGACACAAGTTACTTTAATAAGGAGATTAAATATTTTAAAATGGATATTCTGGGAAAGAATGGAGAAGAGGTTTTGGGTTTGAGAAAATGAAAGAATTGCCAATAGGTCCAAGAGAACAGCGTAAGCAAAAAAAAAAAAGATTTTTGAAGACGGGTGGGGATGAACACCTGTCCCGTGGAAGAGAACAGAGAGCGCTGTGAACATACCAAACATGCCAATCTTGCACGGCAGACTGCCGGGGGACAGAGGTGGTTTTCGGTGGTGGTGATGGTGGTGGGTGCGGACGTAATCCCGCAAGTTGGGGGCGCTAGAGGACACCCCAAGCGCTGAGGCACTGAAGAGGCCAGAGCAGAGCGAGCCTGTGTGAGGACGAGTCGGGGGATGAAGGGAGGAGGGATGGGTGGGAGTGGAAGTATGACGGATGAGTCATTTTATTTTGCACACCATGCAGTTATTCTTCCAAATGTTTTGCCCTTTTGTGGAGAGTTTGTTTACACTGTAAACATGCCTTAAAAAAACTATTCACAGCCGCTAAGGTTACAACCACAAACATTGATGCATTTCAGGGATTTTATGTTACAGACCAACAGGCTGTTTGTGAAATGCAAGAAAAAGGATATCCAATATGCCTTTTAAACACCCAAAATCTCAAAAGTGTGGTGTAAGCCTCAGCCTGTATGCAAGCTAAACCTGGGTTTATCTTTAGAAGCCTCTTTAGGTCAGCTAGCCTCATTCAACTTGCTCTCTGCTTAAACCACCTCCTGTTCTCGCTGCAGGAAAACAAAAACCCCTCAGCATTATGCTGCCATCACCGCATCACACCAAAGGGATGGTGTTTTGAAGGTCATAACATGTGTTATATGTTGCACCATCACCTGACCATAGCGCCATCTTCTACAGGTTTCCTCAAGAAAATCTAAGGTGCTTGAGCAGAAATAAGCTTATCTACTTTGCTGGTTTATTGAGGACATTTCACCTGTCAACCAAAAGACTCCCTCGGTTCTTATGGAGTCAGAATTTTGCCAAAAGTGCACTTGCATAAAAAATACTCCAATTTAAAACACACGCAGGTAGACTACTGACTATGTGGATTTTGAATATCTTTTTGCTAGAATGAGTCCATGCTCCTCTGTGCTTGTTTCTTAGCCACCTGTAGTTTCTCCTCTCCTCTCCTGTGGACTTTGAGGGAGGAACCAACCTGAGACACTAAACTGCCTGTGATTGGTTACTTTCAGAAAAATCTCACCTCATGAGACTTTGTTCCGTCAGATGATCAACCCATAGTCAATACCTGTTTATCCCTTAAGATTATCCCTTTACTTTTGTATGAAAAATCTATTTAATTAATTTGTGGTGTTTTTTTTTTTTTTTTTAACTCTTTAAAGCCCGATCCAAGAATAAAGCAAAAAAAGAAAAGTACTTTTTTTTTTGGTTTGAAGTCCTTATTTGGCCTTTTAACAAAATATGTAAAAAGAAAAAACAGAAATACATTTTTGATATTAATAATTTATTACTATGCGATAAGTCAAGGTTATTTTTTGTGTAGTCTTCTGCCCTCTGTTATCAGGTATATCTGATTGTGTACAATAGGATTTTGAGCAAAGTTTTTACCATTAAATTATGCAAAAGGTGTCAGACGCAAAACATTTCAGAAACCGTATGTATCAAATATGATACATTTGGCATTACAGGGTTAAGCGTGTGGCGATCTGACCTTACATTTTTCTTTTGTACATGACTAAAGGGATGCACGGCCATCGAGGTAATTTAGAGTCTATCTTTTTTACAAACCTAAAGGTATAGATGCAAATCTGATGTCTTGTGCATGCGTATTGGTATGCTGGCCTGACAGAACACCGGCACTGATTTCTCCTGCATCGCAGGAAGTGACGTTAGCAAAGCATCTTCAGTCTAATAGCTGTTCTCTTAGAGTTAAAATGTGATTAAATGAGGTCATCATTGAATAACTTAGTTCAACGCTATCATGGAGGTGTGTGACAGCAGCAGCAATAAGCTCTAAAATAATTTATGTTAAATTTGGAACTTGGTACGAGCTAAGTTAACGTTAGCTCCACTTTTTTATTGAGGAAAGTGAGGCTTAAATTGACTTATATTTATATAGAATTTATTTATATTAATATATTTGAACACAGACATTTTCCATTTCTAATCAGCTTACAGATACTGTTGTGTTTATAAGCTGTCAGTGGATGACAGAGACGTCATAATTCAATCAGCTATCAGCCTGAAAATGCTTCGCTAACATTTCTAATTTCCTAAGAAGGAAAAATGGTCAGAGGTTTTAAGTAACAAAGAACAAACACTTTCTTTCCATACTTATGTAGAAATATCTGCTGCAGTAAAAGTTGTCTAAAAAAGTTGTTTTTTAGACAACTCTTTACGTCTACTCCTTACATTTTTTAGCAATTATGTCTACTTTCTACTGCCTACATTAAAAAAAAAGATTAATTAGTTTTGTTTCAATTAGGCTCGTTTTCATTATGGCCTCTTAAAAAAGAAAAAAACAAAACACCTTTAATCCAAATAGTTAATTTATTTGTGGTTGGACTCTGTGTTGCCCCAACCTCTTGTTCACCACATACCAAATTTTTTTCAAGATGATGCAAATTTAAATTTGACCCTGTACTGTTACCATTAGTTATAAAACTAAGAAAATTAAGTCTAATGAAGTTATCATCCAGAATTGTAGAACAATTTTCCTTTAATAGGGTAGAGCAGTAAAGCTTCAGGATTAATTTTACCTTTATATATCAAGTAGTTATAAAAATGCTACTTTTACACTATTACTTGTGTAAAAAGCTTAATTCAATTCAGTTTATTTCTGTAGCACCAATTCATAACACATCATCTCAAGGCTCTTTCCAGTTCATCAGATCATCCAGTCAGATTGATTCAAAGTTTTCTATCTAAGAAAAACCAGTTGATTGCATCGACTCATTGACTCTTCAGCAATCCCTCACACTAAGCATGCTTGTAGCGACAGTGGAGAGGAAAAACTCCCTTTTAACAGGAAGAAACCTCCAGCAGAACCAGGCTCAGTGTGAGCGGCCATCTGCTGAGGCCGACTGGGGTTCAAGGAGACAGAAGCAGACATAGAAAAGGCAACCAAGTTGATGCTCTGACTTCTAAAAATGTATTTTTAAACAGTAGGATTTATACTTCGACTTAAGTAATAAACATTAATACTTTTGACACCTCTGGAAACCATAGAGGTGGGATTTCCTGAACAGCAGGCCAATCACAGGCAATGTACTTTCTCAGGTTGGTTTCTCCTTCAAAGTGACAAAAGTCGACATGATCCACAGAAACAGGACCAAAGGGGAGGAAAGAAACTACAGGAAGATTACAAAACATGATAACGCAGTGCATAGGACTGAGCAAAGGCCTCATGCTGTTCAATCTGTATGCAGAGAAGTTCATGGCTATGTTTACACTGCAGGTCTTGATGTACCATTACAACTTTTTGTTAGATCTGATTTTTTGTGTGGGTGTTAACATGGGAAACTGTTCCCCTGAAGTGATCCACATGAGAAGAAAAACAACAATCCACATCAAACAACTCTAAGTAGAAGTGACCTGAATGTGCAGAAGATCAATAACAAGATGTGCTAGAAGTCAGGGACTATGGATGGATGTAAAGCTGTTGAGCAGTGGGAGTAGCTGGATGATACAGCAGACATAAAAAGGTTTCTTATGGATCGCCGCTGAATCCTCCACATTGAGAGGAGCCAGTTGAGGTGGATCTCATGCATCTGGTTAGGATGCCTCCTGGACGTCTCCCTGGTGAGGTGTTCCAGGCACGTCTCACCGGGAGGAGGTCCAGGGGGAGACCCAGGACACACTGGAGGGACTATGTGTCTCGGCTGGTAAGGGAGTGCCATGGGATTCCCCCGGAGGAGCTGGCCCAAGTGGCTGTGGAGAGGGACGTCTGGGCCTCCCTTCTGAAGCTGCTACCCCTGCGACCCGACCCCGGATAAGCTGAAGAAGATGGATAGCCGCCCAAATACTTACTAACCCCAAAATTTCGTTGTCCATCCACTGTAAACCTACATCTACGCTGTCCTGCATGTTTGCTGTAATTATTTTTGTCCCCTGCTCTGTGAGAACAGAGTGACATCATCGTCATAGTAATTCAGATAAGGCTCACTAGGCCGTGCAGACCGCAGTCAGATTCTAAAAGATCCAACCTGTATTGGATTTAAAACCACATACAAATATAGCCCAGATCGGATTGGGAAAAAGTCTGATTCTTTATGATAACAAAAAGTGGATTTGGGCCTCATTGATCTGCAGTGTGATTTTTAAATAAAACTGCTGGTATAAGTGTGTATTACAAATTACTCTTTGGCAGAATTCTTACTTCATATGGTTGAAAGTATCTATCTTGTCATTAAAGACACTAATGGCCGATTAGCAGCAGTGAGTCATAAGCAGTGAGATTTAAATATAACTGGAATAGCAATCACTGCTGCGGACTAGAAGCAGAGAGACTAATTCTGCCGTCTCAAACCACCCATCTTCCCTGGCAAAAATGTACTTTGTCATGCATCACTCATGTTTTATGAAGTTTTGGGCAAGACTTTTGTTCTGTTAATGCCTTTCAAGTGTATTTTCTTCTGCAAAAGCAGCAAGTAACATCCACCTATAATTTTTGCTTTGTGTACATTAATGTTATGTCTATTTTTTATTATTTGTGTTAATAACAATACATAACATGGAGATGAAAGCAACCTGGGATGTTTTCCTTCAGCAGGGAGAGGAATGCTAAGGGGACGACTGACTGAGCTAAAGGCAGGTGAAAATATTTGTTCTAGCAATGTGTGCCACACTTTTCAGATTCTTTGTAAATCATGAATGCATAGATCCATTCATATCTTAGGGACATTAATACCTCATTTACACTACCCTTGAAAAACCGATCCATGCCGAGACCGGTCCGAGCTCGGATCAGTTAACCAGGTCTAGCTCGGTTCTGACGACCGTTTACACATCACGCTATCTCGGTTCCTCGACTCCTCGCCTCCTAGTGACGATCTGCGGTATTACGGCCAGTATTGAAGGAGGAAATCAAGCAGTTGGTGGCGGTAATGCACCAAAAGTTGTTTGCCAACCGCCATAAAACACAAGAAGAAGAAGACAAAGAAGGAGGGAATCAAGCAAATCAAAATGTTGCGTGGAGAAGATTTTGATTGTTGTTTATGGTTGTTCTTCTTCTTCTGTTTTGTGTTGGTTGGCAAGCAACTTCCAGAGGGGCATTACCGCCAACTACTGGAATGGAGTGCGAATCAGGATGTGCAGCCAGACGGAGATGACGCGTTCTGCTCATGCGCTCTTGTTATCAGAGAACCGAGCCAGGGAAAAACTGAGCCGAGCCCACCTCTGGAACTGGTCTGCAGTTAGCTCGATTCGGTTGTGTCTAGCTAGGTTCAGTTCAGTTTGCTTTCCATTTACACACGATAAGTTATCTCAGTTACTGAGCTCGGACCGGTCTCGGCACAGTTTTTCAAGGGTAGTGTAAATGGGGTAAGAGTCTTAACTGAAGGGACTCACACATGCAAGGGTGTGGGGAGGGGGGTAAGCTCCATGCAGAAAACCAGTTCTCACCACGTCCCCACCAAGCTGGACTGTTACAGAAAGTCCCTCAAAACGATGTGCTTAAATGAGGATACATGGTCAAAAAAATTATTTAAAACTTAATTTGAAAAACAAAACATCTACATCTTTATTGAGCATTGCTAGAACGTTTCATCTGGTTGTCTGAAGGTTCACAGAACAATGATGGATTCAATAAGAGCAGACATTGCTCTAACTTCAATGGTTTTACTGTGTTGTGCTCATGATCAGAGATCTTCTTCATTCTACTTTATTGAGACGTCTCGTTTTTATCTAATGTGTTCAAAAGAGAACAAATGAGCAGATTTAGGCTAAAAGCAACAGTAGGATACAAGAAACCAAACCGCCTCTTTACTGCAAAAAAGAAATTACTGTATTTCATTTTGGTTTTTTATTTATTACAGCGTGCAAGTAAAAAACATGCTGATAGAATATGATTGTTTAGATTTAAAATAGGAAAAAATAATAACTCCTTTACCATATTCAAAGTGCATAATTATTTTATTTTAAGGTAATATAAACCGATTCCATCTTATCTAAATCATTTTATTTATTTGCTCAAATTAAGGGCAAATTTAAGATTTCCAAGAAATGTTTACTTTAGATCAGTTTTTGCAGTGTTTTTTTGTTGTTGTTCATCTTTATACAGACCAAAGAAGATTTTTTTTTAATGATAGAAAGCCATTAATAACACTTGTTAGAGTTAAAGGGGACGCCAGCTTATGCTCATCTTTCTGAAAGTATTCATACCCCTTTCTGTTTTCCACATTATCTTGTTACTACAAACCTAATTTTATTGGGATCTTATGTGAAAACTGTGATGTCTGAATGTCTAAGGTAAGCAGCAGAGCATGAAAGGATAAACAATTAATGTGTTTAAAAAAAATAAGCAGTTTTCAGGACAACTTTTCTAAATACTAATATGAAATATGTATCATTAAAAACTCTTGGAACAACATTTTTCTTCCCTACTTTAGGTTAGTCTAAAGAAACCAAAAAAGTGCATTAAAGTTTTTTTGGGGGGGTAAATACTTTTGGCAGACCTTATGAAAGAACATGTGAACCTCCTGATAGAAGTGTGAACACTAGTGGAAGCTCTGGGTCACTTCTGTCTGGGTTTCATTATTTTAGCATAAAAACTGATCCAAAAATAAGGGAAATTGATTTAAGCCGTTCATCCTTAGAATAAGATAATTAGACATGATGCACTTTAATATAAGATAAATGAGTTGTTTATTTTTTAATCAAATCCTTTCAGTTCACTGTCTAAGTGTCAAATCATGGGAAAATTCACTTATTTCAAGAAAAATCTACTTTAAATGTCTGTGCTGTTCCTAATTTGTTTAAGTGATCCATCTAACATCTCTTACCATGTTCAGATGCTGTTGATTTTGTTGCTGGTGAAGATTCTCACTCGTCCAGGTCATAGTCCTTCCAAAATAAATAAAAATCCACTGGACTTCCAGGATGGGAAGCGGAACGTCATCAAACTTTGAAACAAAGTCCAGTGGATTGTTTTTTTGTTTTTGTTTAACATTCTTTGAATGACTATGACATGGATGACTGAGAATCTTTACCAGTAAATCTCAAAGCAAGGTAAAAAGCAAACCTTGGGCTAAAGTTAAAGCTGTAAGACTTGAGTAAAAGAACAATTTTTGCAGATTAAATATCTAAACTGTCAATAAAATACTTGTTGGCATAATGTTTCCTTACACTAGCAAATATTAAAGATTATGTTACAGATTTCAAATATGTGTTTGTGTTGAGCCTCATTGCTGTTAGAGACTGAGTGGGATTATTCTGTCCTGGTGACATTGAGCAGCCAGGCTGTTAAGGAGGGTAAAATTCCTATTGAGGCACACATGACAGAAATCGTTTCTGTGCTTCTGATGTCACATTCCTGCCTTTATGGTTTTCTCCATGCTGCTGGTTTTGGACTACAGACTCATGCAAATGAGTGTCGGCCTTTTTTATCCCATTACAAGTTAATTTCCTGTGGGAAAAGTGACTGCGGAAAATAAAGCGTTCTTTGATTGTGGAGTTGATCCAGACAGAGCCGTGTTAGGTCTACTGCTCACTGACGGCTAACTGTTGGCGGAGAAAGAGGATGGCCAAGTCCTCTGATGCAGATTATTTAGTAAAATATGTTTATAAGGTGATGGGGGGATTATTTAATCTATTTTAAAATTACAGTTTGTTAAATCACCCTATCATTCATTCTCAGCATTTAGACCCTTTCAGTTCACACCTGCCATTGGCTTCTGCTGCTCTACCTGATCTTTAAAACATTTCTGCTATTCTGTTGTATTTGGATTTTAAAGATAAAACACCAAAGGCTCAAATTCTCTTATTTTGTTAAGGTGATAGTCAGGAAGACCCACAAAAAATGGTGAAATCAGAAAAAAAAGACATCTTAACTGGAGAATCTGAGGACATCAGACATTTCTCCAAATCATTAGAGACCAGATGAAAAGTGGGAAGCTGTGAGGAGGCCAGTCAGCAACACTGAATGACCTTTAAAGGTTCCCAATAAGCAGCTGGTCTGTTGCGTCACAATCATCTCCTTTATTTTGTATTAATCCCGGTTAAACAGTAGGGTGGAGACTATACATTTTAAGACGATTTTAGCAACAATTCAAATAGAAATGCTTGGAAAAACAATGATTTTAGGAAGTTTTGGCCTGAGATCATGATCAGAAACATGAGCTGGAGGCTCACCTGAACAGAACTGAACTGGGTTTGGAGAACTTTGATGAGGTAGATGCTGTTGCAGCCGAATCAACAGACCATCTTTTTCATTTAAGTATGCACAGGCAGTTGGGGTCTTTCCTGAGGTTTTCATGTAGTTTATATTAATAAATCTATTAATTAAACCACTGGTAAAGCGCTGCCTTCAGAGCCAAGAAAGGTTTATCCAAAGTCTGATGTTTCCGAGCTGATAGCGGACTTTAGGTTTGCCTTTTCAGAGCTGGTTGTTTTGCCAATTTATTATAGGAATTATGAAAACAGAATTTTAGGCTTAAGAGTCTTTTTCTTTTCAAACATAGGAAAGTTAATCATAAAATAATAAAGGAGGAAATAACAGAGAAACGGTAAAAGAGGATGGATTTGCCAGGTTACATGTTCATTTATCCTGCTAAGCTTTTAGCTCAAACTAAAAATAGTGAGACTTTTTTTTACAATTATTTCTAAAATGTTATATCAGAAGAGCTTTATGATGTGGAAGGATACATTTCCTAAGTTTTTACAGGCGGTTGGGGTCTTTCCTGGCAGCATTTCTGAGGTTTTCATGTAGTTTATATCGATAAATCTATTAATTGAAACTGAGAAAGTCTCAGTGAAATAGATTTTGGCATATCATCCATCTGTAACACGCTGGTATTCACCACTGAACCTTCTGTGAAGCAGGGAAACACCTTAATTTAAACCTTTGATCAGAATCTGCAGCAGCCAGAGAGAGTTAAAGCTATGAGTGAAACAATGATAGATAAAACCTCCATCTGTTTCGCCGCTGTGTGAAAACCAAATCCTGCTTCTGGCTGTGAACGCGACGCAAATTCCCAGCTGACCTCTTGCCTGAATAGTTTGGAGTCTGATCCTGCTTGGCTGCTGCTAAGCTGAGCCGAGCTGGAAGCTATGCAGCCGTCGGAAACAGGAGGGGTGGTGATGGAAAGAGGAGGGGAGGGATCGGCCCTCAAGAGAGACATGAGGGAGGGACTGAAAGGGGATACAGTGCAAGGGTGAAATAAATAATTATTAAAAAAAACAAGCTTGTGATGAAGAGCGGTGCGGTGATGACAGCCTGAAATAGATGTGCTCTGAGGACGGGGTGGCATGATGACAAACACACACGCACACCCACACCAGTGAGGGACGCAAACGGCCCACGACAAAAAAAAGAACAGTTAGAAGCTGACCTAGGCCTCCAGCTGGTTTGATCTCAGGAGACTGGCGCGAACATGACTGGAAGAGTCGATGGGATGTGGGGCCTTTGGAGGAAGCGTTGGGGAAGGACTCAGAGAGGACCTAAGAGAGGCGGTTAAAAAGGAGGCGATTAGATCAACACATCAGGTGAACAACATGGCTGCTGCTAAGAGTCCCACTACAGCGCAGTACCTCCATGGAGCCTGCCTTGCGGTTACGGATCATAGGGGACTTTCTCTGCAAGTTGATGAGTTCTGTGACAGGAAGCGCATCGTCCGTCTGATCCTGGGAGAGATCCTCCAAGCTGCCCTGGTTGGGCTTTTTGTCTTCATTCTGATCGTTCAAAGAACAGGAAGCAATTTTCACCGACCCCCAACGACCCACTAAGGAAACTTTAACCGGATCAGAACCGTCACACACCTCTGATGATGCAGGCCGGAAACCGAAACCAAGGGGCACATTCTCCTCGTCTTCACACCCTTTCACTCCTGGGCTGAAGTGAAGTTCCACGTGGAAACGCTCCTCAGAGGAGGGGTCCTTATCACCGCAGGCGCATGAAAGACAGAAGGCATGCCGTTAGGGATGCAGAAAGCCGCTAACCGGGACATGAAGAAGACGCCTGCAGACCAACCTTGTTGTTGTCTTCGTACAGCATGATGACGATCTGCGTCATGTAGTTGAGTTCAGTCACAGCGCTCAGGTAGTCCATGGCCTGCTTCCACTGCTGGTCCTTCACCTCCTGGTTTTGGTTTTTAATTAGAGAAATGATATCTAAACGGTTCTAAGCTCACTGTATAGAATTCTGATTTCAATTCAGTTTTCTTTCACAAATAATTATAAAAACAAAGGCATTTTTTTAACAAACAAGCAGAGAAAAACATAAGAAACAGCAAAAAAAAAAAAAAAAAAAAACCTGCTATACAAAACAGCCTGACTATGCTCAGCCCTAATTATAATCACCAGTAATAGATTAATAGAAACAAAAACAAAAAATCCATGTTTGGTCTGGAGATAATCTTTAATACCCCCGCCCGTCTGCCATTTCCTCTTTCTTTAAAGCCGTAGGGAAATGGCCATCGCAACGGTTCATTTACAAATTCTCCCAGGTGGTGCCTAACTTTACACGAGTTAATAAAGTGAATCTGATTGGTCGTTTATCATGACGGCGGGATTGTTGTGGCGGAAGGTTCACAAGCAAGTTTGGTTGTGGCCCGTGTCTCAGAAGCATCTTGCTAACCAGTTAGCAACTTAGTGCTAGTAGGTTCCCAATGGGAAATTCCATTGGGACCAAGTAGCACTAAATTGGTGACTTAGAAACGACACTGTCAAGGAACGCTATGGACAGAGGAAACATGCAAGAGGAGGAGAGTTTAGTGTCGGAGCTCGTGGATGAGTCTCCTCCGTCATCCATTTTTTATTGAGAGGAGGAAAGAGGGGATGAAGATGTTGTGGAAGAGGACGCCAGGGCGGCAGAACCTTGGTTTGGTGTAGAAGGCTTCCAGCCGTACATGTTTGAGGAAATGATTCTTATTTCTTATTTCAGCCGTTGCGTATATTAGCAGCGACATATGAATCAAGATAGTATGACCAAAAACATTTGATTGACAGATGACTGTTGATATATGATTGGCTGAATTTAGGTGTTTAGGCTGACCTAAGATAACGAAAAAAAACCCCACAGATTTTAAGACAGGATTATTTTTAAAATAGAAATTTTCAAAATTTTGGGACAATATAGTCTGATAAAAAGTACATTTATATCCATGTTTAAGCCAGAATGATTTCATATTTAAACATGACTTCCCAATGACTTTAAATAACGGCTTTCCTTCCCAATCTTTACTAAAAAGGAGGCAAACAGAAACTAAGCAGCAAATCTCTGCAGCTCCTCCAGAGTCACAGACCTCAGGAAGCATCTGTTAAATACTCAAAAGCTCAATACACATTTTAGAATTTTGACTCATCCTTCATTTTCTATCCCACTCTAAAATGTTAGTTTATCACAGGGCATTTTAGAACTAATACACTGAATCTGTGGCTGTGTCAAGATAAAAAGAGGCAAAGCTCTAATTCCACACAGACTGATGTTTCATTTTTCTTTTTCTTGAACAATCAATACTAAGTCATAGTAAAAGGTCCTGACCTCCCTAATCTAGAATAAAATAAAACTACAAGTAACCCACAAATTCCCAGTTTATTCTTAGAAAACCGATGTGTCTTCTCTGTATTCTCAACCCATCGAGGATTCATGGAAATCACGTTGGCTCTGTGCTGAAACAATCAATCGGATTAATCGATTCATCGATTAATAAAATCGTCAACTAATTTAGTAATTGATTAATCGTTAACTGGACTATAGAGACTCTGAAATATGCCTTCAGTTGACAGAGCGACCCACTTACAGTAGCAGTTATACCACAATTGTGAGAAAATATAGATAAAAATATAAAAAATAAAAAGATAAAAATGTATTTCGTCTGTCGATATTTTCTATCCAGAAGTCCTCAAATGGAAAAGCTTTATTTTCACTTGGTTTAATTTCACAAAAAGTCTTCTTTAAGGAAACTTTTGCTATCTGATTATTAATCAATTAATAAAAAAAATAATCAACAGATGAATCGATTTGCAAAACAATCATTAGTTGCAGCTCTAGTTGGCTCATTCTTATCTTCCACCTTTATGGAGTGAATTTTTTTCCATAATTTTTGTAAAGAACATGTTTTATAAATGGAAATGGACAATTCAGAAAGGAAATTATAAAAAATATCTTATTTAAAAAATGGAAAGACTTTGAGATTAACTTTGTTGTTATATTGACATCTATAAAATGTTAAAAAAAAATAGCATTAACTTTTGAAATAAGATGATTTAACATCTTATATGAATCGCAGTGAAAAATCCCTGTGATTCATATTATTTTCAAAAGAAGCTGCACACAGACGTATTTAGATCAAAATAAACCATGACTAAAAAACGGTGCAGCAGTTTTCACCAGAATCTCATTCAGCCTACTGTCCGTTAGGGACTCGAGCTTAAGGCGGTAATTATTGTTCAGGCCCAGACAGTTCAACATTTGCAAAAACAAACCAAAACAACAAAGTGAAGAGTTTAAAAACAATAAACTAATGGGTTCTGCACTCACGTCCAGGAGTCCTCCATAGCGGAACATGCTGAGCAGAGAGTGGACGTGGCTCTCGCTTGTAAAGTAGAGACGGGTGCGAACGTGACGACCAGGAGACATCACCCCCCGGGAGTACCTGAACACCGGGGAGGAAACCGAAGGAGAGGAAGAGCTGATTAGTTACTGTGGTTTAGAGGAAAAGTCTGCTCATATTCAGAATTCAAACTTCTGAAAGTACTTTAAGTATGAAATTATTACAAACTGTTCAATAAATGATTAGTGTTTTTAATTCAGAGTAATTTTCATGTGAATGTGCTTTACTCGAGGCATCCATGTTTGTCAAAGAACACTACTGCCACCTACTGGTTTGTGACGTCACGGTGCGGTATCGGCTGTTGATCAAGTCCCAGTGCTGTATCTGGTGTTTGTCACAACGCGCTATTATCCAAGTCATCTTGAAAACATTCTTCTTCCAAATGTTGGCTACATATTACGTGTTTTTTCTCTGGCCAGAAGTTTGATGGCAAATCCTCCCTCTTCAAGTTGGCAATCCAACGATAAACCCGTCCGTGGAGGATCAGGAATCAGAAAGGGGAAATAACTCTTTTTCCACTTTTACCCGATGTATTCCAACATCCAGCTGCCATGCATGTGGGCATTGTCAGTTTCACTATAGCTCTGGTGAATTTCAATGGTGAAGTCCTCTGGAAATCTTCAATAATTGTTGTTGATTGCAGATGTGTCTAGTAGTTACCATTGATTTTGCTAGTAAAGCGGGGAGAATGGCGCTAGGCTTACCGCACCGTGACGTCACTGCTGGAAGATGGCAGCAGGGAGGGGCTACTATATTTGGGTATATTTTTATATTTTTTGGGTATATTTTTAGGTATACGTCATGATCCATTAATTATTCCTAGCTGAGCCGACTTTTACTATATTTATGTATAAATAACACGCCAAAACCCTTCCTCATCTTTACCGTTTACAGGCTGCATGCATGTCTTGAATTTCTTGTTTTCAAGCCACTTTTGTTGAAATTTGCATTTTCCCCATTCTCTAACTTTTTATCCGCCTCAAGCTTCTTTTCCGAACATACGGCTTTACGATCAATCGGAAGCAGTTCGGTGCAAATTATATCTGATAAAATATATCTGACAAAATTGTTTTTATAAATGTTTTTTCTTTTTATAAAGCATTTTAAATGCCACGATAATCACATTTAATGAATTTTAATACCAATTAAGACTTAATTACAAAAATTATAATTGAATGAGTATTAATGACCCATGGAAACCCTGTGAAGTGATGATGGGGACTGTTCGTTGCCAGCAGCCTCTGACAAATACAGTCATAGGATTTATTTCCCATGTCATAGAAACTCTTTTTACCTTCACAAAAAGTATGAAAGAAATATGAAACGGTTTACAAGTATAATAACCCCATAATGTAACGTGAGGCTATATTGAGCACAGTTTCCTCGGGGTGATATTCTCACAGAGGGTGCAGCTTGTTCACAGCCTCGTCTTCATGGGTTCTCTGCAGGTCCAGGTAGATTTTCTTCATCAGAGGAACACAGTACGCCTGGGCAATGTCCAGCTTCTCTGCTTTACTGATGCCGTACTCCTGAGAGGGAAAGTCACAAACGACCACAAAGATGCAAATATACATATTCTGTTGTGTTGGTTGTTTTTTATCTAATAGAAGAAAAAAAAAAACGTTTTGGACAAAACCCAACAGGAAATTGACGTACCTGTGGGATGACTATGTCGGCCAGGGCGCGGGAGAGTCTGAAGAGCTCCAGCGTGTCCTCCAGCCCGACGGAGGCGTTGTGTTGGGAGTCGTACTTGATGCAGTCGTAGATGTCAGGGATCTTACTGATGTCGTAGCGTCCATTCTTCATGCGGAAGTCCCTCTCCAGTTTGGACCAGCGCTGCAACATCAACTCCAACGTCTCGCTGTGGTATAGCTGTAAATCTGAAGGAAAAGGTTCTTTACTGTAACGCAGAATAGTTTCTTACAGAAAAAAAAGTATTCATTTTTTAAGGACACTCTTAAAACAAGATGGTTTCATGTCTTATCCTTTCAAATGTCAATAAAAAATGACAAAGATCACATTTTAAACTCTGCTCCCGGTGTTTGATTTGTGTAATTTATCATCATCAGGAAAAGTGTAAAACTTAGTGAACACTCAAAGTTAGCAATTTCTAGGTTGCAAAACACTAGTGTCTAGAAGGTGTAAAATCATCTAATGCGAAAATTTAGTCAAAATAAGTTAAATTAGCTGTTAATTTCACTGACACTATTTCTTAAATTTAGCTTCTAGTGTAAAGTTGGACAGTTAGATATGAACAGGCTTTGCTTATTATTAATCTGCTGTAGTTGGAACAAAAGAAAACTTTTACAAAACTTCAAGTCTAGTTGCCTAAACTGAACCTTTAAGCTCAACTATGAGCTGGATGACTGAGAATCTTCACAGTTTTGTGTTCATTGTTTGTTTCCTGCTTCTCTCTTCCTTCTACTACGTTTTTTACCCACATGACAGCGCTACCAAGCACAGCACAAGTATTACAGCGCTTATTAAAGCTTTGTTGGCTTCGGGCGGTTTCATCTTTCCAATTAAGCTTGTGTGGAGACTTTATTAGACTTGGTGTGAATGTAGCATAAGGGCAGCCTTCTGATGTGCTTACCTGCAGATTTGGGGTCCTCCAGTCTCTTCCGAATCTGCGAAGTGAGGCTCTGAATGAGCGCATAGACCTTGTCGCAGGTTTTGACTGGATTCTCTATCACCTTCATGGAATTCACCAGTGAGGGACTGCCAGTTGGGGCCAACTGGACCACAACAGAAACATAGAATCATTAAAAAAAATGGGGCTATCTCAATTTTCTCAACCATTATTGGACAAATACCTTCTGATAGTCCTCTTGTGTAAACTCATGGTCACTCTGCATGATCTCATGCAGCCTGGCCTTCACCTTCTGCTGGCAGTCGGTCAGCGAGTCGCTGTCACTGTCCAGGAGTCCATTCATATTGGCACTCTTCACCATCTGCACCAGGATTGGTGTCAGTTCCCCCTCCAGAGCCAGCAGGCCCTGGACCAAAAACAAAGACGAATAAAGAGCAGAGGGTTAGGTTTGCATAGACAAATTATTTACCATTAACTCTCTGAACAGCTGAGGCTGAAGAGTCTGGCTTTAGAGCTCATCATAGCACTGAAACAGCTCTGGTGAAAGTCACTAATGATATTCTCATGGCCTCAGATAATGGACTTTTATCTGTGCTCATCCTGTTGGATCTCAGTGCTGCATTCGATACAGCTGACCATAGTATTATTTTAGAAAGACTTGAATACTTTGTAGGAATTAAAGGAACAGCACTAGACTGGTTTAGATCTGATCTATCTGATCGAATTCAGTTTGTTCACGTTAAAAAACAATTCTTCCTCATGCTCAAAGGTTACCTGGAGCATCAGGAAGGTTTACAAGCTCCTGAAAGCAAACAAAACAGAAGTTATAGTCTTTGGACCAGAGTCTTTGAAAAAGAAGCTGATTAGCCAGTCACTTCATTTGGATGGGATTAAACTGTTTTCAGATAATAAAGTAAAAGATCTTGGTGTTGTTTTTGATCAGGACCTGTCATTTAAATCCCATATCATAGAGGTTTCTAGAATTTCCTTCCTTCATCTGAGGAATATTGCAAAAATGAGAAATCTCCTGTCCAGGGGTGATGCTGAGAAACTAGTCCATGCATTTGTTACTTCAAGGCTGGACTATTGTAATTCTTTACTATCAGGAAGTCCACAAACTGTAGTTAAAAGCCTTCAGCTGATCCAAAATGCTGCAGCCAGAGTTCTGATGAAAATGAAAAAGAGAGATCATATCTCTCCTATCCTGGCTTCTCTTCATTGGCTTCCTGTTAAATCAAGAATAGAATTTAAAATCCTCCTTCTCACATATAAAGCCTTAAATGGCCAAGCTCCATCTGATATTAGAGATCTGATTGTTCCTTATGTTCCTAACAGAGCACTTCACTCTCAATCTGCAGGTTTACTAGTGGTTCCTAGAATTTCTAAAGTAGAATGTGAGGCAGATATTTTAGTTATCAGGCTCCTCTCCTGTGGAACCAACTACCAGTTTTAGTCCGTGAGGCAGACATCCTGTCTACTTTTAAGGCTAGGCTTAAAACTTTCCTTTTTGATAAAGCTTATAGTTAGGGTGGCTCAGGTTATCCTGAGCTATCTCTATAGTTATGCTGCTATAGGCTTAGACTGCTGGAGGACATAGGGACCCCTTTTTCATCATTCTGCTTCATTCTCCCTCTATTCTACCACTCTACAGAATCTGTTACTTCAATCTCTAACGTTCTGCTCTCTCTGCTTTTTCTCATAGTAGCTTTGCTTCGTCTGTTCCTGTTTGGCTGTGTCTCCACCCTTTGAGTCAATGAGTCAATGCAATCAACTGGTTTTTCTTAGATAGAAAACTTTGAATCAATCTGACTGGATGATCTGGTTGAATTGTAAAGTGCCTTGAGATGACGTGTTGTGAATTGGTGCTATATGAATAAACTGAATTGAATTGAGTAGAAAATGTTGGCTTTAAATGGCTTAATTCAGCCTCCAAGAAACAGAGTTAAATCAATTTTTAGAAATGGCTAATTTAGAATTAAGGAAAGCGGAAAAACTATTGGATGGAAATAAAAGTGTGGAAGAACAGACGGGTCACTATTGAGGCTGAAGTCTTTCTGACCGATAGCAGGTGAAACTGAGCAGAACCAAACCGTTTGCCACTACTCTGTTTTTGTACATTTCAGTTTTTAGCAGATCTGCTGATAGCCATCAGGTCCACGAGGCCCTTTAGTGGCTTCCAGTGTTATTCTCTCAGAAATTTGATTTAAAGTAGAAAAATTGCTTAAATATTTAACCATTTTAGCATATGTTGCATTTCTTGACTCTCTGTTTTGTTAGTTATAGAAGATGGAGGATAATCTTAGACAAGAGTATAAGAGTGTTACCAAGAGGCTTAGACATGTCTGTGCATTCCTTCAACATCTTGTCTGTAATTTCTTAAAGATTTGTAATGAAAATGTCTTCATCTTTGTAGCAATCAGAGATTGTGGCCTAATTATGCTCAGATATTTGACCACTCATCTATGCAGAAATAAACATTATTGAAAGTAATTGGTTTACAAGCCTTTGCTTTTCCATTACATTCTAGAAGCTTAATGTAGAACCTTTGGTTAGTGAACATAATGTATTTTCCTTCATAACCATCTACCTTTGCAAAAGCCGCAGCAGTCATCTGGACCCTGCCTTCGTCTGAGGCATAAATCTTTAGATCATGGCGGTAGGTGCTGTGCAGCCTCAGCAAGCCACAGCCAGGAAACCCTGCAAAGTCACCTGAAAGAATGTGCACAAATTAGACCACTACCTGTCTTGTTCGCAGCATTCAGACGTAAAGTAAGACATTTTTCAAAAGGGAGGGCTTAATCAGGAAAGAAATTTTGGAAGGCGAGAAAAAACGATGAAGTGTTGATTTCACCGTAAAATACCAAAGATTTCCCCAATAATATTAAACATTCGACAACTGAGCGGGTAGAGCATCACTTTCAGTTCAAATACAAAATTCTTTAACTAATTCCAATATTTCTAACAAAGCTTATTTTATCTAAAGAGAAATTGTGAGGTTTGAACCCCACACAAAAATGAAATGAAAGTGACTAAACACTGAGTACTCGCTCTCATCTGCACATTACATCAATAGTTTTACATTCATTCTTGTGCTAAGAAAACTTATCATGCATAACGTAAATCAATTTACTACAGTGCTTTGCCAAAATCTCATCATCTCTGACTTTATTTCATTTTGTTAGATAGTCCAATATAGCTTCATAACTGTAACATGGAAGGAAAATGACACCTTTACTTTGAAGAGCTTGATAGAATAGTTAAAACCAGTGCTATCAAATGCCTTTAGAAGTCACCATAAGGCCTGTGAGGTAAGATAGGACCAAATTGTATTTTGGGCTTAAGATGTCAAAGGACTGCATGAATAAGTCTAAGCCACTGGTGTGTTGGGCCCAAAACAGAGCAGATTAAACACACACTAGCCTGTCAATGTAATGGGGTATAGCAAAGCCAGGCCTTATAGTTTCTTTGTGGTTGGGTTAATCTTGCCAGTTCTTGGTCAGGCCAAATCCAAATGAGTGATGCAAGCCCTCTGCCAGCAGAGGGATCCATAAGGGACTGGTGCTAAGAGAATCATTCAGCATTCATTGGAAGCCTCACAAACATGATTACCAGAGACATAACCTGGCTATGGGGAGAAGGATTGTCACCTCAATGCACGGTCTGGGCTCTGGAACCCAGATCCTTCAGGGAGGCTAGACTCTCTTTTACCCTGGAGTTGCTTGTAAGTTGAGGTGGCAAGGGTTGGTCAGCTTGTGTATAATCTTTAGGATGGGTGCTTCAGAAGTACTGTCACTGACCCATTATAGGAGCTACAGTTTTTTTTTTCTCAGTAAATATATTTGTAGAGATGCTACTGACATGAAATTTTCATCAGATTTCAGTAACAACCCATGCAATCCATACATACAAAAAACTCAAATCATAGATGTCCAGGAATTAAGTTATGTGCAATAAAGTGGAAAAGCACAGGGCAAGAGTATTGAACATGTGAAGAAAGGGAGGTGCAAACAGGTATGGAAAGCCAAAAAACCTGCCGATGTTACCGACACCTGGTAGAAATTTCATGTGAAAAGCACCTCTACCAATATATTTACTGAGAAAAATAACCTGTAGCTCCTATAACGGGTCAGAGACAGTAATTCTGAGGCACCCTCCTAGAAAAATATATTTCCTGAGAAAAATGGTGGTGTGTTCAATAGTTGTGTCACTCGCTGTATCTAGCCTCTGTATAAGGAAAGCAAAAGTCTGCTCTGCATTGTAAGCGCCAAGTCAGACCTGTTTCCAGTCCGTGCTGGACCCTGGCAGGGTTCCTCTCTGCCACCGGTCATGCAAATAACTTTCATGGATGGTATTTCTAGATGCAGCCAAAGGGTCGACGGGTGTTTGGTTTGAGGACAAACAGATTTGGCTGGGCACTCCCTTTGTGTCAGCTCAGGTGACTCTGGCATCTGTTTCAGATTACACCTGGTCATCTCCTTTTGTAGATGTTTCAGGCACGTCCCACCAGAAGGAGGCCAAGGGGACAGCCTAGGACAAGCTGGAGGGACTTTTTCCTCTAGACTGGACATGAAATACCTCAGGCTTTTGTCATGGGGGGTAGATAGAGGTGGTGTTTGGGGAGAGGGATACTGGACATCTCCCCGGACAGATGCCTGCCCTCCTGTCCCATACAAGCAGAAGAAGAAGAGCACCGATACAAATCATCTTGTTCACTCAGACGTGACCTACTACTGTAAAGACAATAGTTATTATGGCGTATATGGTACACTCCATAAAACTGGTTTTTATACTAGTCTTCATACAACTTTGTAGAAAAGAAGGCCAAAGCAGTCCCCTTTTTCAATTTGCCACAAGACATTTGGGGGAAAAGATGCAAAAGAAGAGGTTCTCATTAGTAGAGACTAAAATTTTAACTGGTGGCTGAATTTATCTTCATCACAATAAGACTGTAGGCAATATTGTTCGAAAAACTTGCCTGGACTGCAGTTATTATTTAACTTCAGGCTCTTTATGGCTCTAGTAGATTTGGCAACTCTCGTTTGCAGCAGCATAAACAATAGAAACCATGTTACACAAGGCAGTAAATGTTTAACTACAATAAAGTACTTTCAAATCCAAAAAAACAGATGTCAGGGCACAGGCACGTTTTCAACAATAGCTGTAATGGAAATTACTATTATCTGTGGACATTGGACCAAAGCAGAAAGGGCATTTACACATCCCTTGTACTACTTTAAATGTGTTATCGGTGTTTGAGATAAAATATTTCACCCTCTCTCTCAGTCACCTTGGACAGCAATTCCCTTCATTCTATCTTCACTGCCTTATGTATCGCCAAAAAAATATATCCTCATGAACTGTGAAAATAAAAACAGTGCAAATATTAACCAGTACAGAGAAATTCGGTAAAATTATATTAATCTAGAGATAGCTGTTGCATCATTACTAAATCAATCTCTCTGGACACCTTTGATTGGCCACATTTCCTACTAGGAGTTTTCTGGCCTGTGGCTCGACCCCGTGTGGCACTGGGGCTGATTGGACGCATGTCTGGACTGTCTAGGTCTGGGGCTTCCCAAAGAGGGTCGCTTGTGTTAGATGTGGGCCGGGTCGCTCCTGCTAGAGGGGCCATTGGGAGGCCCAGGTTAGGACTTCTGGAGGCTGGGTGAATGGTTTTCTGGGATCTGCATCGGCGCACATGGGTTACTGGCCTGGCGGTTGTGTCATGTCGGGGTTGATCTGGGGTGGACCTGGGGTCCATGAGGTGGCCTGCCCTAGGTTGGGATCCCTGCTTTGGGTTGGGGGTTAGGTTCAAGACCAATGTGCCACCTGTTTTTTGTGGACTGGCGCCTGCTATAGTGCCTAGCCTGCTCTGGGGTCCTTCGGAGCCCCAGCTGACATTGATGTTCCTTTCTACATCCTTTCTACATCATCCTGGTGCTTTCCCCTAGAGGGTACACACTGTCAGTAAGGGGGTGGAGGGACACTGGAGAAGGGTGCTGTGCTAGACTAGTACACACTAGACATAGGCTCTTAGGGAAGAGATCATCACCAGGGTGGGTCCTCCCATGCTGGTGGTGGCCTATTCCCCAATTTTAATGAATATCCTAGTCAGCATCATTTATAACAGTTGCGAGACATGCATAGGTAGGGCATAAGGTTGGGCATACTTTGGGTAGGGGAGGTGGGTCAGCCTTTCTTGCTTTGCTTTCAAAGCTCACCTGTGGTTGCTGGAATACATTTAGACACTAAAGGCTGATTTATATTCAGAAACCAGAGCGTCTGCGTGTGTGTCCAAGTGAACGCAAATGTGCCCCCTGCCCCTTACGCAGACACTCTGGTGAACCTTTCCAAAATTGTAGGTGACCGAAGACAGTGCCGCAGACAGGAGGCATCCGAGTGGTCAAATCTACATCCGCTCTACACTATGCGCATTTCCTGTATGGTACTTCACTGGCTTGTTTTGATTGTATAACCGCCATTGTGGAAAACGACTCTTAAAGATGGACCATCTAGAAGAGCGAGGTGCGCAATAAGGCTGGGACCATTTCCAACTGGATCCTCGCTCTTTTTCATCCTCATGTCCCTCCGACCCCTTGACTCCTAGGCTCTCATCCCGGTGCACCAATGGTGTGACCGGCCGCCAGCGTAGCCCATTGGCTCGCTACCATGGTCCCTTGGCCTACTGGTTAGGGCCCCTCAAGGACTGGGCCCCATTGGGATTTGGTCCCTCAGGGGTTGAGCTCCGCATGCTCTCCTCTGCCCTTCCCTGGTGTATGCGGTCATTCCTATGTCTTCCCTCCTTGTGTGCCAGTGATCTAGGGTTCCTCTGAACATCTGGAGCCAGGATCACCTCTTTAAAGGTCCTCGGCCCTGTAGGGTGAGTCCGGCGCCACCCGCACCAGCTATTAAGCATATTTTCCCTCAGAATAAGCTTTGTAAATCCTTCATACAGGAGCATACCTACGCATACATGTCTGTTGTTTCCTTTTGCGGTTATGTTTTTATGTTTTCTTTCCCTTTTCATCTCATAGGTATGGAAGCAGACTTCTACTACTTTAGTAGTTACTTTATACCTTCTGTGTTCTCTATTTTTTTTGATTGGTTTTATTTTCTCCCTTTTTAGGCATTTTTTTACTGTCTCCCTTTAGTTCTTATACCCTTCGTCTTCATCGACAAAACACTTTGACTGGCAAAAAATAAAAAACAAAACAGGAACCCTACCCACCAATCCTCAAATTTGGGTGATGGCATCATGCATTGGGTGTGTCCTTCTTTGGACGGAACAGAAAAGCTGGTCAAAGTTTATGGGAAAATGGAGTTAAATTCCTAGAAGCCCTGGAGAAGAAAACTGCTTCAGTCCTCAAGAGACCTGATACTGGGCTTCACATCCAGGGGAATGACAGCCATAACAAGAAGAGCTCATTTCAGATGTTATGGAGCAATGCACAGCTAGGTGTTGGAATAATGTAGTCAGAGTCCCGACTTGAATGAAGAACAGAATCTGAAGCTATCAAGAAAATTTTTAAAGCAGTGCATCATTTTCCTTTCACTTTACACTTATGTACTATCTGGTTTACTATACAGAATACTTACTAATGGCATTAAAGTGAATGCAACACAAAATATGGAAGGGTTTAAGGGGAACAAGCACTGTTGTAAGGCACTGGACCTCTAAAACCACATTTATGCTTCATATATTTTACTGTCTTTTAGAGCTAGTGGCTTAGATTACTCCATGAAGATCGTTTTTAAATTCCCTATTGGATTTCGAACATGTTAGTGACTTGTCCTATCCTTGAATGCAGGGCTGAATGTAGACAAGCCCTCAGAAAAGCTAAACTGGGAAAAAACTGTAGGTAGAAGGCCTTAAGAGCACATTCACAATGGCACAAACAATCCACAGCAACCTTGATATTAAACAAACAGGAGTCGTCAAGTTGCCAAGTAAGATTAAACAAAAAAAAAAAAAATCACAATGAGGTAAGAAGGAATCAGAGCATGTTAGAGGACGGAGGGACGGACGCTCTTAGTGTGACAGCCAGGAAACCCTGGTCTTACCAAATTCAACAGGGGACTCGCAGCCACGGGATCGGTGATTACTGGCTAATAGTGTAAACATAGCAACAACAGGTAAGAAGAGAAGGGCAGAGTTAATGGACAGGACGTTATGGTGAACAGAAAAAGTATGAGAACAGTAGCTGGGATAAAGTGTTTCCTTTCTTTTCAGGGGAAAAAGGAAGCAACAAAAGAAGAGTTTGCATCTACATTTTGCCTACTTTTAGGTTGTCTTAGTAGCACTGGCAGTGTTCTGCATGCACTGTCAAAAAGCATTAGTAGCCTGAGCAAAAAATGAGCTAGACTGTCCAGTTAAAGGTTCCTGAAGTAATAAGAGCCAAAATAAAACCTTCATTCAAAGGAACGCCTCTTCAAACCGTCATAAGCTGTAGGTAACATGAAGAGGCTGGCGACAAGCGGCTCAGATCTCCTGGTAATTAAGAACAACTCTCATGTTTGCATCAGAACGTAAACATGCTCATCCACAAAATTTCTGTCTGTCTGTCTATCAAGCTACTCATCTATAAATAAATCTAAACTGAAAATGAAGTATAGCTACACAGAATAGTCCTTTATTTAATTTTTCCCAGGATTGTGTTTCTACCTCAAAGCTGCAATAAAGAGATTTTTTGTTATATAAATTGGCAAAAAAAAACTTTCATAAACTTAGTTTAGAAAGCATAATAAATAATAAATGCAAAATAAACTTGTGCGCACACTCACACACACAACTTGCTGCTGTCAATGAGGAGTAGGATGCAAAAAAAGCTGAATGAATTGTATGTATAGATTATACAACATTGTTTATCCACTGTTAAACATGCAATGTTAAAGAACAATGTTGCTGCTGTTTAGAGATTCTGACAAAATCCGTTGCAAATATTGAAGAATGAAACATGTTAAAAATAATTTTGCTTTTTTTTAATGTTAAGACAACCAAGTGTGTAATGCATGTGTTCGGAGAAATAACACTTCCGGTAAAACGTGATATTTAGAGGCACATGTAGCACACAGACCTAAACTTCTTAAGAAGAGAGACATTCTGGGGCAACAGCTCAATCTTTGTGCTACCTTGTCCTCCGGGGTACATGCAGCGAAAGGCCCTGCCCAGCTCCTCAGCCTGGACCCGGCCAGCAGGTGTCAGTTCCCCGCCCCACTTCAGCACCAGCTGCAGAGATGGACCGTCCTTCTTACAGTCTGAAAAGAACAGCATTAAGCTTCATTTTAAAAACTGATCCATGTAACCAATGAGCATTAAATGACACTTCTTAACAGCCTAAGACAAGTTATGTACACACAGAGTGTATACAAAATGACATTTTGTTTATACAGCGGTCTGACAATGAATTAGCAGCAGTGATCAAATGTACACAGTGTGGGAGAAACATGGTGCAAAAAGGCATTGATGTGGAAGGTTCAGAGCACTGCAAAAATAAATAGATGTGGTGCAGAATGCAGTAAAATAAATTAAAGTTGAGTTCTATTTTGAAGATTCACCATGTAGTACAAGTAGGATGTTATCAGTGTGACGCAGAGTCTGGATTTATGAAATGATTTAGAGTTTTTCAACAGTCTGATAGCAGTGGGGAAAAGCTGTTACATAACCTGCTGGACCTGCATCGGACGCTGTGAAGCCTCTTCACAGAGGGCAGCAGGGAGAACAGTCCATGGTGGGGGGGTGAGGGGTCATTGATGATGTTACGGGCTCGGGACTCGCAGCGCTGAGATGAAATGTCTTTAATGGAGGGAAGAGGAGCCCCCATGATCCTCTCTGCTGTTCTCACCTTCTTCCAGTCTGAGGCGCTGCAGCCTCCACACCACACAGTGAGACAGCTGGTCAGAACGCTCTCTGTGGTGCTTCTGGAGAAGGTGGGGAACGGGTGGGCCCGCTTCTGGGCCCTTTTGACCAGTGAGGTGGTGTTTCCAGTCCAGGTGAGAGTGTCTGTGATGTGAACCCACAGGAATTTGGTGCTGTTGACCACCTCTACAGCTGAGTTGTTGATCAGCAGTGGAGGCCGGTTCTTACTGAAATTGACGATGATCTCCTTCATCTTCTCCATGTTCAGGATCAGGCTGTTATCTCTGCTCCACCAGCTGCTCCACCTCCTCTCTGTAGTTCTGGTCGTTGTCATCACTAATGAGGCCCACCACCGTGGTGTCGTCTGCAAACTTCACCATGTGATTGGTGGTGAACCTGGGGACGTAGTCATGTGTCATCAGGATGAACAGCAGGGGGCTCAGGAAGCAGCCCTGAGGGGAGCCTGTGCTTAGACTGATGACATCAGAGGTGTTCTGTCCGACCCGGACTGACTGAGGTCTGTTAGTGAGGAAGTCTAGCAGCCAATAGCAGAGGGGTGTATTGAATCCCAGCTGTCCCAGTTTGCCCATCAGATGCTGTGGGATGATGGTGTTGAAAGCTGAACTGAAGTCCAGGAACAGCATCCTCAAGGGGGTGTTCTTCTCCTCCAGGTGTGCCAGGCTCAGGTGGAGAGCTGCAGAGATGGCGTCCTCAGTGGTCGGTTCATAAAACTGCCTTGATGAAGTGATATTGTTTCTGAGTGAATCATATTTCAACAGGCTGGGAGAGATCAAAGCTGGACTACTTTAAATAAGCCAAAAGTCTTTCTTTGTCAAGTAATGATCTATTTTGCCATTAATTTACAGTTTGGTGTTAACTTTAATGACGACCTTAACCTCTTAACATCAACCTCATTTTGGGTAATCCTCACCTATTTTGCTCACCCAAATGGAAAAGCCAATAACTTAGGAACTGTAAGCCCAAATTACATGTGCAATACATTATTTGTATTGCACACCCTCTAGTTTCCTAATATATTAATTAAAATCAGGTGACTAGAACACAGACCAACCTGCATCAGTTCAAACATGACTCAAAGTTGTTTGTTTTTTATTCTCGGAAATGATAGGTCTTTTTTGAACAGCAGTTCTAAAGACATTCTTGAGAAAAGGTAGGTTTTATTGTATTATATTTGTACTACATCATGTCAACCACAAATGCAGGAAATGTCAGACCTCTAGCTATAGCAGTTCCAGAGCTGTGGGGTTTGGAACATTTGGTGTCAGCTTGGAGCTGCGTGCAATGGCTCCATCTGCTGGTAAAAATTATACCGGTGGAATTTTATGCATTCTGAGATATTACCCCCACTTAAACTCCACCAGGTCGCCGGTTTTAAGAGGTTAATGGCCATAGAAGAGGCTATTTGGTAGGAGTGGATCTAGAGGTAGTGGAATATGTAGAGGTTCTGCAGGAACATATCCCATGCCTGGTTCACATGGAAAGCAAGCAGGCTGATTTTCACCCAATTTAGGTGGTGTTGGGTTTCCTGTTTGACATCTCAATGTTCGTGCATGGCAACTGTTTGTGCGTGAAGTGTTGTTGTCCAGGTGGAAGGTCCAGGACACGTTGGAGGAACCATGTCTCTGAGCTGGCCTGATGTCTCCTCTGGGTTCCCCCAGAGCAGATGGAGGAAGTGTGTGTGGATCGGGAAGTCTGGGCCTCTTTGCTTAGACTGCTGCCTCTGCGACCCAGCGCCGGATAAGCGGAAGAAAATTAATGAATGAATTAATCTGCTTAGGCAGACCTTCTTTCAGTGTTGTAATGCAAATGTCATCCAGAAGAGGGAGCTGTTCTTCCTACACAATGATTGTAGTTGAAAAAGAAGTGGAGGCTAACCACAACAGACACAAATGATTCAGACAATCCTATTTTTGACTTTATTGGGCTTAAACCCTTCACTTTTGATCAAGCTTATAGAGTGGCACAGCTATCTCTAGCGAACACCACAATGCAAGTCAAAGACTCCCCGTAATCAGCTGGGTTTCCTTTAATATAAAACTTCCAACCAATCTTATTTGATGATCTGATTAATTCGTCTCAGTATGTGAAATGATGTGTGCTTTAAATGAACTGAAGTAGAATTAAATTGGACAGCCAACAGAAACCCAACAGTAAATGTAGCTTTTGCTAATTTCTACCTTCTTCCTCGCTGGAGGCTTTCGGCTGGCCGTTCCGGAGGTAGGTCAGCTGGACCTTCCTGTTGATACCAGAGAAATGGCCATACCTGAAAAAAAACAGCAAACAGCCAAAAAGGTTTGAACAAAGACTTGGCAAAGATCTGAATCTGTCTCATCTGTTTTCATGTACCACACTAAACACACATCTAGGCTCCAATCCAAGGTTCTTACAACACAAGCTTAAAACCATCAAAAGAACAAAGCAACAGCCTTCAGATGTGACGTACAGATAATCCACATCATGGCTAATACCAGTATTAAAGCTAAACTCCAGACATGACCTTAGTGGGAAAAATCAATGTAAGCTGGTATTAATGAACGCTGCATTCTGCAGGGCTGACTAAGGACGACTTGCTGTTCGCTAAGAGGTCAGGTAAGTGAGCAGGGATCTGAGAAAGCCATTTTATTTTCTAAGCCATAGAGATAAATGCGTTTTAAATGCGAGCCACTACATCAACTAAGTATTTAATCTGCACCACCTTTGCTCAGAATTTTGCTTTGAAATTTCTTTGCAGTTCAGCTTCAGATTTTGTGAAGAGGGTGTTTGAGAAAATAGTGAAAAAAGGAAATGACGCTAATGATGTGCTGGTAGAAGTGTGTCAAACGAGGTCAGCCAGCGTGAACCTGCCTTCTTTATGCATCAGTTCACTTGTCTCCACTCATTCTGATAAAGACCTTCAGTCACCAACACAACTGGAACAAAGGTGACTGACAAGAGGTTTATATTTCTTAGTGAAACAGTCCAGTGATCTGGATTAAGATATTTCACAAGCATCCTCTTTTTTTTCTCTATTCAAATGAAATTCTGTTTAGGTATGGTTTGCACTGCAAAGTCTGCTAAAGCTCTTTAAAAGACTCAACAACTTATTACCGTAATTAACTCCTGAAGCCACCTTTGGGAATGAGATAATTCCATGAAAGGTCCATAAATCTGATAGATCACCACAGAGGTGGGTGTTATACCCAACAATTGTACTAACAAAAACGTAACTATTTCAGCACATTTTTACGTATTTGGTAAAAAAAAAAAAAAAAGTTTACTTAAATACTGAGACGCTCATAACATCTGATACTCAAAATGAATTCATAAAAACAAAACAAAATGTAAAATGATGGGTGAATTCTGGTCATTTTAAGACTATAATGAAATGATTACAATTGCAGACAGAGGAAACACTTTTCCAAACTAATTTTTAAACATAAAACTTATAACCCCAGTTCTTCCAGAATCAATATTTACTTTTTAGTGTATATTAGCTTGACCACCAATAAGCTCGTGTACGAAAACGTAATGTAAATTACATTAAATGTTTGTCTTTTTCTGGAGCCCTTTTTATACAACATTTTTTCTTATTTAGTGAAGTTATTCATGATGGCTGGAGTAGCAAAACATTTTACTCAAGTAAAGGTAAAGATATTTTATATAGATATTACAGAAGTAAAAGTAAAAAGTATTGTGCAATAAAACTACTCCTAACAGTATATTTTTATCAAAAGTTACTCAAGTAAAAGTAGCTGAGTAAACACTACTAGTTACTACCTACCTCTGCCTTGGATGTCCTTTAATCCAACCCGTCCATCCAGAATACTTCCGGCTCGCCTCCACTGTGGCTACCAATCCTATTCATTCAACTTTCTGCCTCACTCACCAACACATCTATTTCTGCCTCAGTTATGCTGCACTTTTTGGCATCGTCTTTGCTACCGTTGTCATTGGTAACCAATAAATTAAATGGAACAGTTCGCTCATTTAAATAGACATTGGCCATTTCTCAGTATGCGTACTGGTGCGTTCTCATGGGCTAGTGTACTCGAAAAACATCATCAGCCTCAGTCCTAGTACTGTTCCAATTCACAAGAACAGGAAGACAGAGAGCGAAAAAAGTCCACGGATGCTGTTCTTGCCCCTCCCTCTTTACGATTGACAGCTGTCCCAGCATGCACTGCAGCAGCAGCTTCAATTGGAGCGCTCACAGAGCTCAGAGTTTCAAGTTAAAAGTTCTCTTTTCTGTCGCTGTTGTTCTATATAAATATGTTTTAAGATCATTTTAGGCCAGAACATTATACTTTTAAGCGTCACTATACGGCCTATTTACTGATTTAGTGTGTAATTTTAAAGAAAAGTTTCTGAGAGGACCACAGCAACCAGTGGAGCTCCGAGGCTAACAGCAGCCAGGTGAACGTTAGCCCATCTGCAGCAGCCCTGTCTCTGGATATCCGTCTGTGAGTACCACTGGCTCTGATGGCGATTTTAATTGTCTTATTTGGCAAACTGTTAAATTGATTGGTGTTTATCTGACTGTGTTCATTAATATTCCCCCACTAGATGAAAAAAGTAAGATTTTTTTTTACATCTAGAGACCATTAATAACACTAGGAATACTCTAATCTTTATATTGGAGAAACCAAACAACCTCTCCACAGACTCATGGCCAAGAAGCCAACACAAGAAGAGCCTCCATGGGAGAAGACTCTGCGGTACATCTACACCTTATGGACAAAGGACATTCTTTAGAGGACCAGAATGTTCACATTTTGGACAAAGAAAATAGGTGGTATACGAGGGGCGTGTTGGAAGCAATTTATATTAAGAAAGAAATAATAACTTTAAGCAGAGGGGAGGTTGACAAAAACTACAATGCAGCGATAGAGTTGATTCCTTTCCACCATCATCGCACCCAACCCCTGTACAGGAGAGCGAAGACCTTGCCTATTCAGCCAGGCCAACTATTCCCTTTAACGACCTCCTTTCAGAGACAAAGACAGGTATGGGGCATTGCAGGCTAACAAAAGAAGCCAAACGACCCCCATTCCAAAAGGGTGGACCTGTTCGTCTGTTTCAATTTGCATGTTTTCAAAACAAAAACAAGGCTTTGTTGGGCTACTGTATAAAACCTCGAACTAAACGCTATTCCTGACATTTTGAACTGAGAAAGCTTCCTGAACGGGAAGCGAAACATCTTCAAACTTGGAAACTAAGTCCAGTGGATTGTTTTTCATTTTCTTTTTTTGGAATAGGAGGTGAAATGCAGCTCCAGACGAGCTGAGCTTGTGGTGACGTCACAAGTATGCTTCTGTTCCAACAGACCCATATTTATGCTGCATCTTCCCGTTCACACTTTCCTGTGTTATTTTCAAGAACATACTTGGCCAGGACATGAGTCCGTACTCGCGTTCTTGTGAATTGAGAAACAGCCGATGACAGTGATGCTGCGTTTTGCATGCAGCATTCATGGCTAACAGTTGGGTTTGTGCGTAACCAAGGTTCTATTAATCAGGATCCTAAATAATGTTTTATAAATGAAGCTACAGGACCTTTAAGGAAAAGTGTGGCATTAAGGAAATCATAATGTATTACTGTGAACTGTTGGAGGGCTTAAAAATTTATAGAAGATGGTCGTAATCTAAAACAACTCACTGAAGAAACTCCTTTAATGTGACTCACAGCAACATCTTATTTCTTTGGCATTAATGTTGAACTGAAAGTCCCTGCAATGGAAAAGAGACTAATGGGACAATAAAAGCGGAATGGGGGCCGATGATAGACAGGGGGAAGACAACTTTAGGAGATTTAGAGTCCGGCTGATGTGTGATGAGGGCAGCATGCACATTAAGGAGTGAACCACACTGATCTGCACACGCAGAAACACAGTGAAACCATCGTTTGACTGTGTATGAGTCAATCATTAAAAGACTAAAATAAATGGGAGTTTAGAGAAAATTATACATGAAGTGTACAAAACATTAGCAATGCTCGCTACTTTCATCATAATATTCTATGAATAAGCTTTAAAAAATGTGAAAAATCCTTTTTATGGGTGGAATCTGAACATTTACAGCTTTTTGGCCAAACTTGTCTCTGGTAAAGGAACTTTAAAATGTTCCTAATGCTTTGTACACTCAGATTATATTAACTAAAAGGAGAGGAGGGAGGCAAAACCTCATCCTTAAAGAAGGGAGAGGGTGCGTACTGATTCTCATTCAAGCTGGATTCCCTTGTGGAGAAAGAGAAGGACGGATGGGAAGGCCGGAGGAGAAAGGGACAAAGGGGGAGGAGAAGAAAAACAAAACAGACAGTTAAAGTCAAGATGACAGGATGGGGTTTCCATGGTGTTTGGTGGTGAGAGTGAAAAGGATGAAGAGTTGAAAGGTGATCCACAGATGAGCAATCTGCCAACCAACAAAGTTCCCAGAAGCGTGATAAAGGTATGGTGTGTGTTTGGCTCACATTTCCAGCACCGTCTTGAGTTGCTCCAGCTTGGATTTCTTCTCCTCGATCTCACAGTCGTTGTGCTGGCCCAGTTCAACCAGCAGCAGGCGGGCGATATCCAGCACTTCCTGGAATCACAGTGGCTCTTATCCGTAACTAAAGACTTATCTTTGACTTCTCTGTCCAGAACAAACAATCCCTCTGCGCAGGATTAGATAGTGTAGTCTCATGTGGAAACACAGAGAAACATTTACTCTGAAAATAAACATCAGAAACTCTGAGGAAAAGGATATTAAGAATGTTATAAACCTGAACGACTGGATTCATTTTAACTGTCGTCTCTCCTGAGTGGAACAATAAGACATTTTATAAAGTTAAAATAAAACTGGGGGAAAATTATACCTTCCAATATATGCAGTAGCTCTAAAAATGTACTTTGGTAAATGTTTCTATAATAAGAAAAAACTGATTTTTATTAATCATTTACTGAAGAAAAAGGCTGTTAATTAAAATGAAATCAATTAGCCAGAATAAGGCTGTACCAAGAGTTTTGTAATTTGCATTTTTTGGCTGAAGGCATTATTCAGTGAGAGGAAAAAATGTATTGAATTAATCGTGACTAATTTAGTAATTGGCAGGAGAGACTGAGAAGGTGAAGATACGTGTCAATAGGAAAAGAAAAAGTGAGCTGAAGATTTTTGGTATGATTTTAAATGCGAGCGAATACATCAACTAATACATCCTAATTAAAGGTGTTGTAGAAGATCTTGGAAAATTTGTTCCAGCAAGCTATATTTTTGGACATAAACAACATTGCCTTCAGTCCACCCTTCGCAACCACGCCTTCAAAACACATGAACGCGCACACTGTCTGCAGCGTGTCTAGAGCAGCAGGAGCAGCCAGTCACTGATCTCAGAGCTGGCAGGGAGACAAGCAGCACTGATGATGCAGAGCGCTGTGATCACTACTCTGAAACAGTTAATTAACGTCTTCATTAACTTAAAATGCTGAAATCTGCCAGCAAAACATGTTCGCTTTTATTATCCTGGTGCCTGCAGCTTGGATTATGTACATGAAAACCGCCTTCCAGCCGCTGCGGCAAACCGCGAGGAGGCGACGGGGCCATAGGCTGCTGTTGAATGGGATTCCCAGTGACAGCGCACGGCCGGTATGTGGGGGTCTTAGCGGCTCCCACAGAGATAATCTTTGAAGGCACGATGGTAACCTGGATGAACTGACTGCACTGACAATGTTTTCAGGTGGACTTTCTCACTTCAAAATAAATTCAAACTACTTTTTACCCACTGCTCCCAGCAAATATAGCGGCCATTGTTACAAGCAAAGAAAGGATAGGGTAGCTCCGCCCAACGCGCATCAGACCCACTATTCCACCACGCAACTAGAGCAGCTAATATACTCCAGCCACGCATCAGAACTAAAGCATCAAAAATAAAGCAGCATCTTTTTTGTTGCTTTAGGTGTGAACGTAGCATAACAGTGGCTAGCTTCCAGCCATGGCGTCCTGCACGAGCATTGGGGTCGATTTGTTCATGTGTCAGGGTACGCCCACAGGTGGGACAAGCTGACAACCACGAATGATGTGTCAGGAACCAATAGTGTACAGCGGACTGTCTTTTGTGATTGGTCGGAGTTATTCATTGATTTTTCACTGTAGCAGGGACCATTTATTTTAGTTTCACTTCCAGACCTTCTGTTTCACTGCTTCCTAAGTGGCTGCGGAGAGATTTTCAAGCCACATGGTAAAAATGCGTCAGAAAAGATCTCCTACTGCGCCTTTAAGGAATATTATTTCATCCGCATCACCATTGCTCACAGTGTGAACCTGCCTTCTTCATGCATCAGTTTACATGTCCTCACTTTCTTCATTTACTGAAGAAACAGGCTGTTAATCAAAATGAAATCAATTAGCCTGAATAAGTCTGTCCTCGGAGTTTAAGATTTTGTATTAAGGCATAATTTAGTGAGAGGAAATAATTCATTGGATTAATCGTGATTAATTGATTATTGAAATAATCGTCAATTAATTTAGTAACTGATTAATTGTTAAGTGGAGTATAGAGGCTGTAAAACGTGTCTGAAGCTCACAGAGCGATACACCTTGAGGAGCAGTTATACTAACATTGTGAAAAAGAAATATACAATATTTTGCATTTAAGATAAAAAAAAAAAAATCTTTTCCATCCAGAAATTCTCTTGTGGAAAAGTTTTAGTTTTACACGATTTGTTTAATAAATTATTATTATTTTAAATAAAGGCAAACTTCTGCTATTCAATTAAAAAAATAATTGAAAGATTAATTGTTTTGCTAATTAATGAGCAAAATGAGACTGAGGCCCAATACCAAACCGCCCCTAAACGTTAACCCTCCGTATACGCATTCCTGCGGAGGGTACACCTCCTTAAGTGCCTTCACTAACCACATAGTGGGTAGGGGGAGTGGACCGTTAAGCCTTTAATAGCAAGTCTGCATCAGTTGAGTTTAAATGTTTGATTTTATGTTAGCTTGCGCCGCAGAGCTAAAGGCAAGCACACGCAGCAACACTGTGTTGCCATAGAAACGACTGCTCTCCTTTTCTGTTGAAGGGAAAAAAGTCGTCCCATTCTTGTTTATACTCCCCCCACCTTCAACCAAGGCATTTTCCACAGCTGTGAGTGAGACTTCAATAGGAGTGATACCTGATAGTGAAGTGTTAGTGCTTAGGGGGCAGTTTGGGATTCAGCCTGAAACAGATCTGGTAGTTGCAAGAAGTCAGTTAGCAATTTCCACCAGTATGCTCCACATGCATCAGCAATCTCCTACATTCTTCACTTCTAAACTAAGATCTGGGGCAACCCAAAACACCCAGGACCGGTGTAGGTACAAGATCGGCTCGGGGCCCTGCCCCTTCTCATGACGTCAATATATGGCAAATCCACCCGGTACAAACTGTATTAAACCCTTTTCTTAAGGATCGAACCTCTTTTGGAGTCTCAACATATTATTACTTATATTGGCTATTATTTTATATTTCATTGGCGATCTAAAGTAGGCAAAAGTAGAAAACAATCACTGACAGTCTTAAAGGAAAGTACTGCGTTCTAAGACAGACGGAGCTCTGCCATTTAATAAGGTGACAAAAAAAGTCTCTGCTTTTTTATTATTTTTTATTAAGATCTGAGGGCAGAGGAGGACAAATGGAGCATCTTAAAAAATAAGTTTTGCAGAGATTATAGACAAACCAGTTATTTTAATTGTAGAAAACGAATGGTCGTTCTTGAAACGAATGTAAAAGTAGTGTAGTTGAATATGGCTAACTGTCTGATAGGGATGGGAATCGAAAACCGGTTCCTGTTCAGAACCAGTTCTGTGTGTTCCAATTCCATGGCACCATTTGGCAGCTTGCTTAACGGTTCTCTTAACGGTTCCAGGCAGCACCAGAGCCTAGCGCTGGGCAGCATGACCTACATCACATTTTCTACGTAAGTTACGTCACGTTTTTTTATGCAAGTTACACACAAGGTATTCAGTAAGCAAGTACGACGTGACCAGGCATAAGTCTAGAAAAGCAATACAAAAAAAATGGCGCCCCATCGGGTAAAGCGATCGAAGGTTTGGATATAAAGTGGCAATAACATCCGCGGGAGGAAATGCATCCAACATGCAGAAACACCTGCGCACACAACATGGCATACATTTCAACTAATGCTATGTTTCTGATGCTTCCAGACAGAAGCTAAAGTTACGACCAGCATTGAAGGCAACTCTGGTGGTTAGTAGCTAGTTTTATATCACTGGCTGTGCTTAATGTGGTTCCTAGTAAATCAGATGCCATTTCTGGAAATAAACCAGTTTCCTACCTCTCTTTGGAGTTATTAAACATGCTACGAAGTTACTCCGCAGTTCAGGGAGCGAGAAAAAGATGACGCTTGTTTATTTAAATCAGGGGGAGACCCCCTTGTATCTGAAGTATTTTCGCTTCAAGACCCAGAAATACAGACAAATCATTGGTTACAAGTCAAACGGTTTTTCGGTTGGCTCTCTTTACACACGTGATTTTTGCTACTCTTCTGCCGCGTGAGATGCAAGGCTCGCAGGCTCACATGCTGCCCTGAACGCAGGCTCGCAGGCTCACAGACAGCCTCTCTCTGCTGCGACAGTTCAGCACAACTTGCTTCACATACAGCCACATACATTACCGCCATCTACTTCAGTGGAGTGTGGATCGGGATGCTACGTATGTATTTTCCCACTGAAAAATAAAAATAAATATTAACAATATTTACATAAATAAACTTATATCCTTTCTATCAATTTCGTTTTTTTTCAAGATTGTTTATCAAATTACAAAAATAATCAGGAGTAGATTTTTTCCCCAAAATTACTTGTATATTTAACTGTAATTTATGTTCTTGCAACCAACTTAATAATTCCCTTCTCTCCATAAAATATTTATAACAAAACATGCTCCACCATCTCCCCTTGATAACAAAAACCACAACCTCCTGTTCCCATTCTAAATAAGTTTCCATTTAACCCCGTGTTTTCGAAACTTAATCTAGATATAAACCTCTTTTCTATTCCTTTCCGTTCTCCTCATTGCACCAATTTTCCTTTGAATACTATAAAGCCACCTTCCAGTTCTATGCTCTTCCCACAGCTTCTGCCCTCTTTCCGTAACCTTTTGTTTGATAATAGATTAAATTTTTTCTGACTGAATGGTATCAATATATCATCATTGTCACGTCAACTCCTGCAGCGGAGGAAAACAAAGGTAGAGGCTGTCTGTGAGCCTGCGAGCCTGCGGTCAGGGCAGCATGTGAGCCTGCGAGCCTGCGCAAGGGGTTACAAATTACAAAAATACACATACAAATCCTTCTACGCATTTGTGCATCTCACCCGGCAGAAGAGTAGCAAAAATCACGTGTGTAAAGAGAGCCAACCGAAAAACCGCTTGACTTGTAACCAATGATTTGTCTGTATTTCTGGGTCTTGAAGCGAAAATACTTCAGACACAAGTGTCTCTGTGTGTGCTTACAGATTGATCTACACATTTGCAAGTCTCAGTACACATTTGTGGATCTGAATACAGATTTGTGGATTTTTTACACATTTGCAAATCCCAGTACACATTTGCAGATCTGAATACAGATTTGTGGATTTTTTACACATTTGCAAATCTCAGTACACATTTGCAGATCTGAATACAGATTTGTGGATTTTTTACACATTTCCAAAACGGATTACACACAAGTAGTTTTACACATTTGCAGATTGTTGTACAGACACACAAATCTCCTCACACATTTACAGATTTATTTACACATTTTCAAATCCCACTGCACACACACAAATCGAGATACAGACACACAACTCTCCACACACATTTGCAAATATTAAAGCTACCATTTTGGCCCCATACCACGTATCACTTTACTTGGATTTATCACTTTACTTGGTTTGAGTTTTACATATACATACATATATATATATATATATATATATATATATATATATATATATATATATATATATATATATATATATTTATATATAAATATAAAAATATAAAAAAATGTAACTAGAGCGTGTAACAAAAGTAATTTCCCTCTGGGATTAGTAATTGATGCTGGAGATCGGCCTGTTTTCCAGTGTAGTCCTGTTTCTCTGACTGTGACTAACTGGATGTGCTCTCATCATTCTCTGGCATGGGAGCTGGCTTGGAGCTCGTCTGCCTGGCTGTGTGTTTCCTGGACGGGGCTGCCTTTTACAGCTGCTTTTTGTGTCTCTGCTTCTGTCTCCTTGAACCCCAGTCGGCCTCAGCAGATGGCCGCTCACACTGAGCCTGGTTCTGCTGGAGGTTTCTTCCTGTTCAAAGGGAGTTTTTCCTCTCCACTGTCGCTACAAGCATGTTTAGTGTGAGGGACTGTATTAGAGTCAATGAGTCAATGCAATCAACTGGTTTTTCTTAGATAGAAAACTTTGAATCAATTTGACTGTATGCTCTGGTTGAACTGTAAAGTGCCTTGAGATGACATGTGATGTGAATTTGGCGCTATATAAATAAACTGAATTGAATTGAATTAAATTATTTCTTATTCTGATTCTGATGAGTTTATTTCCCCAAATTGTACAGTAATGCTTTTTCATTAAACGGATGCCTTCTCCATTGGATTTAGATGACTGTGAGCAGACGGGTAGTCTGGCTGGATCAGAGGCTGGCAGCTCCCGTTCACTGCCTTCTGTTTTCACCGCGGCAGGTCATTAGACAAGCCAACACTAAAGATGCTCCGAACTCGACACACGCATGCTGCGTGATGTTATTATTGTTGTCTGGGCAACCACAATGTTTTTCATCATGTGGAAACATTCAGCCAATCAAGTAGCGTAACGTCACTGGCATGATGCAGGACCCGAGCAGATCTGGTACCTACATCGCTGTAGGTACCAGATCTGCTCAGGGTCCTTGGGAAAAGGGGCCCTGAGCAGGCACCACTTGGGAAAAACTCTACTGCACCCAAAAGAAAGAGAAAACATTCCAGAAAAGCTTTGCTCACCTGCAGCTGTTTGGGCTTTTTTAGCTTTAGCTTGCCCTTCTTGTATCCTCCGTACTTCTTGAACAGCTCAAAGAAACTGTTAGAGGCAGACCAAAGAAAAATAATGGGATCAAGGATTAAAGACTGATATCGATCCATAGCTTCTACATGAGCAGCATAGAAAACTATCATCTGGACAATTTTGTATTTACTAAAATCCTTTAAATGCTAGTTAGCAACAGAAAATGAAAGCAGATCATCACTTTTCTGTGGGCAAACCGACTACATCCGGCCTTTAATCTATATCTGCGTTTTGTGTCATTAGCTAAATTACAGAGCAGATTCTGACCAGACATCCATCAACTAACTGAAAACAGCTGAACTAAGGTGGAAAGAAGCAAACTTACAGCGGGTGGCGGACCTCCATTTTCATCTTTTGCTTTGGTGTCCGATCTCCATGACGAATAATGGCAATAACGCAGCGCAGCTCCATCCTTCACACGACGCAGAAAGAAAACGTCAGTCTCCATACACATAACAACAGCACCAGTGAAAATATAGTAGTTATTCCACCAAGGAATAGCTGGCAGTATGTTATCTGCTACTCAACATGCGCCAATACTGTAGAAATCTTTGTTGCAAAGCTGCCTTTAGATTCAAAGGAGCCAGCACCATCAGTAAATACTCAATAATCTGTCACTATTGTTCATATCTGGAGCCGTTCACCAAACGAACGTCCAATCAGCGTTGGCTTTGAGGCGGGTTGAGCAACGAGATGCGCGACAGTTCAGTCTAAAGAACATGGCGGCTTCAGCCGATGAAACTAGCGTTAGCGTGGCTATCGAGCAAGTTTTATCGGAATTACAGAGTATTTCTTCACTGAAAGAAGAGCAAATCACTGCTCTGGAGGCTTTTCTCAGAGGAAAAGATGTTTTTGCTCTTCTCCCGACTGGTTTCGGCAAGAGTAGCCTGGCTTGTGTTTGTGTTTTCGTCGTCGCTCTGTTAGTACGTCATATGCTTCGTTGATCTGATTGGTTTATTTGGCCCGTCTATCACCAACATAGGCCAATCAACTAACCAGTATTTTCGCCCCTTCCCAAATTACTTCAACGGAAGGTTTCCAGATGGATATGCGGAGCAAATCCATCTGTCGGAGTCAGGTTAGCTCATGCTAGGTTCAGGCCACAATTAGCAGAGGCAGCAAGTTTACATGCAAAGTCAATGGTTGACGTGCAACAAGGCGCAGCAAGAGGTCCTGAAGCACGTTTTGAGAAGAAGGAGCAGAGCCTCCTGAGCTACTGGGCATCTGAGGCTCATGACACGCTTCAGAAGCAGCAGCTGCTGGAGATAGAAAAATTGAACTTTTGCTGCTGGATGCACCACATCAACAAATCAGAGAAGCTGATCTGGGAGCTGGCAGGGAGTCAGACGCAGCACTGCTGATGCAGAGCGGTATGATCACTCCTCTGAAACAGTTCATTAACGCCTAAATTAACTTAAAATGTAGAAACCTGCCGGCAGAATAGTTTTGCTTTTATTATTCTTGTGCCTGCAGTTTGGATTAGGTGCATGAAAACCACCTTCCAGCTGCCGCGAACAGTAGTGGAAAACCACAATGAGGTGATCGGGCCAGAGGCTGCTGTTGAACAGGATTCCCAGATGAAGTTTTCAGGTGGACTTTCTCACTTTAAAACATATTAAAACTGCAGACAAGGAAAGGATAGGGTGGCGCCGTCCAACGCGCATCAAACCTACTTTACGTCCGCGCAGCTAGAGCAGCAAAGATGCTTCAGCCGCGCATCAGAACTAAACTTATACAAGCATAAAAAATGAAGCGTGTTTTTGCTACCTCTGCTGCATGCAGTCCGAATGTAGCATAATTTTTTCCTTGCTGCAGTCGTATTAAAAACCATCAGAAAAGTTTTAATTTTCACCGTAAAAACAGTTCTTTAAGTGAAACAGTTTTTTTTTTTGGGCCAATTGGCCATTGTATTCCAATTACTCAGGTCCATAAAACATTTTACGATCTGGTTCTATCTTTGATAGAAATAAATAAATCTGAAGGTTCCAGGTTCTGCATGTAAACATAGTTAGAAAATCCAGCTTCAGAGGTTTGTTGGAGGACAATTATGAACATAGAACAAGTTCAATACAGTTAGGTCATAAAATTCTTTCCTTTTGAAAATCTTAAGCAATGCTCTAAGAATACGGGGTAATAGCCAACTGATAAGGCTGAGTGTGTTTCAGGGTGCTGAAGTTTTCAGAAATGATCCCCTTGACCAGCTGGTGGGACATGTCGGGCCTTTTATACATACATGGTTCCTGAGGTGGTTGGGACGATGGGGATGTCTTCAGCCTCCATGGGGATGGACCAGGGGATGTGCAGTTGAGGGGCTAGCTCTCTCATCACCATGTTCCTGTTGGATGTCAAATTTATTCACACAGCAAATCTTAACAATCGACATCCAGAATCAAAACATCACAAACAAAATACTGTGGTAAAAACAAATAAAAGCACAACGGAGACAAGATTTCTAAGAACTATCAAGCGATGCAACTTTCTGCTTCCTCTTATTATGCAGCGTTATGTTTTAAGTTCCCAACTACTATGAGTCATAAATGAGTTGGACATCACCCACCCCAGGACTTTGGCACAGTCATCGTAGTACTTCATGGAGTTCTTCACGAAACTGAAGCCGTTAACGTCGCAGACGTAGGAATGGCCGTTGGCTCGCAGCAGATCGAATCCGCACACGGTTTGCTTTAAAACAGGATGACATCAACTGTTCATTTCTCACACATCTTTATAGTGTGAACGAGTAAATGCTCAACAAAAAGCACGACGGCGGGATCATTTGAAACAAAGACGGGGTAGAAAACCCCCCGGAAGGATCTAGAGCAGAGGTCTGCTAAACTTATTCTGCACCGCCACCATAACATTCAATTTGGAAAGAGCCATAATAAAAATTCAATAAAAAGCAAAAAAAAAATCGATCTAAGATTTGATATTTTTAGAATCTAATATTTAACCTTTTACAACAGAAGAAGCTGAAAGATGAAGAACGACAACAGATCACCTAAAAATACAACACATGTTAAAGTAAAATAAGAAGAAATAAAATAAGTCTTAAAACTCTGGTAATATGCTGTTAAAGATAATGCATGATATCCAAGATGCCTCAATAGGTAAATTATTGGGTTTGGTCAGAGCCACAGTGAAGGGAGCAAAGAGCCACAGGTCTAGACAGAGGAAGAAAAAAAACCAGCTGGTAAGGGTGCTATGTGAATGTGAGACCTGGTTCTCTTGTAGAAATCTTATCCTATCCTATAATTAAGATCTGAGTAACCAAATTGTTTCAGAGCTTTCAACAAAACTGCTGCATCAACACAGAATGATAAAGCACCACAGGTGGAACATTAGAGGGTTCCTTAGGTTCCAAAGCCTGTTCCTCAGGGACCCCTGTACTTCATGTTTTAGGTGTTTACTAGTTTTATTACACCAGAAAAGAAGAAATTATCAACAGTTTTCTGCCGCAATTACAGTAGTAGCCATTCAAAATGTCCCCACTATCCTTGGTTTGCCCTTGGCTGCTCCCCTACAATTCCTTTTTAAACATCTATCTTTGTACTAAAATATTCTTTCTGTCATGATTTGTGGACATTAAGATCTAAAGAGAAGCTTCATCTCCTGGTCAGACCCCGTAATTCACTTAAAGGGTGGAGTAAAAAAATTTGCAAGAGGGTGTCACTCTATTGTAGGGCCCTATAAAATCAGTTTTATTTTTTCCCAAATTCCGTTTTTTTCTGTTTTAATTTTTGAAAATTCAGTTTTTTTACCCTTTACTGTTATTTCAGTCGTAAAAAGAATGTGATTTTAATGTTAATGATTAAAATGTACACAAATAAAATAGGAATGACCTTAAATTTATTGAGGTAAAAAAAAACACATTTACTCAGTACTTTTACTGCATGATGCAACATAACACAGCACTCTAAGTACTAACAAAATATTAATGGTTATGAACCAATGGTTATAAATAAAAGTGCTCCATTAGCTTTTTCAAGTAAAAAAATAAAATAGGACCTCTCTACTTCTCCTTGTTCTTCACACAGATTTTGGATGACCAGTGGTCAGTGCATGCTTCCAATCAATGGAATGTTGACAAAACAATAGTTCACCTGACACGTAAAAGTCACGAGGGAACTGCTCGGCTCTGTACTCAGGGCTTAGCCTCGTGTTTCTCAACTTTTTCGCCGAAAGCGGAGCTGTGGAGAGCCGCTTCGCCATTTTTTCAATGTTTTGATGGGGGAGGGGGAGCGGAAATGACGGAGCGGGAGGGGTTGTGTTGCCCAGATTTGCGTCCCCTGGTGTGCATTTCCCCCCGACATACGTTCTTCTCCCACACAAAAACAGAATTTCATTTCAAATGTAGAAATTCCACATTTACACTAGATTCTGCGTTAATTTGCCAATTCCGCGATTCCGTCCGCGATTCCGTGATCACGGAAATTATAGGGCCCTACTATTGGCTGGAAGTTGGAGGGGATATTGCTGGGAGTTGCAGGGAAGCGGGCTGTCATTCGGCTGAGAAGGGCCATTTTGAGTGGTTGCTACTGTAATAACAGAAGAGGCCTAACTTGGCTCAGGTGTGTTGGAACAGAGATGTATCTAAAACATGCAGGGTAGGGGTCCCTGAGGACCAGGGGGGAAACATCTTTCTTAAGATGTAAAAAAAAAAAGAAAAAATCAAAGGCTCGCAGGCCGAAAACGGACCGTCATAATAAACCATCCAAAGTAGAGGCGCATGTTCTTTGAAAGTAAACAAAGTGGCTAAAAGAGTAAAATAAATGGGAGCAAAATTAGCTCAGGATCATTTAATCCCATTATTCTAGTTACTTCATATAGATTTTATATGAAAGGAAACCGAGCTGAGGGCAGACAGGAAGTCCTGAAACAAAGGGTAATATCCAGGTACCTTGAAGGCGAGGCAGACCTTGCGGGCCACCAGCTTCTCCATGGCGGTCAGCATGACGGGGTAACGGATCTCCTTCCCCTCGCTGTCTCTCTCCACCTTACCATCCAAAGCTGGAGACTTCCTGGCCTCAGCGTGGGCGTAGTCTGGGCCCACTGTGTAAACCTGAGATCAACGGGTAAGCCATGCAGGTAGAGAACCATTTTAACCAGCTTACAAATGGGTATTTATACACAGATCCACTGTCATCTGATATTGTAAAATAAAGAAAAGGGAAGGGTAACGTCCTCAGCACCTTAACGTCGGTGCCATCTGTCGGCATGAACTCCTCATAAATATAGGATCCGGTTTTTCGCACACTGCTTTCTGGAGAGTAGACACTGCTGCGACTCCCGATCTACAACCAAAACATGGCTTTAAACACAGAGAAAATCACAGGGAGTTTCCTACAAGTTACATGACTGAACAAAACAAAACACCAAGGCCTCATTAAAAAAAAATCCACGATGGTTCTGGTTAAAGGGAAGTCTGTTTTAGGCGGAACTATCAACTAGCTTTCAAGGTGGGATTTTATCCAGAGAAGCAAAGCTGTTTATTCCAGTCCAGTTTATTAGAAGTAATTGGGCATAAAAATAAAGATAAAAACTAAAAAAAAATTGATTTCAGGATTTAATCACAGAACTATTCTCATATAATTATGACTACTTGTAATATTCCTATATCATTAAGGTGATAATCCTGGGTTTTGTCAATAAAGTGCTACGTAATTTGACTTTAAATCATGAAATTAAAAGCTGTGATTAAAAGAGTCAGAATGCTGAGATTAAAAGTCATGAGATTAAGTCAGAACTAGATAGCTTTTTTTTGCTTTTTTTTCCCCTCAAAGAAGTTGCCTAAATCTTGTAATCAAGGTTAAATAGTTTGGAAGTGTTCATTGGTTTTCATTTTATTTAAAATAATAACGTAAAAATAATCCCAGATAAGTATTACATTATGTTGCACGTAATGTGGGAATTTTCAGAACAGCGAAAAAAGCACCAAAAGTAACCTGGACCTCATATTAATGCACTATAATAAAGACAGTAACAAAAGCTGAGAATCACTTTCTCTTAGAAACCCAGTTATTTTAAATTAGTTTTGTAAACTCATTAGTTTCAGTTAGCTTTTTATCTTTAGTTGTATTTTTGTTTCGTTTAAGAAAATGATTTTTTTATTCTACTTTTCGGCAGGTTTTAGGTGACCATAATAATCTTGCTCATAATCTAGTAAACTGGTGCTTATCTTAAGGATGATAATCCACCAGATGTAAACGTAGTGTTTAGTATATCATTGCTGTTCTAGACAAAAATGCGTTTCATTATAGTTTGCCCAGCTCTAAATAAAGAAGGTGCCTTCAGACGGAGCGTGGTGGCGTTAGTGAGGGTGGTGGATTCACATAGTAACTGTCTGCAAACTGTGCAAGGAAGCAGCGAGCGGCGAATCCCACACAGTGACGGCGGTCCCTGCTCCGCCCCCACCTCGTGATACTAGCCAGCGGCGCCACTAAAGAGAGAGCAACTGTGATCTCTGAGGTTGAAAAAGCTTATCTTTTCTATGAAATAGTATCGCTGCATCTAATCTGGGACAGGTTTTTGTAGATTAAAGAAGTGCACCAGAGGCAAAGCTTATTTCAGTTTAAATATAGAGAAAATGATGTTAAAAGGTAGAAATAAGGAAGAATCTGTAGAGCGGATTTAAAAAAAGGCCATTTTAATTGGCACTGCTCCTGCTTCTTCCTTACTTCCAGCAGACACCCCGGTCTGTGGCTGCGTATCCCCAGCATCGCGGCTTTCTGCACGGCCAGATTTACAAGGAGGCACCACTGAATCCGACCGTCATCCTCTGTGAGCTCTTTTTTTTTTTTTTTTTTTTTTATGCGCTTCAGGGCTTTAACAAAAATTAATGTTAGCCCCGGTAACAAAAGTTGATCATAGAGAAAAATTTGACATTATTCCAGGATGTTAGGTTTCAACTGTGCTTTCATTGTGAAATGCTGACAGACAGCAAGATCTTGACAGAAAATGCGATGGGGTTGCCAGGGTAACGGCAGGTCCAACGCAGACGGTCTGGGAGGCTGTCGATTAACTAGATATTAAACAATCATTCCAGACACTAAATAAGATCAACATGCCAACGGTTATATTCAATACCAGCAAACCAATGACATGTGATGGTTTGCAGTAACTTTATATCAGGAAAAAAGCACAGCACTAACATCTGCAAGGACTGCAACGTCATTAACTGTGATAAAATATGATCTTAAATCATTTTTTATTAAATCAATCTTAAAATACAAATCAGCAAAAATGACAGTTTTACCTAAGCAGCTGAAACAGTAGATAATTTTTATTAAATTTGACTATTATTATAAATATTCCGTATATTCGCTCTAGTTTTTTCACGTGGGCGGAGCGTCAGCTGAAATTCCAACTATTTGATGACGCGGTCCAGGTTGTAAACGCATCTGAAGTGCAGAGCGGTGAACTCCCTGCGGGGCTTGTGCAAATCACCACGACCACTGCGGTCAGTCTGTACGCAGCATAACAGCGATGCTGTCGCCTGGTTCCCCTGAAAGCAGCTACCTTTCTGAACAGCCTCTGGCTGCCTCCACCAGCAGACGTTGGGTAGTAGATGTAGACGTTGTGGTCTTCCGCGCACACAGGTTTCTCCACAAAGGGTTTAGGAAACACCTCTCCGTTCACCTCCACGTGGTCCTCCCCCTCCACCAGGCTGCACTCTGCAAACGGCAGGTTGAAGAGTTAAAAGTCACGCCGTCAGGAAATCTTTCCAAATGCCCTCACCTCCAAACAGGAAGGAAATCCAGAAGATTTTTTTCAAATATTGTAACAAACTGATTATAAACGGCTGCAATGCAAGCATTTCTGAAAATACCAAATTAGTTAAAGATTTTTTTTAAATGTATTTTGAGTGTTCTACTTTCTTAAGGATAACTGGGATAATTGTCACCTGCAGGATTGTCAGGGTCCCGGTTTAAAACGGCGTAACGAGGCAGGTCGATGCCTTCCTCCTGAAGGATCCGATACACTTCCCTCCTGTCATCAAATGACAGCGCCAGGGCGTTACAAGACAAGAAAGTTCATCATTTTCCAGATAAAAAATATAAAAAGACATTAAAACCTTTACAGGTAAGAATCTGGTAAAAGAATAAAAAGAAAAAAATATGCATGAATGAGTATGGAACAATTAAAGTCTTTTTTTTTTTAGACATTAATTTTAACCCTTTATAGGGCATGATCACCTGCATACCCCTTAAAAAAATGGAGTCCCCCCCCCGTCCCTCAGTGAGGTCTAGAAGCACAAGATCTATATCCAACCATTTAGCAAAGATCCTGCTACATGCCTGCACAGCTTATTTTGGCATTTGACCAATTAGATGAGCCCTTGAATGATATATTACCTACTGGAAATTAAGTTGGAAAAAAAAGTTAACAAGTCAAGAAGAAGAAGAAGTCAAAAAAAGCTAATTAAAAAGTTAAAAAGTAAATTAAAAAAGTTAATAAGCCTCGTTAACAATTATAAAAATGTAAGTGGCAGTTTTAGCAGGAATGCCTCTAAGATTATGTTGGAACAAAAAAATTGTGTTTTTCATGAATTTCTTATAGAAGCACTTTGGTTCTTTTTCTTAATATATTCGGGCAAGTTGGCGTTTCTTGTTATTACATTGACATTCATTTTTGGAATCAAAACATCCATATTTTTGAATGTTACAAAGGTTACAAAGGTCTTGTCCTGAATTCCAATAACACTTTTGGCTTGAAATTTTGATTTTCAAAGTATTTGACTGAGGGCCCTATAATGGAATGAAACAATACATTTTATAAAGACAATTCAACCTAAAAAAAATTCAGTTTCAAATGCGTTGCCCTGGTGGCGTCTCGTTCCAAAACAATCGGCACTAGATGGATTCTAGCTGCTTCCATCAGATTACGCTCATTTGATCACCTGAGCCAGCAGTGCTTTGGGCAAAGGTGACCATTACAAAACAGCTACTAATAGACGACCATTACAGTGTTATCATCTCTTTTATCCAATCTAACTAAAGACATAAACTTCACTACCAGCTATCTGTTAATAAACTCATCATCCGATTGGTTCAAAGCTACCTACTCCATCTGTAGCAACGCCTCAGTTCAGCCTCACACAGCTCCATCCTGCTCTTCCTGTTGGTCCAGAATCCATTCATCTCCATGTTTGGATCTTAGCCAGAAGTAAACATTTTGAGCTGATCCAAATTTATCTTCTATATATGTTTATTAGCTATTTTAATCTGTGCCCCTCTAGAGGTTCTGTCGAAGTATTATTTTTGAAAATTACTAGTTTTGCCTGAAAAAGTTTGAAAAAGACCAAATTTCTTCCATAAAGAGATATATTCCTGTATTTCAGTTACTAATGCAAATAAGAAGATGAATCTTATGGTAAAATGTAATTCTTTCCTTGAAATAATTTCTTATTGAGCTTTACTAATGTCAAAAAAAAACGGGGCATTGGGTAAAAGAGTAAATAACTGGATTATTTCAAACAATTGTTTTGTCCAATCATAGTCCGGCATGGTACAGACTTGGGTCTTTAAAAAAAAAAAGGTCAATATATCTCCTGTAATCTGGAGAGATCACTTTCCTAAAAACAAAAACAAAAAAAATTCATTGGATCAAAAGGATTTTTTGTTTTTGGCTTACCGGTCTTGAATGAAATATTGCATGTTGAGGTCATTGATGAGCATTGGATTCCTTAGCTTCACATATTCCACAGCTTTGTCAAGAGGAAAACCTGAAAACCCCAAAATATTTGGATTTTACTTCAACTTGAATTAGAACACTAAATTTTACCTGAAAAACAGAGATTTAAGATTTTAGCTACTGACTGCATAGAATCTACCATGCCATGTTTTTACAGCTTAATGAGAACCAGTAACCAGTAATAGTGCTGCATAAAGACAAACACTTATTTGCTTGTTTATGTGGTTTTATGAGTTAAAGTTTGTGTTGGACAAAACCTTAGCTTCCCTCTTTCCTGGAAAAAATAAATCCTAACAGTGAAGTTCCCTTATCTCTCTAAAAAAAACAACACCCAATGTTTAAAATAGGGTGGAAAACACTGCATGTGACAAACTGCAACGTGAGTTATTGTTTATTACCGCAGCCTGGTTGGGTGTTATGCCCCAAGCTAAGCTAATAAACGTGTTTATCTTAGATAAACACATTTATTAGAGCAATCAGGTCAAGGCAACAGTTGTGTAAAATAAAAATAGGATAAAACTGGAAACTGGGTTAGCTGTTTTCCGAGCACAAAAGCTGAAGACCTGCTTTTAGTCAGGATGCTACTCTGAATAGGAGAGTGAGACTTTGGGCAGATAACAGTAAGGCTGAGTTACAGCAAAGTTGCTAGTAGTAGAAGCAGCTGTAGGAGGAGTTGATATTATTGGAATGCCACGCAACGGCTCAGTTGTTAAATGAAGCTATTACACATTTTTTCATATCAATGTGGCCTTATGTGGCGGTTAGCCCCTGGTTCTGCAGGGATGTAATGGAAGCTCAAGTTGTTTTAATAATTTCAATTCAATTCATTCTATTTCTTTAGCGCCAATTCACAACACGTCATCTGAAGGCACTTTCCAGTTCACCAGATCATCCAGTCAGATTGACTCAAAGTTTTCTATCTAAGTAAAACCAGCTGATGCATCGATCCATTAACTGGAAGGATATCCCTCACACTAAGCATGCTTGTAGCGACAGTGGAGAGGAAAATCTCCCTTTGAACAGGAAGAAACCTCCAGCAGTACCAGGCTCAGTGTGAGCAGTCAACTGCTGATGATGACTGGGGTTCAAGGAGACAGAAGCAGAGATACAGAAAGAATCAGAGATACAAAAGCCAACTTTAAAAATGGCTTTCAGGTCGTCTGCATGGTTGGATCTGATTTCTCACAGTTTCTTTTTTCTCCATGCCTCACAGATTCACTAACAGGTTCAGGTCAGGCCATTTAGTTGGCAGACTGACAAAGCCACAGCTCGGTCATTAACCAAGCTAATGACATCTTTAGCACCGTGGGCAGGTGCCAAGTCCTACTGGAAAAAGAACTGCCCGTAAAACATTTTTATTTCCATCCACTCCACTTTATAAAGATGTATCTGGACACAACCAGCCTCCATAGCAATGAGCTCAGTGGAGCGAGTCCTTTTTCTGGGCATCTGTCCTTCATTTTGAGGCTTACAAACTTAGCGTTTTAGGGTAACATGAGGGTCTAATTTGAGTTTGCAATATTATGTTATTTCAATAATTTTTTTGCAGGCAAAGAATTTGGGTTTAAATTAAAAATTGATCTGAATTACTTAAAAAAAAAAGCCTTGAAATATTTCACTCTATATGTAATGAATCTTTAAGAGTTTAACTTTTCTGAAATAAGTGAAAGAAAACAGATTATTCTCACCCAGAAATTATAAATTTTCAGATGTTGCTGTACCATCTCAACATTCAAGGGATACCATTCCTCCTGTAGAAAAGATCCCATAAAAAAAACCCTGACAATTCGCCGTATTTCTTAAGTTTGACCTGCATAACGTGGATATTTCAGGGTCAAGGGACGAAAGGAAACGCTGATGCAAAATTCTCCATATATCTATTCTCCCAGGAATACACAGAGTCCACTGTTTACATTTAGTCCACATAATCCTAACATAAGAGGCTGAGGACGCTAAAACTGTCAGCTCCTAATAAATGTGTCCTTGTATTCAAATAATAGTAAACTCCTGTTTCTTAGCGACTGCTCTCTCTCTCGAATGAGGTGGGAAATCACGTCCGAAAATAAGGAATATAGAGAAAACAGACTTTTATTGCTTTTTTTATTAGGATCGTGAATCGCTCCATTACATACTGACATCTGGAAACAGGTTTCTAGGTTGAGTTGCCCTGAATATTATGCTGCAGGATGTAAACCACTTTACTGGAAACCAGAAGGGAAACGGGGAGATCTAACACCAACTTTACCTTTGGAATGGAAGGAGATGAGGCAGTCACAGAGGGGCCATTTCTCCACAGGTTCCTCCAGAACCACCTCCTCAGGAAAGATGACGACATCGATGTAGTCAAACTTACACAGTCTCTCCAGGATCTGAGTCATGGGCTTTGATTTGGACTTTCTCATCATTGCACATATGCCCACCACGATCTGTCGCTCTGATGGCTGGCAGACGACATGAGAGAAGGAAAGGAGGACAAACCCGACCAGCTTTGTTACAAAGTTCAATCAGAAAGTGTTCATTATTTATGGCTTTCAGAGGCAATCAAAAACGGATAAATAAGACTTAGATAAATTTTGTTTTGTACAGCTTTTCAGAAATTAAATGATAAATTCCTTTCCTTAAAGTGCAGCAGTGATCCTATGTAAAAAGTGTAGGAAAAAAAATGGTTGATAACCATTTATTCAAGGCATTGTGTGTGATGGTAAAAAATAGAAAAAATAAAACATATTTGTTTTAAAACTATCTTTAAGTTGTTTAATTCATTTTTGAAATGTATTTATGAGTATTAACCTAACATAACTGTAATGGTCGATGACTGTTAAAGTGAAACGGTCGCTATATCAAGGCTGACCACTAGATGGCAGTGACTGGAACACAAATATTTAACAATGTAAACGAAAAAAACTTTGGCTCTACTTTATATGTGAACTTTTGAAAGAATTACAGCACAAAAAATGTTTTCATTCTAGAGGACAATGTAATTCTAATCCCACCCAGATTACACATTTCATTTAATCCGACTATGTCGCTTCAACTGCTGTTGTAATTCCCCCGCTTTGGGAAAATAAAGGATTGCGTTGAGTTCCAAGCTTTATAGAGCCGCTCAATAAACCCTGACCAGGCTGGTCAGCCAGGCAGACAATGACCCCAATGGCTGCCTTTTCTAAGGCATAGGCCAGTATCGGGTGTTGCAGGCTACAAAAGACCCCAACTCTCCCCATTCCTGTGGGGCGGACCTGTTCTTCTGCTTCTATTTACATGTTTTCTAAGCCATTACAAGGCTTAGTGGGGCTACTCTATAAAGCTTGAATCTCAACGTTAATCCAGACATTTTGAATTGATAAAGCTTCCTGAATGGGATGCAAAATGTTTTCAAACTTGGAAAACAAAGTCCAGTGGATCGTTTTTTCAACTTTTTTGGAATGATTATTCTGCATTGATCTAAATATAGAGAGAGGTTGGCTGGGGTGGAAAATCCTATGCAGAAAATGTGACACTGATTTAGTTTCTTCTCATCCGGGAGGGAGGTTTTAATCTATTCTGCGACTTTCTTTTAAGATTAGCAAACTCCTCTGTCTCACCACTCCTGCAGCATGGAGATTAGTCCATTATCAGATCATTAAATATGCCATTTTTCTTCTGATAGGCCTGAAAATGTGACCATCTAAGCCTAACTGAGTAAAAGATCCACATGTTCACTGATCCAGCCTCTTTGATTATGATGGGATTCTTCTCCTCTCATTTCAAACTATCCAAGTGATTAAACAGAAAGACAATTGATGTTTATGAGTGATCTAAAGGATAAACAGGTATGCATCACTGCTCTGCACCAAACGCAGCTTTTAAATCTAGCTTCCATTACTTTATTCTCCTGTTACAATTCCTCTCCGTTTGGTTTTAGATAAATCTTGACCCATTATGTTTAATGACATTTCATTGCCAACTATGTGCTGTTCTTTTCAGCATGTTTAAAGCACAACATGAAAAAATAACTAAATAACAGCCTTAAATCCCATTTTTTTCCTATTACGTCCACATTTTACTTACCGACTCGATTTCATCGTCCTCCATGTCCTCCTGTCGAAACATCTCGTTCTTCATACCAGCCTCCATTTGGCCCATGTTTTTCTCATCCTCTTTACAGCCAATCACAAAGCGGGGCACGCTTCTCCCACCGACCCCGGTGCCTTACAGGGCTTGGACATCGTAAACCAGCTGAAACATGGCATGCTCAAAACATAAACTGGAGCTGTGAGAGAAAAAAAGACAAGAACAGAAACTTGTTAGGCAACCAGTTCAGCTGATCAGACATCTTAGACACCACTGGGTTGCTACACTTTTTATTTGTGAATTTTGATTGATTACTCAGGGAACAGAATTGTGGATTTAAAAAAAAAAATTACATTAGTCAACAGTAAGAAGTGTAGTCAAAAATATCAATACAGAGACGCACTGAATGATACTGAAATGCTCAATCCAACTACAATATTAACTTGGCATGGTGCCCAGCCCAAGGACAAGTGTGTTTTGCATATTCTTTACAATCCTAAATTTTGAGATTTCTGGATTATATACATTAAAAAGCCTTGGTTATTTTGCACACGTATATAATAGGGATGGAACGGTTTATGAAAACCATCCAAACCGTTCGGTTCGGTTCGCGTGTGTTGCGTTCGGTTCATGCACTGCTCCTTTTTCTCATAGGCGAAGCGTTTACACCCCAGAGCAGAAGGTGGCGCTACTGCGACCAAAGCCAACCACCAGTAGTAAACAAGAAGAAGAAGAAGCGAAGCAGCGTAGCCGGGTGTAGCAGAAAAAAATCAGTTGTGGAGAATTGTGTGGGTATGGCGAGTGGGAAAGAACAGGAGTTGGAAGACGCGCCAGCAGCACTTTATAGGTCTGCTGTATGGGACCACTTTGCATTTAGAGTGACCTACGATGACGGCGGAAAGAAAGTTGTAGATAAAAGTGCAACAGAGTGCAAGCATTGTGCAACACGTTGTTTATTCAATTCAATTCAATTCAGTTTATTTATATAGCGCCAAATTCACAACACATGTCATCTCAAGGCACTTTACAGTTCACCAGATCATACAGTCAAATTGATACAAAGTTTTCTATCTAAGGAAAACCAGTTGATTGCATTGACTCAAATACAATCCCTCACACTAAGCATGCTTGTAGCGACAGTGGAGAGGAAAAACTCCCTTTTAACAGGAAGAAACCTCCAGCAGAACCAGGCTCAGTGTGAGCGGCCATCTGCCGAGGCCGACTGGGGTTCAAGGAGACAGAAGCAGAGATACAAAAAGCAGCTGAAAAGGCGGCCCCGTCCAGGAAACACACAGCCAGGCAGACAAGCTCCAAGGCAGCTCCCATGCCAGAGGACGAAGAGAGCACATCCACTCAGTCACGGTCAGAGAAACAGGACTACACTGGAAAACAGGCCGATCTCCAACATCGTTTATGCTAACAGCAACATGACCAACATGTCATGCTAACCCCAAAAATCCCTCATACTCCATCGCGCTCCGCCCCGCTGCGCTCCAGACCGCCTGGGCAAAGCAAAGCCTACAGCCTCCACTGTGAGTCCCTTTGAGATCGTAGAGAGCATGCGCCAGATGATTAAATTCAAAGCAGCAAAACATCCAGAAATGATCCAGGGTTTCTGCGAATCATTAAAAAATAATAACAATTCATTAATTTTTTGGGATTTTAATCAATTTCATAAATTTTTATTTTTTCATTTATTTTTATAAAAAAAAATTTTCTGTGTAACAATAAACATATACCGAACCGAACCGAAAACCGTGACCACGAAACCGTGAACCAAACCGTGGATTTTGTGAATCATTCCACCCCTTATATATAACTAGCAACTGTTAATCCATGTTGAGAGCAAAGGTAGTTTTTAAACTTTTAATTCTTCATTTTTTGATCCCCATGGTATCAATAATTATATAGAGTATTTAATATTTTCTGGGTATCAAAATTGAGTTTGAAATTTTAGTATAGCGACAACCCTTATCAACACCTTTGTTGATATATGTTGGAGCTCGGCCTGTTTTAAAATGTAGTCCTGTTTCTCTGACTGTGACTGGCTGGATGTGCTCTCTTCGTCCTCTGGCATGGGAGCTGGCTCGGTGCTCGTCTGCCTGGCTGTGTGTTTCCTGGATGGTTAGTGTGAGGGATTGCTGAAGAGTCAACGACTGGATGATCTGGTGAACTGTAAACCGCCTTGAGATGAAATGTGTTGTAAATTGGCGCTATAGAAATAAACTGAATTGAACCATAACAGCTAACATATTTAACACAAACGAAAAAGTGTAAAATAATTCAGAAGAAAAGACATGTAGACCCATAAACATAGGAACACACAGAAATAGGAAGTGATCCAAAAGAGCAACTAAAAAAAGAAACTGAAACACTTCACGGACAATATTGACTGGATTACACAAACTGATGTGCAACAGATTTTAAAATATGTCTCAGTCCAACATTATTTATCAAAAGTTTAAATGGAGGATTATTAACCCTAAACAAGGAGGAACATTTCCCAGGATGTGGAGGGTATACGTGGTGACTGCTTACCTGCTATTCAGCACAAACCAATTCTAACCTTCATCTCGTCACCGAGAGCAAGCCAAAGTGACATAAAGAAACTTCAGAACACAAGCGTCCACTGAAACGGCCGACAGTCAGAGGAACTTGGCTAAAATCCTTTCCACTGACAAACAGTGAGTGGAGGGGCCACTTTACAGGAGCCGTTACAGATCCTGGCAGCTAAAGAAACAGACACAATCACTCCATGTTCTGAACTTTCTGCCAGGACATACCTCATCTGGGGCTCACATGCCACTCCGCCTAACCTTGATACCCAGAAATAACTGTCCTCTGTAGAGCAGGAACTAGGAGGCGGAGCCTCATCTGGGGGTGTGTCGGGTCCCCGAACGTAACTCATCACTGCTGAGCCGCCAGGCGATGACAGGTGGCACTAAAGTACAGCTCCTCGGGTCACCAAACACTAACAGATAAACTCCTAAACTGCATACCTCAGCTTGATGTGAACATGGAGGGCTGTGCAAACTCTGGCTTAGCTAAACCAAGCAGGGGAGAGAGTTCAGACATGAAACAAACCGCACACCTTCACCAGCATATTCTCTACATAGAAGAAAGAGCAACACAAGCAACAAATAGAGCAGCTGCTGTTTAAAACAGTCTCAGCTTTCATTCACTGGCTCCTCATCACCACTCTTTGCAAACAGTTAGGTATACCTTACACATGTAACGAGTAGTTCTACTAATGTGATATGAAAAGCCTTTGCTGTCACTCCAGAGAAAGAGACACTGACAAACCGATGCTTGATGGAAAACCCTTCGAGATACAAACCTCATTTGTAGGACTTTCTACACCAGTTAAGAACATTGAACACCACAGACGTTACCACCATCCAGATACTGAGACATTTTGGCTAATGAGTCTGCAGACTACAAGGTCCTTAAGTTTAATAATAAAAACGACAAATGCTGGTGAAGATTCTCAGTCATCCAGGTCTTAGACATTCCAAAAAAGGTAAACAAAAAAAACAATCCACTGAGACGTTTAGCATCCATCCAGCAAGCTTTTTTAATTCAAAATGCCTGAATTAAGGCTGAGGTCAAAGTTTTATAGAGTGGACCAAAAAATCAAAGCCTTATTTTTTTGGTCCACTCTATAAAACTTCAACAGCTTCGCCAGCTGGTTATGTCATAGCGCCCATTGGCTGACGAATCTGGCATTCAGAGGACGCCACCGCTGAATTAGCCTGAGAAATCTTTTTTAGCAGAGGGACTTTAGTTCCATTGTTGTTGCACACTGCAAAAATGATCTCAAAATTAGCAAAAATATCTTAAATTAAGGGTATTTACCCTTAATTTGAGCAGGTAAATGAGATGATTTGCCAATGGAATAAATACTTTTACTCTTAAAATAAGGTATCTAGATAGTATGCACTTGAAATAAGACAATGCAATTGTTTTTTCTCATTTAAGTGTAAATTGTCTTGTTCCATTGGCAAAGTGTTTCACTTAAATCCTTAATTCAAGAAAAAATGCACTTATTTTAAGAAAAAAATACTTATTTAGATTTCATTTTTTTGCAGAGCAGAAAAAGAAGTTTCAAATAGTTTCTTTTAAACTTGTTTTTCCATTTTTTGGCAGATTTTTCTCATTTTAAAATGCTATTTTTTTATTATTCTTTTTGTGATAGTTTTATGAATTTCCAATTGTGTTTTATAGATTGCGTTCTTTTCCCTCCAAATCCAAACGATGTTGCTAACATTCATGCAGAAAATTAGAAATGCTTTGCTCTTTACTCCAGAGGAAAGCCCCGCCCTTAAAAGGAAAGAGAATATATAAAACACAATTTGAAAAGAGTGAAATACGTAAAACTGAAAAAATATAAAAAAAAAAAGAAAAAAAGGATAAAATCTGAAAAAATAGCTAATTTATTTAAAACCTTATTAAATCGTTTTTCAAAGTATGATTTCCGGATTGCATTTTTTTTTTAATTCCTACTAACAGAACATATTATTTGTTGCAAGAATTGACTTTTTTAGACCTCTTTTTCTTTTACAAACCAAGATTGACGTGACATTCACTAAGAGACTGCGCCACCCACACAAGTTTAGCACACCCCACTTTTGACAGAAAAATATTCCACTTAATGTCTCACTGCACGAAAAATAAGAGCAAGCATGGTAAAAAAAAAAACAAACACACAAAAAAAAGAAAAATTGGAGGCAGCCAAAATGTTTTATGAACTTTTCACTCATCAAAGTAACAAACTTTGGTAAATTTCTTAAATGGGAATCAAATATTCTTCAAAAATGTCTAAATAAGTTTATTTCTGGACGCTCTGCTCGCCAATTCATGTTCTCAAGCTTATTTTTTCCTCCTGATGAAATGTTGGTCTTATGATCTGTGGTATTGTACTGCTGCAAAATGAACGCCTGATCAACCAGGCGCATACCAGAGGGTATTAGACATGGCTGCAGCCATTTACGTTCAGGGTCAGGGAAACAGCCCCAGACCAACACACTTCCTCCTAAAGGTTTAGTAAGAAAAAACTAAACATTTCAAATTTGATTCAGTCCATCATAATCTATCCAGTCATTTGATTGAGCAAAGTTTGTTTCCTGGCCCAGGCGAGACTCTGTCTTATTCTGGCCACTTAGTTACGGCTTTCTTGCTGCAGCTCATCTTCTCACACCTGCAGCCGAAAGTCAAAATGAAGAACCTTGCTTGCCTGTGAGAATGAAACACTTTTCCTCCGATACATTTGTGGCTTTGGGTCTGCCAGACCTCTTCCTGTCACAGTTTCCAACAGCTCCTGAGGGCCTTTTGTCAGCAATCACTGGAACCGTGACTCTCTTTGCAAGGAAAGACCTGCATGTTTGAGTGTTACGGTGATCCGCCTCTCTTCTATTGTGACTATTTTCACCATATCTGCAGTTCTTTCTACACTACACAATAAACATGGCATTCACAAGGGTATGCTGCAACAATGATTCCAACACTTCTTATATGCAGAAAGAGGTGTAAGAAATCAAAAGAACTTGGAACAACTGGAGGAATTCATAACTGTGGAGATACAGGTCCGATCTGTTCATGGCAATCGGCAAAAACCATATCTCTCTTTCAGGATGACATTTCTTTCTGATCGGACCGAATTAGATTACAATCTTCAGTCTGAAAATTTTACCTGAAACATTTTAGAGCTGATAAGGTCCTTAATCTGATTATTTGTGTCCTTCTAAATGTAGCTAATTAGGCCTAAAACCATTTGCAGTTATTTTCCTGAAGGCAGAGACAATGAGATCAAAGATGGCCGACTAAACAGCATGTTGTGGACTTCTGCAATGGCATAAATATCTGTAAGCAGAGAGTTGCTTACGGGCCCAAAACCTCCTAGTGGCCCCATCACTGGCCATCTACACAATAGTAGACTAGGACGTCTCTTTGCAGATCTAATGGTGCGGAAAATTCTTCTTTAACCCACTTGATAGTGAAATGACTGACCGCACTGGACCTTATTTATTCAGCACACACGGCAGATTTCAACATGATGGTGAGCCATTTAAACACGACACCAATAGCAAAGCAGACAGTGGTACTTTTAATTACTATGCTAATAACTGTTCATTAGACAGTGGGTAAAAAATACACTCATATATGTTTCAACTGCAATAAAGATCTTAAAACAACGATGTATTTGAGTATTTTATTTTTTACACTACGACTTGGAATTATGGGTAACCCAGAGTGCAGATTAAAAACATAACCATTACGTACAATGTGTTAGCAACGATGGATACACAAAAGAGGATTCCAGAAAAGAAAAAGGTAAGAAGAGCTGCTGGAAGAATGGAAAAATCTTCCCAAAATAAACACGTTTGTTCAAAGAATAACGAATAGGGAGAGATGGACGTTGCTGCTACAGTGAGTCAAGATTGCGACCAGGAGATGAATGGAGATGATGTGATGTGTGATCGTATACTACTGAGAACTGCATATTTGTACTTTCTTGGCCGATTTATGGAACTGTCGCCGTATCCTGAACCTTTATCATGTGTTGTACTTCATATGGGGCCCACCCACATAATATTGCTTACGGGCCGAATGTTCTGTCATTAAGCCATTGGACTTTTAGGTGAGTTTACCTAAAGAATCAGAGTTAACAGTTCCCCAAAGTTCAGCGTTATCTTTATTCCCTCAAAACAGAAACAAGTAGCTTCCTTACACAGGTTCACTGTTTAAGCATCAAGTCCCCTATGAAAACTAAATATCAGAAAAACTAGTGCTGCCACAATTAGTTGACATAATAGATGATTAAAATTCGTTTTCAGATTATTTTTTTTTGTCAGCCTGTTATCGCATTTTTATTTTGGTCTGAGCAAACGACTCATCTGAGTTCATGTAACTCCGCTCCACAGCACTAGTTTTGCTGTTCGCAGATCGCTGTGGCGTCACCATCAGGCGGCCACTCCGCCAACCCCTAGTGTCGAGATATTTTTGGAAGTTAAGACTAGTTTACTAATCAAAAAAATTGGTTGAAAGATTAGTCATTAGAAAGTTTGTCATTTGTGGCAGCTCTCATAAACACAAATTAAACTGATATTACATTGCAAAATTTTTTTTTTAAAAAGGTCAATATTATAAAAACCAAAAAAAAAAAAAAAACGAATGAAATGCCTCGAAGGCTGCATGCTTTGAAGAATCAGAAGCCGTAGATCTCTAAATCTTTGCTTTTCATTTATCACCAGCTTGTCTCCAAACAATCCTCTAAGGCAATGCTAACTGTTCTTAAAGGAGAATTCCGGTTTTTAACACTTTTAGCCCATTTTCTGTGGTGTCCAGGATGAAATCGAATGATCGACACCAAAATTTTGACAATTGGTCCTGTCTCTGCTTTTTGGCTCATGCAGAATCCCCCCGCTGGCTGCTTCAGAATGGCTTCCATAGTGCATGTCCGATAATGTCCTTAAAACAACCTTAAACGTTCTTTTTTTAAAATATGCTACTCACCGGGTCGTCAGCGCTGTTCAATGACGTTCCAAAAGAAGTTTCGTGAAGAAAAACCGTTCCTGTCTTGTTTTATTTAGCATTTTGTAAATCCCAGAACTATTTTTTCCGATACATCACAACCGCTTATAAACTTCCGCTTCCCGTTCGAATCTGAAGCGTTGCACACTCCAGACCACTAGTTGGCGACAATGTCTCTATATACTCCTCCTCAGTATATTCCGGTTCAAAACGGTATCCTCTACCGTCAAACTCAAAGTCCAATATG